GTACCCCAGGGAGTCGAAATCGTGATCGTAGGGTCTCGCAGCACGAGACTCGTCCTTGTATGCGGGAGTCATCACTCAATTCAATGTTGGTTGCCTCTGGTTGGCTACGACAAGATGCAAATGGCCTAAAGCGGAAACCCCCCAATTTACCATGACACGAACTACTTACGGGCCTTATTAAACATGTCCAACAGGCCAACTCGCACACACATGTCTAAAGGCGAATCTATATTGGTCTCATGTATCCTGGTGCCAAATTTATATGCTATAGTTTAGGGGATAGTTCACCGGTTACCCGTCGATACAACACCAAACGACCATCGCCTGCCTCCCGTAACCAATTGTAGGACATCTAGGCGCGGCTTGTTGAATTACTGATCATTATCTACTGAGCAAACAATGCACCCTAGTGTCCTAGGAAGGAGTAACTATGTATACACATATGATTTCTCCTCGACGTATTGATCTGAACACCCCGGATACGATAAGCCAAAAACAAACATGTGAAAGTAATTAAACCTTCGCATATAAGTACGCAACATCGTCGAGCCCGCTAACCTAAGAAATTTACTGGCCTGATCGAAGGCCAAATATTGACTAATGAATTACTAGAGATGTGTTGGTGTCTACCTACGTGTAGGTATGTTTGCGAAATTATCGTCACCAGGTCCCAGGAAGGGGAAGCTTCGCGAAGTGAGGTCATTGCTACATAAGTAGGATGATGAACGGTTCCCCCGACATGATCTACAGATCCAAGACGAACTTTGAAGGCTTCTGTCCAGTTCCCACAGGCTAATAAGTACCCTCTTTATGGAATTTTCCTTTCTTCTCCCTACATGGTAGCTGGCTGCCTGGGTATGTACCTACTAGGTATGCAGGTAAGCAATGCGGAACCAGACGGGGAGTCTCCAGGGTTCGTCATTACCACGTTGTACTGTTGGATATGAGCTTGTCCCGTTCTGCCCAGCCCTGCCAAGGCGTCCAGATTTCAACAGACGTTTCAGTAAATGTTTTGGCGGTCGCTCGCGAATTACAAGAGACTTACCGCTCTTTCGCCCAAACCAGCTACCACGATACTACCTAGGTAGGTATTAACTATGTATGTATGTGCAATTGTGCATGACAGCATGTAATGTAAACTACATACATACTATATACTCTAGTATACGTGCTAACCGTACTAACCTACATACATACCTAGTAGTATACTAGCTGGCAGCTGCAGGTCCCGTCCGATAGTATGTATTGTAATGTACAATACCTATTAGAGTGCCGGCTAGACCCTTGTTCCCACCCCTTCCATCCTTCTTATGTTCCGTCGTTCGAAATATCGTTTCCTGTCAAGGGGGTTTCCTCGAGGTGGGTTCCGAGGCTCCTAGGTATGTACACTATTTCTCTCCACCAACATTAGGTATACATGTGTCCCTCCTCTACCTTGTATGCTAAATGTATGTAGGTATGTATGCATTAGGTATGACCTCGTCCCCTCGTCTGCTCGTCAAACTACCTACCTTAGGCACTCTCCCCCCCACATTCAACGATCCTACGTCACACAGCCCAGTCACAATCTTCTGGGGGTTACCTGTCAACCGGTAGAAGTGCCGGAGTAGTGGTACTATTGACGTGCTTTTCATTATGTGCAAGGACAGACCCTTGCTGATATCCGACAGTCTGATATCAAAACGACCCATACTATGGTATGTATTCACCTTACGGCGTATTGACAGGCAAGGTTCACCAATATGGACATCCACTCCCTAGCCCTAGTACATATGAGATTATGACTCAATACAGCAATTCTTGCTTGTCCCGATGCGTATCCTACTAGCTTCAGGCAGGAGGTACTAACAGGTCCGAGGCTAGACTAGAATGTTGAACGGGGCCCAAAATTCTAGGTGAGCAGGGTATGCTCAGACGTTCCAAAGTATGGTTCGGTAAAATTAGACGACCGGAACGTTCATGATAGACGCAAGCAATATCTAAATTCTCCCCTGTGTTCTAGACGGCCAGATACTCCGAATATTGGATCATGAGGGAGTAGCCGTGTCATTGCGTAGGTAGATGGGTACGGTACCTCCCTGCCCACCACCTACTACCCAGGTGGCAATGTGCGTGTCAACGTTGAAGGTTACAATATCAGCCTTGTTTGGAGAGGACTCGACTAACATACATATCAGCTACAGCTTAATACCTAGTACACCGTTGCAATATGTTACCAACTTACGACGTCGTTAAGCGGCACTCCAACCGGAACAATAAGAATCAGCCTCAATTTAAGGTGACGTGACAGCCCGCCTGTTGCCGTATGATGTCGATGGCTCTCTTGTTTGTTACATGGTATTGTACATACGTACATATACATCCATGTGTATGCAGTAGTAGTCATCATTCGATTCAACGTTGTTCGGAATCCGCCATCCCTTTCCGACGTCTTTTTTCTACATACGTACCTAATCTACCTACCTAAGTATGTATATATGTGATAGTAGTATTTATTCCTTGCTTTCGGTTCCTGAAATTTGGCAGGGCGGTGACAAACTACCTCTGCCGTATACGTAGTAGGTAAGTTAGGTAGGTTAGGTACTATCTTCATGATGAAATAGCCCAGATTTTGTGCCACCAGTCAGAATGTGAGCTATCACATTCTCTCTCTTTTTTTCTTTCTTTTCTCAACCTTCTCTCTCTCTGATCCCTCCCTTTAATTTTCTTCGGCCTCGGTTATCCTTTGCTAGGTACTATACGAACATAGGTATTACTACTCACTAATAATGTCAGTTAGGTAGCTGTTTACCTACCTACATGTAGCCAGTGTATATTTCTCGTCATCTAGGTTACATATATGTAGGTATCTATCTATGTATCATATTCTTTCCCCAAAGGGCTTTTGATAAACTAAGCCGGATTCGCAAAATCAAAAGCAACCTCGGAGAAGCAGACCGAACGCACTCCCCCCGTCACCTAGGTATAGGTACCTACCTACCTTTTCCTTTTTTTCGGTCCCCCGCGCATATATCATTCCACGTGCAACGAAATCTGGTTCGTCACAGTTACGCATCCCGCCCCCCCATCAGGCCAGTCATGTCTGTGTACCTACCTAGCCTGCCATGCCATGCCATGCCATCGAACATGTACTAGGTAATGCGAACGAGCAATCAAAGCAAAGCAAGGCAAGCAAGCAGCATTAGCACTGCCTTGTCGCATCCCACAATCCTAAAAACACATTTCCGACCTAGCCGAGCGATACAGACCTAGGTTAGTACCTAGTAGGTAAGGTAGGTAACAATTAAAGGAGGGTAGGAGGAGGAGGGGTTTGAAAGAGCGAAAAGATAGGGGGAGGCAAAGGGGAGGGGGAGGGGAAGGGGGGTTGATAGAAAGGAGGCACGGTCTTTGAACATTGCAACCTTACCTCTCCTTCTCTTTTCCCCCTTCTTCTTCATCACTACTACTACAAGGGTCATCATAGGAAACTTACATTAACTACACCTGCCGCGCCGCAGTATCAGCACTGCCTTGGACCGAGCTAGACCCAGACCTTAGACCTAGATCCCAGCTGTCGCCTGCTTTTCTTTCCTCCTTTCTTTTTTTAGGACAGAAAAATCTAAAAAAGATATATGCGTGTACTTGTTTAGGGGCAGGCCGGACTTTGGCCCGCATACCTACCTACATATAATATACCTATCTACATTTTACTTCTAAAGGACCTATCTGGAACCAAAGCCCGGTGACGACTGATGATGCACGGATGATATAAGTGACGCAAGGAGGGGGTGAGGGGGGTAGAAGGACATAGGCAAGCCACGCCGTTGTCCAGAATAGGGGGGTAAAGGGGGGGTTAACTTACAATGGTAATTGGAAGTTTTTTTTCCTTCCTCCTTCTCCTCCTCCTGATCGTTCTCCTTCTGCTTCTATTCCTTCTTTCCTTTTTGCTCGCCCGTCTCTTCTTCCATCGATTACTATCAGGGTCATAGGCGGTGAAAGAAAAGGGGAAAGAGGATTAGAAGGAAAAAGGGAAGGAAGGAAAAAGGGAAGGAAGGAAAAAGGGAAGGAAGGAAAGGAAAGGAAATGGAACATGGAGAAAAGTAAAGAAGAAAAGAAAAGAAAAGGGGGCGGGGGGTTTGAGGTACCTGGAAAGGGGGGAGAAGAAGAAGAAGAAGGGGGAGGGAATAAACTACCTACAGAGCGGGAAGAAGCCGAAAGAAAGAAAAGGGACGAAGAAAGCAGACAGACAGACGAATTGGATTGTTTCCCAACCATCGTGATAAGTGACATGTCAGATAGAAAACGAAACGTCCCGGGAAAGTCAGAAAAAGACGGGCCACGCCGCTACACCTACCTACATATTCATCCCAACCATCCCATCCCATCCCATCCCATCCATCTATGAACGCACATATGCTACCTACATTACATATCTACGCACATACATACATTACATACCTCCTACCTACCTACATTACATGCATGCATTACATGTATGTACACCCACCCGCCGCCCACATGTCCGCCCGCACGCCTACATACATACCTAGATATATGTACTTCCGCCTACACCTGTATGTACATGTACATGGATTCTAAACCCCCCTACCTACCTACCTCCATACCTAACCTATGATAGCCTACCTACCCAGCGGTAGGAAACTCCATCTCGCATCGGCGATCCGGCATCGGGTAGGTCATGTAGGTTAGGTGAGATTTCTTCTTCGAGTCCCAAGTAAGTAGGTATGTATATCATATTCATATCATATCATATCATGCATATCATATCTCTTCAATGGTACCTACCTCACTGGCTCGCTGGCTGGACTGAACGGCTGGCTGGTTGACAATGGTCCGGCACCATAAGAACAACCACAACAACAACAATAATAATAATAATAACAGCAATAACGATAATAATAGTCCACGTGGGTCTCCCTCAATGTTACTTTCCGTTCTCCATTCTCTGGTCTGCTATACCTACATATAGGTTGGTAGCATACCTAGCCGAGTCTCTATATACTCTATGCTAGATAGATACAATACTACCTGCCACTATATATGTCTGTATATATGTACCTACTATATAGGATACCATCCTCCAATAAAAAAATAAAATAATAAACCTGAACTACTTTCGTGTACCTTCCCTACATACATACCGACATACATAGGTATGATGCATGCCGTCTTATCACTTTTCATATATGTTGGTAACAGTAGGTACATATTTGCATCTACCTACCTATCTACTTACATAAGACCAAAGCACAAAGAAACCCCGTGTGCGTGCATGTATGTAAGGTATGTATGTGTGCTGTTGCTATTGTTGTTCTTGTTGTTTTTCTATCCTCCTTTACGCAACGTCACCGCGCTTATCTCAGAACTAGTATTTCCTTTCTTGACCTTTCGCTGTATGCAATGCTTGTCTTACTCTTTCGAATCCCTGATCCCGCGTTACTGAGATGATTAATCTTTTTTTTTTGCTCACCGCCTGCCTGACGACCGGGAGAAAAGCAAAGAAGAAAAAAAATCAAAAGTATCGTTTTAAGTAGGATATGCCTATTAATTCCACCGGCTCCTTACCCGGCTTCCGTGCCGCTCATGCAGGAAGTGTCATCTTGTCTAGCGTCATTGCTGCTGATTGTCGACAGAGCCTTGCTTGGAACGTTCCGATTCAGATGCCGTTATTCCCGGCGCATCTGCGGCCGGAGGCAGAGGGGCCGTGTTCAATGTTGCAACAGGAGGTGGAAGAGCTTGTTCATCAGTAACTACCGCGGTAGCCACTGTTGATGCTGCTGTTGGTTCGGCGGAGTCGCTGCGATCGGGGTTCTTTGGTGAAGAGTTACGGGTCTTCATTTCAAGAACATCATCTTCGTGGTTACCGCCGTCCTTCTCGAGACAATCCGCTTCCGAATTTTGGCGTTCCTTCTCCTGGAAAGTGAAAGCGTCTGACAGATTCACTGCCAGGAACGTCTTGGGTAATTTGACCCTATTGGTTATCACGAGTCAGTAACCAAATCAAAATTCATGACGACGACTTCGCTATCTTTTTATCGCTATGACGTCGATGCAACGTTACGACGACTTACTGATGGAACTTGGCTCTAAGCGTCTCAATCACCTTCTTCCAATCTGCGTGAGGCGTCAGGCTCCTTCGCGGCGCACACCCTATGCAATGTTTGCTGTCTAGTTGGATATCTAAGGGGTCGAAAATATGGCAACCGGGGCTGATGGTGATGCGGATGCTGTAGTTGAAGGTAGGTTGATCAACGAGCGGCGCGTCTGCTGCCATCTTGGTCTCCGACTCATATAACTCAAAGCAGATCTGCGAGAGATAGTCCAGTTCGGGGATCGTCCTGCGGTTGATCTTCGTCTCGATACCACCCTCGAGGATGCAGTTTAGCAACGTGTATATGTGCGATTCCTTGGTGAAATAAAAGAATGATTTGGCATCCTCCGAGGCCTGCATCTCCTCAAGATCCTGGACGATCTCCTTGAGCAAGGGAAGAGACGTTAAGAGTCCGATTTCGAGCTGCAGTATTACATCAATATCCTGTTATTACCTGAAAAAGTTAGAGAGACGAGTAGCTTACCTTTTCACTATCCGAGATACCGTATTCTTGTGGACAGATGAAGTCGAACAAAACCTTGGCTAACTGATAAAGTTCTCGGAGAGGCTCGAAGCACTCATCCGTCTTCGCTTTTGTCTGATTGTTGCCTTTGGGTAGATGAAAGTATTCAGCGGGCCTATCCACTTCATGAGGCTGCTTCATCCACGACCTCCTCCTGAAGATGCGCTTAACGGTTTTCTGTGCTTCCGACTTCTCGGCTCTATCCGTCCGGTCCGGTCGGTCCGATTTCTCAAATTTGTCCACAGGTGATGAACCCAGAGCTTGGCTCTTGTCGGATTTGTCGTCGGCTATTTTGCCGCCGTCTTCGGATTCCTTGGGTGACGTCTTGCCCTCTCGAGTTATAGTAATTCCAAATTCCTCCTCTAACATTTGTCTCGGCGGAGTGAACACCCACTCGAGAAATTGCCGGTTGTGTAGCGCATCAAACTTCATTGTGTCATACAATTCCGAGATCTTACTAGGATCGACTTTCTCAAGATCACAGAACTCGGCGAAGAGCTTCTCCCAGCGCTCGCGAAACAATTCTGCGTCTTCACCACAGCACCAACGGGCCTGGATATTGTTGATAGCATTCGCTTGAGAGAGTGACGAAGCAATGGATGTGCTAGAATTTTCGCCGTGTATCTTCTCTTGGCTAGGCGAGTTGATTGCGTTGAGCGAGTTCACAGCGCCGCTTTGCAGTTTGCCATAGTTGTACTGCATTACGCGGCGATGGAAATTCATCAGATGCACAACTCGAGCTTGTACCTCAGCAGGTTCTGGCATACCCTCAGGCCAAGCGAACTGCGGAGGCCTCTCGCTGCCTTTGCGTAACAGACCTTTTAGCTTCTTCTTCACCTTGTCCATCTCATCTTTTGCTGCGTTCGAGTCATCAAGTAGGTCCTTCCGTATAATGATGAAGTCTTCCGGAATATCGTTCTTCTCGATGAATGACGCGGCCCAGATCTGTGCACTGGCCGTGACACGCCTCTCGGAACTGCTGAACACGTGTACTTGGTCTAAAATATCACGGTTTAAAAGGAGATAATCGTTGCGCATGTTTTGTGCTAACTCCTGGGCTTGGTAACGGGCCGAATGAGTCGGCTCCCCTCCCCATTTGACGATGAGCTGCAATTTGTCGAGAACAAAACTGTTATCTGCGGCAGTAAATTTTGACATTGTGACTCCTGACATAGAATCCTGTCGTCGGGGGACCCGGCCCGGCTGATTTTCAGAGTCGGATATTACTGCTTCCGATGTGTCGGGACCATATTGACCATCCTCGGCTCTTAACTGGTCTATGATGGAGGAATGGGCCTGGCTACTTGTCTCGGAATCCAACTTGACTCCCTCGGCGACGTTCGGAGTTGCTTCTGTCGTCATCTCAGCTGTTTTCTTCTTGCGGAACATTGGCTTAATCTGAACCTTTGTCCCAGCCCAACCCCCTTTCTTGACCAAGACATTGCGGAGAGACTTAAGCTTATTTCGATCTTCTTCGCCGGCTTTCAAGGCTAAGTCGACCGCGTCAAGAACACTAGTTAGAGCTGGCTCCCCAATAAGAAGTACCTCTTCCTGGTGGCCTTTTAGAAGGTCGATAAAAGGCTGTGTGTGGAAGGTGAATTTGTATTTTTGTTTTGGGGTGCGATCGGCATGCCTAATCACAGAAACCATGCCTTTGAGCTTCCACGAGTGCTTGGGCGGAGGTGGAGGTGGAGTTGGCTGCTCGACTGGTTGCTCGACCTTCTCTTTCGGTCCTGCTGAAGGGGTAGCTGGAACAGTTTCCGGGGCTGTGGTTGGCAGGCTACTCGTAGCAGAGCTGCCAGCAAGGTAAGAAGACACGGGGCTAATGATGCCGTTTTGTAACATTGCTGCAATTCCCGGAGCCCCCGAGTCTGACTTAGACGGCGAGGTGCTTCCCACTATCTGCTCATCTTTGCCTTCCTTGCTCTCCTCAGGCGAGAGCGAGCCCGCAATCGCCACGGGTTTCGTCTGATTCGAAAGTGTTGTACTAGTCTGTGCCTCTTTCTCCTTATTACTCAGTAGAGCTTTTGCTAGCGGATCGCCAGTGTCGGAAATAGTCGGCGATGGGACAGGCGGTGTTGGCCCGCCACGACGAATTTTCTCCTTGACGAATATATCCTTCAAGATACTAGCACAGTGATCGTAGTATGTTTCGTTATCTTTAACGAAGCTCCATCCGTTGACGTCTATAACATAACTCTTGCCCCCAGCTCGCAGTAAATCAAACCCACAAACACGTTGCCCAAATGTACTGGCAATCTTACTTGCAATTTCCTTCTCCTCCGGACATAACGCGGTAACGTAGCGAATTTCTTTGCCATGAGTATTACGCCGGACTATACCATCTACCACAGGTGACTTTCTCGTTTCGGCATGGCAGTATTGGGGTCCGACCGTGTAAGCTTTTACGTCCTCTGCATTGTCCACTTGCATGAACTTCTCGTAAATGAAGCTACCCTCAGGTTCGCTAATGGCGCGCGGAATTATGAGATCCTTGACAAACTCCGAACTCTTGTTGCCAATTTTTCTGAAGAGTTTTCGGGCGCCCCCGCCAGCCGATTTTGGAAAATAAATAATGATATTGTGGTCTTCGCCGCTGGTTGGCTTCTCAACAAACGGTTTCTTCAGTAGGGTTCCATCTACACTGAGGATGTCTCCATCGTCAAGCAGTTCTACCTTACGAGGGAAACGGTAGTTTTCCGGGCCGCTGGGTTCGAGGGTGATGCCCGTAATGTCTTTAATATGTTTCGCAGATTCCGGGGTTAGCAGACTCGGCCCACCATCCCGGTTTACTTCGACCCGTTTCGGGGTTGGCACATCGATTCTATCCAGAATCCGTAGACACAATCGTCTATCCCAGAGTACCTTCTGCATCGGTACATCGTTGACACAAAATGGCTTCCGTGCCTTGACGTAAGCAATGGCCTTTTCTAAGGGGAAACCATCTGAGTAGAATGATATCAAATAATCGCATATAGGCCAGTTTTCCACCTCTGTCCAAGTATTAGCAAATTTTCACACTTCTAGTACTGGGTATAACTGTAGCAAGGAGAACTGACCTTCGTCTAGAATTGTCTTATCCCCGAATACTATTACGTCAAACTCGCGATTTGCAATTAACCTATTGAGAATATTTCGACTGGGTTTGCTTCTAGCCTTAGCATCTAGTGCGCAAACCCCGATGATGCCCCATGGTGCCGGCTTGGCCTCTTCCTTCTCCTTAGGAAGAGGGCCTCGATCACTGCTGGGGCTGTGACTACTGGCCGCAGTACTACCACTTAACCGGCGCTTAGCTCTACTTCGAGACCTGGTCATCGGTGGCCGAGGGGCCGGGTTCGGTGCAGGCGCAGGGTTTCGCTTAACAAGATCTAAAGGGTTGGTATGGTGAGGTTCCCGTGGGGTCAGCTGAGGACCGGTCACAGAGTTTTGGGTGTTTGAATTAGAAGACGTGGTAACGGTGACGTTGGATATGCTTGGCTCTGATTGACCTGGAGATGGACCTAGATCTTTACCGGAAGCCATGATATTCGGAACGGACCGTTGAGCACCATTGTCGGATCCGTTCAAGGAAGGGGCCGAGCTGGAAACAGCACGGGAGGAAGCAAGGGAGAAGACGGACGAGACAGAGATGCGTTTCCCGGCCTCTTGCTCTGAAGTAGATAGACGATGATTCACGGCAGGTTCAGGTAGCTGGTAGGTGGGACTGGTGGCTGAAAGAGAATGACCAGGCTGTAATTTTGGGGTGTTGTCGCTATCGTCAACAGCCACATCGTCAACAGTAGCAGGAGTAGTATGATGATGAGGTGGCTTCAATGGTCTTGCGGTGGATGGCATTGACAAACTTGCAGGCTCAACCGAGACATCAGTCGTCCCGATAGGCTCGGCATGTCGACTTTTCCCACTTGCCATGGAACTGGCGATGCTACCGGCTACGGATGATGTAGAACGAGTGCGGGAATGTGACACAGACCAGGAAGAAGTTGAAAGTCTCTTGCCAGAACTGCCAGAATTGCTGTGACGCAAATTGTTATTAGTATCCATCCTTCCTTATCGAGGGTGGTCCTAGGCGGTCCCGAACTCTAAATCTCTCAGTGCTGTTTTTAATATGTAAGTACAAGTACTGGTATAACTACTGGGTACGGTACTAAGTAGGGTAGTTTAGTGTACCCCGTAGTCTGATCGTTTGATATGGTGTTTTCGTCATCTGATAAGTTCCCAGTACATGTATGTACCTCTTAAGGCAGGTCTAATCTGGTACACAGACGAACCTGTTCTTCTCAAGTGCTTTCAGATGTCAATCTCTAAACCTTCTTTCACTTTTTCTTCACATGCAGTGAATTCTGAAATTTAGATTTAGTTACTATTTATTACAAAAGGGTGTATGTGCCACCAGACTGTGTGGTCTTTATGTGTCTGCAAGTAGGTATGTACTTACCGAGCCACTAAGGTGGGCAATAGCGACATGGAGTGACAAGTGTGTGTGTTTTTATTTTTTATATGTGGTGGCACAGTGGCAAAGTATGTAATGTACCTATGTGGATTATTTTCGGTTTCTTGTCCGGTTTGTTATCCAAGTGCTGATATCAAATAACGTGGCACACAAAACCTATGAGGCCTTAAGTGTTAAACAATACATATTGAAGTAAATGATTGATTTCTTTGAACCTTGAACATAGGAGAATTTGATAATTTTGTCTGAACATATTGAAAGCTTTACGTTTTGATGACTTCAGTCTTCGTTGAAATAAATAAAGAAGACTTAACTAGGGGGGTCCAATTTATTTTCTCGGCCCACCGTAAGAGTTGGAAGTGGGTCATTGATACTACTATGTGCATTAAAGTACATACATGATACATACCTATATGTAGGTAACAGTAGGTTAAGGAATTAGGGAACATTGAAGTACATAGACATGTAAAAATTGAGTATTAAAAGGACGAAATACGTGGCGGGCAATGGGCCAGCGAAGAACCTATACTCCATTAAACAATTGCCTACCTGCCTATGTATCCGTATATGGGGAAAAACTTCATTCGATATCAGGAAGTATGTAGCGTTTCTGCTGATCTATAGCATTGTTATATATGTACTATATATAAGCAAACTCTAGAAGCCTCTTCACGTTGGATTTACTATAACTTCAATGTTCCAGGTTGGGTTAGTTTGCAGCTTCGGGTATGTGCAATTAGTGTCAATATTACTGCACTGCATAATGTACAATACATATCCATGCAGGTCATGACCATCATGACGTCCAGTCAAGGTGAGAGCAATCGATAGTTAACGATAAGATAGATAACTTTAGTATATTATGTAAGCCTGAAGGTCTTCAATAGCGGGGCTTAGGATCTCCGATAGATACATGCAACGACGCGACGCTAAAAAAAAAAAGTATGCTCATTGCTCATTCTGCCTCAAGGAAAAAAAAAAAAAAGGAAGACAAGGGAAAAAGAAAAGTAGAAAAGACATATCGCAACCAAAAACGGGTTTTACGCTACCATTCTTCAATGCGACTACGACGAAGACTTGAAAATCCGAGCTTGACTTATACACAAATCTGATAACTATTTTGAGACGGTACATCCTTCCATCATGCCTCATTCAGAGCATGAAGGGCCTTTGACGAAGCGCCAGAAGCTCAATTCTGTCGCGAGATCTCAGTCATCTGCGTCGCAACAGTCTAGGATATTTTCTCCCTATCGGGTACGTATAAATATCCCGAGGAATATGACGGTAACTTCCAATTCTAATTTTCAGTATTTATCTAGACAATCGGTTTAGTATCCCCTACCAATGTGCCCTTCACTACCGTTCCCCTAGGGAACACGACTTTCCAAGTGACAACGTCGATAGGCCGTTCGCTTCAGACATACGATCTAAAGCGCGGCCTCAATCTAGTCTTCATGACTCGACCCCAGACCCCAGCCGACATTACCGCAACATGCGCCTGGAGACAAAAGGTCTTTGCTGCTTGGGGTGATCTACAACACCGGTCTGCTCAGTCTACTCAGTCTGCCCAGGGTATTTGGATTTTCCAGAGGGGAAAGAAGGTGGGCGAATTAGAGCTTCCATCTGACCTCCAGGAACCTATAAAGCAAATTGTCGTTTTCGGCTCTTGGGTCATCGCTTGCGGCTTAACAAGAATAGAAGTATGGAAGACATCAAACCTCGAACATTATACCACCATTTTCGTTATGGCTTCAAGGAACGGCGACAACGAACTTACTGGAGGTATATGTACAATGCCGACATATCTAAACAAGATATTTGCTGGTCGAAAAAATGGATGGGTTGAGATTTGGAACGTCTCTACGGGCAAACTCATCTATACCATACTACCACCTTCTCCAAAATCCGGTGCCGTCACCTGCATGCAGCCAACACCCGCACTCTCCCTGATGGCCGTATCATATGCCGAGGGCCCATTGGTCATTCACAACGTGCTCACCGGTAAGCCTGTGCTCCAGGTTAACGCTGGCACTGACGACGAGCCCGTGACAAGTATCTCCTTCCGTACAGATGGTCTTGGCGCAGGCCAAGATGGGCGCAAAGATGGAATTATGGCGACGGCAACGGAGTCAAGCGGTGATGTTACATTCTGGGATCTCAACCAGGGGGGTAGAATCACAGGTGTTCTCCGAAGCGCCCATAACCCCCCAACCCAAGTTGGGGCCTCAGTTCGAGGTGGTGTGAGCAAAGTTGAATTCCTTTCCGGTCAGCCGGTCATCGTTACCAGTGGTAGGGATAATTCCTTGAGGACATGGATATTCGACGAGACTCCGTTCTCCCCCATACCGCGAATCCTCCACACGAGAAGTGGCCATGCAGCACCTGTCACGTGTTTACAATTCTTGCCATCCGATTTCGATGGTGCTGAAGCAGGAAACAAGTGGCTCCTCAGTGGTGGTAAAGACCGTAGTCTCTGGGGATGGAGTCTTCGCCGCGATGGTCAGAGCACAGAGCTGAGTCAAGGAAATATTCGCAAAAAGGCCAAGAAGTATGGGATCCTGGACAGTACCTCTCTCAGTCGTGGCCCAACTACCACACTCGATGATCTGAAGGCACCGGAGATAACTCATATAGCATGTTCCCTAAATAGAGACGGCGGTATGGGCGCCATGCCTGGCAAACAGGTACTGTGGCAAAAGAGTCAGAATCACAAAAAGACGGCAGATGCCGAAGTTAGCGGCATGACAGGTTGGGAAAGCGTTGTCACAGCGCACAAAGCTGATTCGTTTGTTCGAACCTGGTTCTGGGGTCGAAAAAGAGCCGGGAGATGGGCATTTCAGACCGGCGACGGCGAGAACGTATCATCCGTGGCTATGAGCAGTTGCGGAACGTTCGCCATTGTTGGCTCGGTTGGCGGATCGATTGATATGTTCAACCTCCAATCAGGATTACATCGCCAAAGATTCCCCTCGAAGCTCACACCAGCGCAGGCGAGACAGGTCAAGTTACAACAGCTAAGACAGACAGATACCGTGTCGCAACTTCAAGCTCGCTCTGCTACCGGCTTTCCACCAGGCGTGGGCAAACATAAACAAGCCGTCACTGGAATTGTTGTCGACTCTATGAACAAACACGTGATCAGTTGTTCCTTGGATGGGAAAGTAAAATTCTGGGAGTTTCTCACGGGAAATCTTTTGGATGAGATCAACTGGGCTCCTATGACGGGGATCACGGGTTGCCGCTACCACCCGGCGAACGACCTGATGGCTTTTTCGTGCGATGATAACTCTGTTCGGGTTGTAGACATCGAGACCAAGCAGACTATACGCGAATTCTGGGGAAGTCAGGGCAAAATAAATGACTTTATATTTTCGAACGATGGTCGTTGGATAGTAGCAGCCTCCCAAGACGCTGTAATACGAGTTTGGGACTTGCCAACTGGCCATCTAATCGATGCTATCCGGCTCGAGAAACCCTGTACCGCATTGGCTTTTTCGGCAACCGGCGAATATCTAGCAGCAGCCTCGGAGGGAGAACTAGGCGTTAGCGTTTGGAACAACAAGACACTATTCACCCATGTACCCACCCGGCAGATATCCGAGGACTCGATTCAACAAATAGCAGGACCTACAGCATCAGGAGAGGGAGGCCAAGGCATGTTAGAAGCAGCATTTGCAGAGGCACCATCTAAGGAAGAGGAGGATGAAATCGTCTTGCCCAATTTAGATCAGCTTAGTACTGATATGATGACTTTGAGTCTGGTTCCACGAAGCAGATGGCAGACTTTATTGCATTTGGATCTGATTAAACAGAGGAACAAACCGAAAGAGGCTCCTAAAGCCCCAGAAAAGGCCCCTTTCTTCCTACCATCAACAGCCAACGCCGGATCGTCGAGTCTAGACTTGGCTCAACTCAAGGCTAACCAAGATCAGAGCCAATCGAGAATCACGCGCTTTGACCGTGACAGGGTAGACCAAGCATTCACTAGCAAACTACAAACTGGAGCTGCCACGAAGAATTGTAAGATTCATGTGACCTATCTATCTACCCACTACTTCGTGCTTACAAGCTAATATTCTATAGTTGATGAGTTCGTCGAGCATCTCAAGTCTTTATCCCCAGCTACGGCGGATTTGGAGCTTCGTTCTTTATCGGGAGGTGGTGACAATGAGTCGAATGAGTTGCTTCATTTTATCCAAGCCTTGACCAGTCGGCTCGTGGCACGGCGTGACTACGAGCTCACCCAGGCGTGGATGACGGTCTTCCTTCGATTACACTTCGATTTAATACTGGAGAGTGATACCCTAATGAGCGCGCTGTCAGAATGGAGGAGTCACCAAGCAGAAGAATGTAATAGGTTAGATAACCTTGTCAGTTACTGTGGTGGGGTGGTGAGCTTCTTAAGAAGTCCACGGACATGATTGAAAGGCTCGTGTCGGGCAACCAACTTCGGGTGTTGTAATCAGAATATATTGGCCGGCCTTATGGTACTATGAGTTTTACTAAGCTTTGCTGTAGCTTTCCACTTATCTATAACCTTGCGAGTAGTTTGATTTCATGTCTCTTTAACTCCTAATACCTAGATAAACATATGCTACTAACATACTAGGCCAGGTACCAAGGTAAGCATCTAGAAGCCACAGTACTTAATCTTTTGTTTCATTCCGAGAATAACATTGAACGTCAACGGTATCTAGTCAATCAGCCCCTGACAGCTAGTCTTACCTCGTGTAGGTTGGCATTAAGTGGTTCGTCGCCAACTGACAGCTACCTAAATGTTGAACTACGAATAAAATATTGTCAACTTAAACACCACACATACAATATCCACACCTATTTCACATTGAAATTTGACGTCGACCCATTCTCAACTCTATCGCCAAGCTGAGTATATAAACACGTCCTCCTCCATTATTGTTGTTTTTTCACATGAAAACCAGATACTCAGACAGGCATACTATCTACTCCAGTTCTCAGATGAAGATCTAGATACATATCTAAGTACCTAGTTAACCATCATCGGCTCCTTTATCAAAACTCCATTTTATCATCACCACTTTTGAACGAAACTACCATGAATAGGGAATCCCCACAGCCTGCTGGTTGGATCGCCAGCAAAAATAGCAGCAGCCGGAACTTGGAGTCACCATCCCCATCCCCACCCCCATCGCCGGATCGATCATCGGATTATGTGACACCCGAGCTGGGACCTTCTCGCCTCCGAGAGTCGTCTCCTGCAAAACGACTACACGATCCAGCACCTATACCCAAGTATTCCTCCGCAGTAGCAAATTCGTCAGGTGAAGATAAGCCACCCGAGCAAACGCGCCCCATCCCGCTATTTCAACTACCACCATCACTACAAGCACAGTCGTATAAAGCGCTTGACTACAGCAGTAAGACGGCAGCGCTACCCGAACCCTCCTCAGACTACATGTATCCATCATGGGGGTCATTATCCCTTAACCACGAATATCCAATGCTCCACGCGCAGCCTGCTTACCACACTCCTGCCGTTTATGCCCCCTTCCCTCAAAATCCCCGCCCCGGAGCAGACTGCTACATTTCCCACCAACCGGATTTCTGGGAGCCCAGCAAGGTCTACAATCAGCCGTGGTCGTCATCTGCCAACACTAGATTGTTTGATTACAGTGAAAACAAGCCAGTCTATGGTATTGCCCACGATGCTGCTAGAGAGCTAGAGAGGCGGAACACGAATTGTGAACTAAGGACGCGCTGCGATGAACGTGTCCCGAGCATCGAGGCTAAAGATGGAGACGATCCCCAGCCCGAGTTAAAACAAGAACAAGAACAAGAACAAGAACAAGAACCGGAAGGCGAGACTGAAATTGTCCGCCGGTCCGAGTCATCACAGACGCTGCGCGCTGACGAAAGCAGCAGGGAAACCACCCCCGCCGCCGCCGCCGCCAGGAGCAGTCCCAGCGATCCTGGGAAAGAGAAAAAGCGGTTCCCAATAACCATGCACGCCATTATTAGAGGCATGATCCGTAAGTGTGCATACTATGTGAGCGACAACGAACACCAACGACCCCCAAAGCGGCAGCGGCAGGACGGGGAGAAGGAGAACGAGTACGAGTGCGAGTGCGAGCCCGAGTACAAGATCGAGTACGAGCAAGACCCGGAAGAGCCGATGGTCCTCGTGGACGGGAACTGCCACGTGAAGCTCGGCAGCATAAACGGCGCTTTCCTCGACCGCGAGGACCAGGTCCGTCATCGCAGGACGCCGTATATGCGGATCAGGGGGGACATGTTTATCAAGGCGGGGAAGCGGGAGGGGGGGGATGAGGATTAAGATTAAGATGAAGGGTTTACCATTACTCGGGCTGGAAAATACAGCAAGTAGATGGGATTGGAATAAGACGACTTGTTATTATCGGCGATGATGATAATAAGCAGCGCCAGGAGCTTGGAACTATACCACATACCACCTCCATAATGGAAACCTAGGTATTACCTACCTACGTTTCGGAGGACCTTTTTTTTTTTCTTTTTTTTCTTTTTTTTTTTGAGACAACATACAATCACATTCACGACACATGCGGAACGAGGGAATAAGCAAGCGTAGCGTTCAATTTAGAAAGGCTTTTGTTCGGTTATAGATAGCCTAGAGGCTGCGAGAAAGGACATTAGACGGCAGTTATACTACTTGGGTATACTTCAACACACTCACCAGCGATACTCTACTTAGATAGATACCCAATACAAGAAAATGTTGAAACAAATTAGAATACATATGTACATAATTGATGTTGGTTTGATATATGTATATAATGCCATCGTATAAAAGCTTTCTTGGGCTCGTCGCATTGAGGAAAGTATGAGACTCTTCATCTCATCTGCTTACCTATGTACACACATACATCATCTATACATACATATATACCTACATCAAAAGTAAAAAAGATCCCTTTCGCTAAGAGGACCGATGCCAAAGTTTGAAAGAGCGCTTTTCTTGTTATTATTTCCTTCCTTTTTTTCTATGTATGTGCGTGAGCGCTACACCGTAACTATCCGACCAATCAATCGACAAGCGCACGATATGTCTTTGATGTCGTTCTTCGGTCTTGGCGGCTGTGGCGCCGTAACGGGTGAAATATGTGCCTGGTATACATAGCTATGTAATGTATATGTATGTAGGTAGGTAGGTAGGCATGTGGGATGTGGGATGTGGGCGAGCACATTGATGTGGATGCCTTTTCGGAGTTGAGGATAAAGAAAAGTTGAAAGACACATGGCGAAGAGGGAAATATTAGTTGCAAAATATAGTTATCGACATATGGCACGGGCGAGTGGTCAAAGGGAGAGAAGGCAAGATACACACTTACATACATAGTTACACGCAAGACAACATTGAAAGTACACACGCCACTGTAGTACATAGTAACTGTACCTGTCATATTAGACCTCTCGCCTCCCATCTGATAAGCCCAATAACTACTCCCCTCCCATCGAAACAAAACGCCCGGGGGTCCAAGACAACCTTGTCCCACAGGAATGGGATGACCTAGCCCGAATGCGTATTAGCAATGTGGGATGTGGCATTCAAACAAGGATTACTTATACATACCTATGTTCTTGCTTGCTTGCTTGCCTTCCTTGCCACGCCGCTTATTAGGAGAAAGCAAACGCGAAGTCTCACAACAATTGGGGGTGGTCAGTGTGTTGATGTTGTAAGTAGAAGACGGCGTTAGACATACATAAGTACAAATATTCTGAGAAAACGTTACCAAGAATAGGAGATAATTAGGACTAACTAGTTATTCTGTTCGACTTACGTACGCCTGCATACGGACGTTGCCCAATCACTCCCTGGGTAGGTAGCTAGCAAGCACGTTTTTAGTTGCGCGGTGGAACGTCCGTCTCACAGAGACATTACCTCGTTTATCCTTCCTTCTCTCTCCCTTGCCATACCCACCCCCTTCTTAACTAGGTATTTTTCTCTTCGCGATTTCCACGGGTACCAATTTCCTAGGTTACGTTACGTGGCGTTGCGTTACGTTGCGTTTGTCTCTCCCGCGCAAACCGTGAACCATGGCCGCACCAACGGAGCAGGCTCCCGAGATCACAGCGGTCTCGCTTGCGCAAGCCCGCGCCAACGAGCAGCCGGCCACAACTCCGCAGCAGTCGAGTTTTAAAGACAGCGCAACGGCGACCATCATCAACGGCGATGGTGATGGTGATGGCGAATCCGGTGGTGGCGCCGGCGACGAAGGAGAAAACGGGCTATCGCGCCTGGAGAAGATGAAGTCGCACTTCGGGGACCGGCCGCAGTGTTTCAAGAACACGTTCCAGGAGGTCTCCTTCGTGTTCCAGGCCACCGTCGCCACGGCCACCACCTCGTTTTTGGCCGGCGTCGCTATCATCATCACGGTCCCCGTGTCCCGGGACCTGGGCATGACGCAGAGCGAGATCGCGTGGATTAGTGCTTCGACTTCGTATGTTACCTATCTCGCATTTTTACTTGTTTTATTTGTCTATCTGTCTATCTGTCTACATAGTACCTCCCTAGGTCCTAGGTACACATGTGCAACAAACCTGTACATGCATGCTATACACTACATATGTAGACGTATATAGGCACCTAGGCATATATAATTCCTACGTGTCACCACTAACCCCCCCTCCCAGCCTCGTGGCCGGCGCCCTGCAACTAGCGCTCGGCCAGCTCGCCGACCTCCTCGGGCGCAAAGCCATGTTCATCACGGGGATGGCGCTCTTCAGCGCCTTCGCCCTCCTCGTCGCCTTCGCGCAGAACCCCTTCTGGATGCTAGTCGTGTGCGGGGTGCTAGGTATGTGTTCCGCAATGGTGGTGCCACCAGCCATCGGGATCCTGGGGGCGGCGTACGAGACGCCGTCGAAGCGGAAGAACATGGCCTTCTCCGCGTTCTCCGCGGGGAACCCGCTGGGCTTCGTGTTCGGGACCATCTTATGCGGCGTCGCGACGCAGCTCGCGAGCTGGCGCGCCGCGTTCATCATGCTCTCGATTATCTGGGCCCTCTTCACCCTCCACGCTATCTGGGCCCTGCCGCAGGTGGAGAATTTTGATCGCGCGCCCCTGAGACAGAGGCTCGGCACGCTGAAGCAGTTCGATTATGTGGGCACGATCTTGACGATTTTCGGGACGGGCATGTTTACGGCGAGCTTGACGTGAGTGCTTGATTACCTACCTACTTGATATTTTACCTTCCACGTGTCAGTTTGGAATACTAACAGGAGGTTGATTAGTTTGGGCCCCGAAGATGGATGGGCAAGGGCGCATGTGATTGCACTGCTGGTAGTCGGCGTTGTATTACTTGTGGTCTTCGTGTTCTGGGAGAGAGTATTTCCTACGCCCTTGATGCCTCCGCATGTCTGGAAAGACCGGAACTTTAGCCTTGTGAGTCGTCGTCTTTCCTTTCTTCCTTCTTTCCGCACTGCCTACAAATTTACGTGTCCTGTGAATCCTAACCCCTCTTTAGATTATAGTCGTTGTCCTCCTGGGAACGATGAGCTTCACGGCTAGCGGCTTCTGGACGGCCTTCTTCATGCAGGAGCTCCAGCAGCTGTCAACTTTGATGGTCGCCGTGCACCTCCTCCCCATGGCCATTGCAGGGCTGCTTTGGAACATCGTTGCGGGGCGGATCTTGCATCGTGTTAATAACACCGCCATTATGATTTTCGGCGGCATATCCTATTTGGCCGCCAGCTTACTTTTCTCTTTCATGAAGCCCGACAGCAACTACTGGGCCTTCATGTTCCCGGCACTTATATTAAACGTGGCCGGGGCAGATTTGCAATTCAACGTTGCTAACGTGAGTCTTATGCCTCATGAACAATCTCTGGGAATGTTTGGCTAATAATTCTCTATCAGATGTATGTGATGCAATCTCTACCTCGGCACCAGCAGTCCTTGGCAGGCGGTATCTTCAACGTAGTCATCCGGCTGTCGAACACGGCCGTGATGGGCATCTCCACCGCGGTGTACAGCTCGATAGAGCTATCACCAGAGGGACTGGTCGACCCTATGCTCAAATTTACTCGGACTTTCCAGGTATGCGTGGCGCTCGCCGGATCAAGTTTGCTGCTCGCCCCCTTCATCCGGCTTGGGACGCAGGGGAATCATCCAAAAGAGGAGGAGGGCCAAGAAAAGAGCGCGTCCGGGACCTTCACAGCTGCAGCGGGTAGCACGGGCGATAGTAGCGAGCAGGAAGAAAAGAGACAAGAAGCAACTCCTTAAATATAGTAGAGAGCCAACTCATCCCATTCAACACGCCCTACTTTGTTGATATTACGAACTTAGGTATTCGGTACTATAAAAAGCTGTTAGACACAAATTGCAGATTTCAATGATGATTTCAGTCTTGGTATTCCTGCCATTTGACCATTCGATCCTTCAAATCCAGCACGTCCCCGTCAACGACGAAGGTGCCGTCGCCACGGTGGTGGAACATCTTCCCGCCCTCTCCGGGCTTCTTGTCTGGATTGATCCACGCCTTGACAGGCTGCAGCACCCACATCGAGTACTTGCCGACCATCTTCGTGTCCTCGACCACACACTCGATGTTGGCGATGACATCGGGCCCGCCCACCAGGGGCGCCTGGACTTTGGCAGCTGGGAGTGCTTCTAGCCCGAAGCGCTGCCACTTTCCACCACTAGTCATCTCGTCGTCGTCGGCAGAGCAGTTCCCCACATCGACAACGACCCCTGCCATCTCAACAGACGGCACGGCCAATACACACTCCCGCCGCTTCTTCAACGCGGCGAAGGACGCATCCCACGGTCCGAGACAGATGCCGAGAAGCGGTGGCGACTCGTGCTGCATCACCATATGGAAGCCTATAGTCATGACGTTGTGTGTCGCGTCGGCCAGCGACCCCGTCGTGACTAGTAGCACAGGCCCGGGCTCAATTAGCCGGTAGACCTTGCTTGGTGGGTAGGAAATGAAGCCATGATGGGGGTTGCTGGGTTGTGGCTGAGAAGAGGAGGAGGACTCGGCGACAGTGGTGGTGGTAGTGGTGGTGGTATTGGTCTTGAGTTGTTTGGTGGAGGGCGATACCTCGCGCTGTTCTTCCCCTTCTTCTTCTTCTTTTCCTTGGCTTTTGCGTTTTCGACCCATCGTGATTGATCTAAATATTATGTAGTTTGAAGATGAAATACGTGTAGATGTTTTCGGTATAACGCTATGTAAAAAGCACTGTCGGTACATGTTATACATACATGATACATTGATGTAAGGATACATGTATGTACTAGGTATCGAATGTTGGTGGTGAGCTGAGTTTGATAAGATTACCTACATGTACATATGTAGTCTATTCCGTATAGATGCAAGGATTTGAGATAGATGCATATGTCAGAACCCGGGAATACCTGCATAGCTACATAGTACATCCCTCCCTAGGTACATGTAAGTAGCGACGACGGCGTATGACTCATCAGACGGAAGTCCACATTCTAAGAGTAAGATTTGATTGTTAACGATGCTTCTTATTTTCCTTTTATACGTCCCCGACTTTATAATAACTCAGCACGTTGTACTTGACATCCGCAGCCATGTCCTCTAAACATGCCTGGAAAGTTGAAGTGAGTCCTGTTCTGTCCCTGGTGTTTCGTTTTTACTACGACTTCTTTCATGTCAGATGTGAAGAGTAATGCATTACCTACCACTGATTTTATGAACACTGGTAGCTTATTCCTTGGGATCACTTGAGCCCTGAGCATGTACAGCGCATGTATGATCAACGAATTGCATGTGGATGGAGGGCAGAAGAAGTACCTGAAGTAAGTATATCATCCGATTTGTTTAACACAAGCCTATACTTAACAAATTCGGACCACGGGCGGATAATTAGCTTATATCTCTTTAGTGGATAGAAGCTGCGAAGAAAGGTGGAAAGATATTCTACTGGGTTGTGAGTATATATATTTACCTGACCTTTTATATGCATATGGCTGATTAGGAAAGCTCCTTTCGAATGATTTGCCAGAAAAGGAGAAGCTTATCAAAACACACCTGGAAGCATATCCGAAGGTGAGCCTATGATCTCCAGAGTAATCTTGAAATGAATCAACTAAAAAGGCTTCGAAAAAAGGAGTCGACCACATTGACGGATACAGCTGCAGAGATCAGACTTGTTCCGCGGCAGCCAACCAACGTCGAGTTTATTCCTATAGGTCATGTGGCTGTTGATATACATAAACCTAAAGAGGATATGAGTCTAGGACTTCCAGCTACTGGAACTGTTTGGATCCATCAGCTATACATATCAAGGGCACTGCACAAAGGTGGATTTGGTGTTGGAACCATGTCCAGTATCGAAACATTGGTCACTCAACCCCCAATGAACGCAAGGATTGTCGCCTTAGATACCATGTCCAAGGAATTACAGACAGACCCCGTGAAGCGAGCTTTGCTTTATAACAAGGAAACAGGTGTTCCCCCGCCACTGGTAAGTCGTGACAGCATCATTGGTGGCTGTAGAGTCGCTAAAACCTGTTGATATAGGTTCCCAGTCAAGATTGGTACGAACATCAAGGGTACGAGGTATTTAAACAAGATGATAATGCGTTTATATGGCACTTGAAGGGGATTAGCATGCCTAGTAAGTGGCCTACACCCCCCTCTCTCCCCCCTCTCCTCCCCTCTCCCCACCCTCATCAAATGTAGGGTTGGGTATGATAACTCACAGTCGTTCCTTGGTCTGCATATTTTGAGGGGAGAAACACTAATACCGAGCGTTATAGTTAGCATTGTGTATATGAAGAAGTTAGTGGTATGATGGGAGCACCCTTGGAAGGAAGGCAATCCCCCCTTCATAACTTGGAATTAGCCTCATAATGAATCGATTGGATCTTGACTGTATGATTCGGGATGAAATCATTCCATGCCGTCCTCATGAACTCCGTGCTTGCATCGCATTTGCATTAGAGAAGCAGCAATAGGAGTGAGGAGAGCTGGATGCAGCGGCCAGCGACCAGCGGCCAGCGACGAAAAGCTTCTAAGAAGTAACCTGAATGGCTTCCACAAAAGTGTCGATGAGAAGTTTATCTGATGCCCAACGGTTAGGAGGGCTTAAACGCAAGCAAGGTAGTATTGCATCGGAAGGAACCGTTTTGACTTGATGGTGGTTAGCCGCGTCGCAATAGATGAGTGGTCAGATAGCCACGCGGTGGTGAGAAGGGTCATGCAAGACAAGTCATGCAGCGGATTGAGAAAAGGTATATCCTATGTAAGAGAGACAGCGAGGTGAGGCGACCTCTTAAGATAAGATGTGACTGGTAAGGATCTTGAGAGGAATCCGGGGGTGATCCATGCGCCCCGTTGCCCCACAATACAAAGTACGTGCATAGCGCTATGTACTACTAGTAGTACAATACAGTCTTTATCCCTTTAGGTAAAGTGCCTACTACTAGTTAGTAGTAACGTTAGAAACGTGGTAAACGCGAAAGTCACTGGACGACGTGCAAAGGCATAGGCAGGAACAAGTCGCGCGCATATCTAATCTACCCTAAATAGGTACCTACTACCTACATTGGTCCTATGTACAAGGAAACAAGCTTCATTTTCGTAACATTTCCCCGCCAGTCCATCCTTTATCGCTTCTTTTCCTTCTTCACAACTCCTCATCTCAACAATTATTGGATTATACTTGTCTACCCTGCCTTTCCAAATCATTCTCTTGCCTCATAGCTAAAGATTGCGACCTAACATCGTCGCCGCATTGGGCAGGATGGCGGCATAATACATAATAAAACTAAGCCTTGCCTTCTTTACCTCTCGTCCACCCGTTTCGACTACCGACCGTGAGCTTAAAGAGCTTACACGTCGAGATTGGACCGCGCCAACTATCGCATCTCTTTGAACGCGTTGCCATCACCCATCAACCAATAACCGTTAACCCTCAGCTCATTATAGTCCGAGTTTGTGCAAAATAAACAAACCTTCTTGTTCATGCGCTTTTCTTGTCTCCGGAATAACACCAATTCTCTCCCCGACCAGATGCCGCCATCCAGCCATTTTCTGAAGACGTCCAAAAACAAAATGCAGGCTTGGGTCACCAGCAATGGGCTTGCTAATAGCCAGCCTGTCCCTGCTTCCTCTGGCCCAGGGACTGGACATGATGGCCAAAACCATCCTCAGCAGCGCCATGTCTATCTTCCTCTACCCACACCTTCAGTAACACAGCCGTCTTCTCAGGCGAGTCAAGCTACCCAGGTTTCCCAAGCTCCCCCAGCTGCCCAGGCCACCCAAGCCAGCCAGAACTCACCCCCACGATCGCGCGTGCCTATCATCAATGCGAATTCCAATCGAGCAGCTGCTACCGTTGCAGCCCGTTTACCCGCTCCTACCAGCCGAACTGGGCACGCCCGGGACGGATCACTCAATCTGTCAAGGACGACTAGGGGAATCGCCTCCGAACCCTCTCAATCCTCGCGGAGAGCTCCGCCATTCTGGGAAGGGTCGACAGTGGATGGATCCATGTTTAGCGACACTGCTAGCAACATTGACGCAGCTACGACCGTCATAACAGCCCCCTCCAACCCTATGCACCGAATGCCATTTCGCTCCACCCCGTATCAACCGAGAGGAGAAACCCAACGACCTCACCTGGCTATTAAGCAGGATACTAATGTGCCGGAGCAACATGCCCCCTTTATGATAGGACCTCATGGTGTAATAGACATAGTTGGTGGCTCCCTTACGAGAAGTGCCTCGACACCGGAAGCTAGGAATCACCGCGTCGGTCATAAGGGAGCCTCTTCTGAACCCGAACCCGAACCCGATCAAGACTCGGAAGATAGTCCATACCACACTAGCCCAGAGAAGTCGCCGTCCGCCAAGCGGCTTTATCATCCCAAACCTCTCCCTTTACGCGGTAGTCGCCGCGGCTCCTTCCCTGAAAGAATTGCTTACCCTCTCGAAGACACCATCGTGTCGCCACCTCCAAACCAACCTTACCAAGATCCTGAATTGGAGGAAGCGGAATCAGAGCACTCTGCGCCACTGCGAGTGAAAACGCACCAAGAACATCACCGTTCGACTATCTTCGCCGACACCGATACTCCTATGATTAGCCATCCAGACGAGTCAGAAAACGAGAGTGTTGACCTAGAACCTACTCCAAGACCAGCCGCCAGAACCAAATCTCAAATCAGCCGGCAACTTTTTCGCGAGAATATTCAACGTCGAGTACCACTTGACGAAAGTGCGATGCCTCACCCGTTTGGGGAGAAACACTCTTCAGGTTCGAAGAAACGCCGATACGAACTGGACTATGATGATGGCGCTTTAGCAGCGATGGACTATGCAGAACTTAAGAACGAGGCCTTCGATTTCGATCCGGCCCGGGCGGAGGCACAAACAGCAATAGGACAACCTCGAGGCACCTTGCCAGAAAAGCTTAGCCAATTTTTAGACAAGGATCGAGCGACCCAAATGGATTTCTTCACCAAAATGTCCGTCAGAGACTGGGAAACTTCGGGCGACTGGTTTCTAGAAAGATTTGGAGAGGTCATGCAACGGTTCAGGGAAGCTCGCCAAAAGAAGCGATCCTTGATAGAGGGCTTCGAGAGTGAAATTGCGGACCGAGGCGAGGCTGTGAGAGGTAAAATGCAAGGCATTGATCGGACACTCGGCGAGCTTAGAAGTGAGGGTGAAGGCATGATGTTAGGAAAACAGTTTGAATGAGATAGATACACCAGCAAAGGGTAGCACATACCTACCTCGCACCCCACCCAGGCGGCGCAACGTAAGTGGCGAGGTTGTACGAGCTGGGATTTCGTAAGAGCTGCTGAGAAAAGAGGTTGTCATCGTGTTGTTAGCTTGAGGGGCAGTGGAGATTTTTGCTATGATCACGGCGCATTTGGGCTGGAGCTATGATTGCGTTCAAGGTTTGCTTCGTCACGTCAGCTACGAAATGGCAGGGGAGGTTATCTGGTAAGATACCCATCTTGTTTTGATACATATTAAATGATAACTGTCTGCTTAACTCTTCTATCCTTACCCACAATCAATCTCAATTGACATCCTGGCTTATTGCTGGGCATCAGCCCGTTTCTCAACATGTCGGAGAATAGCTCGTACGCGGGGTAGTAGGCGTCGACGAACTTGACCACCTGCTCATCTGTCATCCCCGTGCCCCTCTCCCGTCGCAGCATCGCCTCCTGCTCTAGCCTCCAGTCGTACACCCACTCCGTGTTCTCCGCGTCGATGTGGATGAAGGCGTCGAACGTGTCGGTGATGACGTCGTAGGCCCGCAGCTTCTCGTTGACGAAGAGGAGGTGCTCCAGCGGATGTTGGCGCAGCGTTCGGCTGTTAGCGTCTTCCCACTTCCGCACTACCTCGCCCTCGTCCAGGGATCGGAACCCGACGCACCACCCTTCGAAAATTACCACTTCTACCGGTGGCTGATCGGGGCCGTTGATGGTCGTCCATTGTGAGGAGGGGACGCGGTCGCCGAGGCCGGAGTAAGCGGCTTTGTCGTATTGGGGGATTTGTGCGGGGAGGCCTGCGCAGAGGGAGGTGAAGAAGGTGTGCGCGAGGGGGATGTCGTGCGTGCCTAATTTGAAAGTGATGTTAGGAGATTCATGACTTTACTTTACTTTTTCTCTTTTTCCTCCTATTCTCTTCTCCCCTTGTAAAAAAAAAAAATCTAGTATGAGTATGGAGAGGGGTTGCATACCTGGCTCACCACGGACCTGGACCAGCAGATTGTCCGGATGCGACTCGGCGAGCGCCTGCTGGTCTTCGCGCCGCAGGTAGAAGTCGTCGATGCTGCAGACGAGGGTCTCGAGCCCTTCTGTCTCCCGCAGCTGGCGCGCGAGCGCGCGCACTAAGGTCGTTTTGCCGGCGCCTTGGACGCCGTTTAGGCCGATGATGAAGGGTCGCTTCGGCCGGTTATTGTTGGGGTTCGGGGTCGAAGTGGGGGCGGGGGCGGGGATGGATGTGGATGTGGATGCGGATGCGGAGAGGTAGGCGTGGTACCGCGAGAGGATGAAAGGGATGCATATGGGGCTTTTGTCGTCGATTATGTCTACTGCTGTTGTTGCCATTTTTAAATTCTTTCAATATGCTTGAGGGTTATGTTGGTGACGGCTTTTTTCTTTTTTTTGGTGGTGATCTGTAGGTAGGGAGGGAGGCAAGGAGGACAGATAGGCTTGGCATGCTCGGTTATTCGGGTGGTCCATCACGGGATCTAGGTACCTGTTTTTAGATGGTAAATAACTATAGGTTAGTAGTAAAGTAGCAGCAATAGAGCGGATTGTGAGCTTCTTAACGGGCCTTGAGCATGGGGAAGTAAAGATGAGTTAAGCTGTTTTGCTTCTAGGCTGGTATGTAATAGTCTTTGTGGGGATAGGCATTGGAGGCTCAAGATGAATCAAGGGCAGCTGAGATGTTCACGTTCACGTGAGGTATGTAGGTTTGGTACACAGTAAATAGCTCGACGCATGCATGACCTCATTCAAGCTCCCGTCAGCATCGACATGTTTAACTAGTGGCTTCACATGTGAACATTGAATGTCCACTGGATGACAGTGGATGTCCACTGGAAGTCCACTGGTTGTAACGGGAAATTAGAGACCCCTGGCTGGTACCATACTCCATTGGGCATGGTGAACTTAGCGTGGTCAGTATGGGCCGATCCACTGTACAGTACCGTATTATGTACCTTCCTACACAAGCATCTGGGGGCCCCTCGGCATTCTTGCCAGGTCGGAAAGCTGCCTCGGCTGAATTCCTTAGTACTATGTAAGTAGCCGGGGATCAAATGCGGCAGATTGAGGGAAAGCTTCTTTATTACATATGTAGGTACCTGGAACTGGATACTGGACTGGAAACTGCCACTGCTCATTGGAACTTCATCTTCATCTCCCCCAGATTTCATATTCATATTTCCAACATTACTTAATACTTTAAAATAATACTTGACAAAAACAAAACAATACAATACACAGAAATGCCAATCGTGTAACAAAACCCCATTCTGCCTGCTGCTGAACTTGATCAATCCAAAAATCACTTCTTTCTTTTATTATTCCTCCCTTATCTCCCTATCCCCTTCACAACCTTAACACATTCGGCGCGATGGCAGGTGAATTGCGTTTTGATGACCAAGTCGTCGTCGTTACCGGCGCTGGTGGTGGACTTGGTAAGGCATACGCAACCTTCTTTGCCTCTAGAGGAGCCAAAGTTGTTGTCAACGATCTCGGTGGTTCTTTCAAGGGCGAGGGAAAGTCATCAAAGGTAAATTACAAAAACAAATCATCAATGGCAATTTTTGAGAACATAAACTAACGGGTCACACTACTATCCTTAGGCTGCCGATGTAGTCGTCGATGAAATCAAAGCCGCCGGTGGCCAAGCTGTGGCCAACTACGACAGCGTCGAAGAGGGTGAGAAAATCATCGACACGGCCATCAAGGCATTCGGCCGCATCGATGTCCTGCTCAACAATGCCGGTATCCTAAGAGATATCAGCTTCAAGAACATGTCGGACCAAGATTGGGACTTGGTCATGAAGGTGCACGTCCGGGGATCCTACAAGTGTGCCCGTGCAGCTTGGCCGCACTTCCGTAAACAGAAGTATGGTCGTGTAATCAACACCGCCTCCGCCGCCGGCTTGTTTGGCAGCTTCGGCCAAGCCAATTATTCGGCGGCTAAGCTGGGCATGGTTGGTTTCACCGAGACGCTCGCTAAGGAGGGTGCCAAATACAACATCATCTCAAACGTCATCGCCCCTATCGCAGCGAGCCGCATGACCGAGACTATCATGCCTCCGGATGTCCTGGAGAACCTGAAGCCCGATTGGGTCGTTCCCCTAGTTGCCGTCCTGGTACACAAGAGCAATACCCATGAGAACGGCAGTATTTTTGAGGTCGGCGGTGGTCATGTCGCTAAGCTAAGGTGGGAACGATCCAGCGGTCTCCTTCTCAAGGCCGACGAGACGTATACGCCTGATGCTGTTCTCAAGAAGTGGGACCAGGTTGTCGATTTCTCAAAGCCCCAATACCCGTCTGGTGCCAATGACTTTATGACTCTTCTCGAGGAATCAATGAAGATGGGCCCGAGCGAGCAGGGAGAGAAGCTGGACTTTACCGGCCGTGTAGCCCTTGTCACGGGTGGTGGTGCTGGTATCGGACGCGCCTACTGTCTCGCGTTTGCCAAGCACGGTGCCTCTGTCGTGGTGAATGATCTAGCAGACCCTGATACCGTTGTGAACGAGATCAAGCAGCTGGGCGGTAAAGCCGCTGGTATCAAGGCTTCTTCTGAGGAAGGTGATAAGGTCGTAAAGGCAGCCATCGATGCTTTTGGCCGAATCGATATTATCATCAACAATGCTGGCATTTTACGAGACAAGGCATTCACCAACATGGATGACAGCCTTTGGGACCCTGTTCTCAATGTTCATCTCCGAAGCACATATAAGATCACCAAGGCTGCTTGGCCATACTTCTTAAAGCAAAAGTATGGACGTATCGTTAACACTACCTCTACCAGCGGTATCTATGGTAACTTTGGACAGGCCAACTACGCAACAGCGGTAAGTAATGGGAGGGGGAAACACCCTTATATGATGAAGCTAATACTAATGGGTTTGACAGAAAGCTGGAATTCTTGGATTTTCTCGTACGATTGCGCTTGAAGGTGCCAAGTACAACATTTACTGCAACACCATTGCTCCTAACGCCGGAACGGCCATGACGCGCACCATATTGCCCGAGGAGCTAGTCCAAGCTTTCAAGCCTGACTATATCGCACCTCTTGTCCTTGCCCTCTGCAGCGACAAGGTCCCCAACAACCCTACAGGCTATCTTTACGAAGTAGGCAGTGGTTGGTGTGGCCGAACGAGGTGGCAGCGAACGGGAGGTGTCGGTTTCCCGGTAGACGTGAAATTGGTTCCTGAAGAGGTCGCCAAGAACTGGGCCAAGATCGTCGACTTTGACGATGGCCGAGCGGATCACCCCGAAAAGGCCTCAGACGGAGTCGCCAAGGTCATGGCCAACATGCAGAACAAGCGAGCGGCATCCAAGGTATGATGAGTCTTTCTCCCTCCCGTGATGCTCTTTGTTTTTATATATATCATGTACATATATATGTCATTATAGTCTAAAACCTAGTATATGAATTATCGAGGTTAACAAGCCATTTTTGAAGAAATCTACCGCAGCCAACCAATATCTTGAGGCCCAAGAGAAAGCTCTCAGTGCCAAATCCCTGGTGACGGATTTTACCTACGCGGACCGTGACAGCATGCTTTATAACCTGGGCATTGGCGCCAAAAAGACAGAGCTGCCGTACGTGTTCGAAGGTCACGGAGACTTCCAGGTGCTACCGACGTTCGGTGTGATCCCCCAGTTTGACGCCAACATGCCATTCACCTTCGACGAAGTGGTGCCCAACTTCTCGCCCATGATGCTTCTCCATGGCGAGCAGTTCCTCGAAATCAAGAAGTACCCAATCCCGACGGCGGCCAAGACGAAGAACCACGCCAAGCTGATCGAGGTCGTGGATAAGGGCAACGCAGCCATTCTCAAGAGCGGTGTCACGACTGTCAACGCCGAGACGGGTGAGGAGCTTTTCTATAATGAGGCTACCGTCTTCCTGAGGGGCTGCGGCGGCTTCGACGGCCAGAAGAAGCCTTCCAACCGGGGTCCTGCCACCGCTGTGAACCAGCCACCTAAGAGACATCCGGATGTTGTGGTTGAGACCAAGACAACGGAAGAGCAGGCTGCTATTTACAGATTGAGCGGTGATTACAAGTGAGTTTTCCACTTATTGTACAAATACGTTTCTCCCGAATGTTAACCAACTAACCCCCTCTCTCACTAGCCCCTTACATATCGACCCCAGCTTCGCCAAGATGGGCGGATTCAAGGTACCAATTCTACACGGGCTGTGCTCCATGGGTGTCGCAGGCAAGGCCGTGTACGAGAAGTTCGGCCCGTTCAAGAACATCAAGGTCCGCTTCGCCGGCACCGTCGTCCCCGGCCAGACCCTCGTGACGGAGATGTGGAAGGAAGGACCCGGCAAGGTCGTCTTCCAGACTAAGGTCAAGGAGACGGGCAAACTAGCCATCTCCGGTGCCGCGGCGGAACTTGTGGATGGGGGTAAGCCTGGCGGGAAGTTGTAAAGTGTATCAAGGAGCATAGCATTGACGAGATTATAAGGGGGCAGGGGGGTTAGGTGTGCATATGATATGACATGATATAAGAAAGAGAGAGAGAGGGTGATTTACTACTTATATCTACTATACGTTTCGGAAAAGGGGAAGAGGGTTGGCTTTATTTATTTATTATTAGTACTACTATTAGCTTGTAAGAGGAGGATATGAATGAAAGGAAGGAAGATAGGAAGGTTGCCAGAATATTTTTACCTAGGTACTTGAAATAAAAATTTGGGCGTGGCGTCTTTTTGCTGTTACCAGAACTCCTGCTTATATATTGATTAAGACTGTGTGTAGTGGATGCTTCCTAGGTAGTTAACTTACCAAGGTATATATATGAGTGTCTTATAGTTCTCGCCGAGTGGTTTGAGATGTCGTTGGTTTCTAACTCTAGGTTATTTCGTGTATAGGGGATATGATATGTATACCTACCCAGTAGTAAGGTAAGGTAAGGTCAGGGAATAGGGGAAGGGCGTAGGTAGGTAGGTAGGTATACATAAATGCCTAACCTAGGTACCTACTCACATGATAGATAGCATTTATACCATAGGTATTTAACGTGGTTACATACCTAGGTACAATACCTTGAATTCAACCTATTGATCTTCACGTATACTTACCTACCTACTTACCTACCTACGGTATAATAGTCTACCTACATCTATTAATGATCTATTTGACTTGACCCCTATCCAATGAATTCAAATCCAATTCCGCTTCACTTATTATTTTTCTCTTAAAACTACCTAGGTAGCCCCTTAACTAACCTTGATTAATTACTGCAGAAAAAATAGTTACTCCCTTGAAAGATTTATGCTCTGTTACTTCTTCACAACACCTATGTAGTAACCAACACAATATTCACATTAACCCCTATTCACTAAGGACCCTTACGTATCTATCTACCTACCTACCAAGGTAGGTACCTAGGTAGGTAGGTAGCCCATCACAATGGCATATACACAATAACACGCCAAAAGGATTCCCATTTTCTTTTTCTTTTCTTTTTCATCATATCCTGTTTTGCTATGTAGAGTAGGCACCTACTAAAGTAGATTCCATACTTTGTTTATACTAATAGTATTTACCTCATCATTTATGTAGGTATCTACCTCCCTGCCTGCCTGCCTACCTACCTAACCTTCCTCCCTACCCAGCCACCTCCCCAGGTATCTACTTTACCTAGCCTAGCTTATGTAGTAGTAGTAATAGTAGTAGTTTCTTATCTTATGCGCCGTTTCCCATGAAGAATCAGTCCAATCAATGCTGGATGCTCGCTGTTTCTGAAATACTGAAACGCCTCAAGGCCGCGCACGCTCGACTGGCACCCGGATATGCTCCTATTCTATGAAACCCCTAACCCAACCCAGAAATCAAAAGGATGGTGGGGGGGGAGAGAAAAAAAAACGCTCTCCCAAAACTCCGTTGCCCATCAGCATTTCCCATTTCCCATTCTGTCATACGAATAAAAACTCTACTACCGAGTCGCACAACTCCTCGATGGTTGGGATCTTGCCACGTGGGAGCAGCTGCCTGATTCCATTTATTTTGCTACGGTTGCCCAAGCCGTCGTCGAGGTATGCCTTCTCCGCATCAGAAAGGTCGCGTCTCTCTGATTCTCTCCATTTCCGTTCTGCCTCGATCTTGGCCTTTCGAAGGATTTCTTCTGTGTTCTCTGCCTCCCACAGGTTGCATTTGTTGCATTCCTTACACTGCCGTCCGTCTCCTTCGGGTCTGAAGTGTTGGCAAAAGTGCTGGTAGCCTTCGTTCATCGTACCGATGTCTTTACGACACACATAACACATTTTGTATCCACATGGGCAAGTGAGTTTATTGCATCCGGCCGTCTTGACGAACGACGTGCTGCATCTAGGACAAACACGCTTGATTGCCATTGACATCGCTTGTTCTACTTGCGTCCGCAAGGCGACCAGGGACGACTCGTGACAAATGTGGATATCTTGCCATGCCTTCGAGCACGACAAACAAGACGAACGAGCGCAAACCGGGTCGCGACAGGTGAATTTCAAGCCCCGGCAACGACGTTGATATCGGTTGAGGGCCCCTTCGATTTGCTTAGATCCATACTCCCTAATCGACGGAGTCAAGCAGAGAGCGATACAGACTAACGCCAGTACCAATATGGGAACGGAAAATGGGGACACAAGTAAGCAGATGAGAATGAGTAAAATATTGGGGACATTGCTAACGCGGAGCTTGGGCTTGGGCATATCAGCTGGCACGTATAGGTCGTCGACTTCGGCATAGCTACAGAACGGGCACCGGATCAGAGGCAGCCCACTGGACAGGAGACCATGCTCCGCCAGGCGTTGATCGAGCTTGCGTATAATCTCGGTCCCACCCTTCTCCCCATCCATAGCTCGATGTATATGCTCTGACGATATACACCCCTCGCACTCTATCGATGCCACGGCAGGGCATCGAAGGGCACCTGTTTCCTTGTCGACGGTACGCTGCCAGCCTTGCCCAAATACTGCTTCAGTAATGGAGTGTCGAACACAATTAAAGCACACCACGTGACCTTCAGTGCCGCAGGTGGTAATCTCTTCAAAGATGGTGTCGCCAAAGCAGCATGTACATTCGAATGTAGACTCGTTAGCTTCAGCCTCTTCGGTAACCAAAGAGATAGCCAAAGCACGATCGCTCTCCTCTCTCGCAAGCTGTTCGCGTTGTTTCAGTGGCATGATTAATTCCTCAAATAGTTCTCTGTCCAATTCGGCGTTGCCAGTGGCTTTTAAAGTCGGGACCATGGACCCATCTTCGGCAGATCTCCATATGATAAGGGGATGTGTTTCTGCCTCAGTGGAAGTGACTGGTCTGCGACGAAAGAACAAAGAGGACAGGGTGAACTTCCACGATTTGGAAGACAAGCCTACAAGGGTCGGTCGAGCGTCGAGATAGGAGAAGTTGGACTCGGACAAAACAGCATCGATCGAGGATCTTGATAGGCCTTTGAATTCCTGCATCGCTAGAGCCCGCACCGCCTCCTTGTACTGTGCCGTTCTGAATGCCTCAGTTCTCGAGACCAGAGCATTCGAGTTAGGACCGCTATTATCATTCGCCTTCCTTCGCCCCTTGACAAATTCGCCGGGATTCTTTAACAGCTTGTCCGTGATGATAAATAATCGCGACTCCTCGGAAAAGGAGGCAAGCATCTCCCTGAAGACTTCGACTTGTACATCGGGAAATAGATCAGCGAGCCTTTCGAGGTTCTGGTTCAGGTCGAGGACATCTCGGGGAGGGGGTGGAACAGCCTGAAGCTGTGCCTCGTCCGAGAGGTATTCGGAAGTCGAGTGGAGGTCATGATTTCGGGATCGCGATGGAGAGACTTCAGGGGATACTCTAGATGACTTTGGTTTGCTCGATATAAAAGAACCCCTCCGGCCCGAGGAGGGAGCGCTGAGAAAGCCGGAAAGAAACATGGCTTGCTTATGTTGTATTGTATGAGGTCAAAGGGATAGAGAGCATGGTCGATTACGTTTGAAGTTGGAAGTTGCTTGGCCGAACTTTGGGAATTAGTCTGTATGCACAATGCAAAGGGCAAAGTTGAAATGTTTGCAGAATGCAACGTTTTTTGTGTATTGGTGTATTGTATTGTATTGTATTGTATGTAGAATAGAATAATAAAATAAAATAAATATATGTATATGACCAGGGGACCCTGTGAACATCAGTTACGAATTCGGAAGTGTGTAATTGCAAAGACTCATAATCTCCCTGTCTCGGTGTACAAAGCACGGGCGAGTTCGGACAGAAGAAAAGAAAATAAGAAAAGAAAAGAATAATAAGTTTGATAAAAGTAAGTGTGCACAAAAAAAAAGAGTCTGAATACGAAAGTATAATGGAAATAATGGGTACTCAGGTAGAGACTGTAGTCTGTTGAAGTCAGATGAGGATCAAATGGAAGTCGCGTTGGGCAAGCATGATGCACGAATAAGAGTTCCAACGTTACGTATGACTTAATTGGCGGAAGGAATAGCATCCGTGCACCACTAGCTAGGTACTAGTACCCAGTAGGTAGTAGGTACCTTACTGGACCTTACTGGGTAAGGTACGCTACTGCATCCAAGTGGGGGCACTTTGACATTCTGGACGAATTTCTCGTTGTAAAGAAGCGGGGAAAGTGTGAATTAGGTTTGAACGGGTTCGAAGGGTTTATAATACCGTTTTAGGGGCGAAGTTTTCAACAACCGAGGTCCGCCTAGCGGATCTCAACAGGTTCCTCTGAATCTGCCACAAAATGGCCCAGTGGTCTAGTCGTATGATTGTCGCTTCGGGAATTTCCCATCCTGGAAAACGGGAGAATGTGACAGGTCCCGGGTTCAAATCCCGGCTGGGCCCTTTCTTTTTGTCTTTTTTTGCTTTTTTGCCTTTTTTTGGCCTCTTCACCTGCTTGCTTGCTGTTAACTATCTTCACTTCATAACTAACTACCTTATGCTTAAAAGTTTGTGCTACATAACTACATAGTTATGTACAGCTAACGACTTGAAGTTATGTATACCTAGGGTATGCATGTACATGAGTTAGAGAAGGAATATAGAACTTGAAGCAGAAGGCAGGAACTACTGCTATGTGATGATACTAGGTACCTGTTCTATCATCTTAGCTCGTCAATTGATGTTGTTTGCCCTTCCTTGCCAGGCTTGCCTTCATTCGATACTACTGTTTGTATCAGAAATCATAAATCTAGGTCTTAAGTTAACCAACAACAGCCTTTTTCTTCTACAAATACGTACATAGATAGATAGGTACCTAGACATGTCGTTTTCCAGGATGGAGCAATCAAAGAAAGCCGCTATCAACATTATCGCACACAACCTTCTCGACGAGATCCGCTCATTTGATCGAGAAGGGCTTGACAGCCTGTCCATCGAGATGATCAATATACTAGAATCTAAGACCAGAGAATCCCTGGTCAACGCCGATGTCGACGAACTGGTGGCCTTGCAAAAGAAGTAGGAGTTAGTCTCATATGGACAACATTATGCTTTCTTCGTAGCAAAAATCATCACAATCGGTGTTCTGGTTTTGACCGGGTTCCCTCCCAACTCCAACTCCATCTCATCCCACAACCCCTGAATTTCCGACTCTGGGATAAGGGGCACCCAGGTAGCCATATATGCCTTGAACCACTCAATCCCGTGTAGATTACACCAATCTTCGTCGTGGCTGATCCATATCTGCTCCTCCCACTCCTTGACCTTGCTTTCGCCTAGCCGAGAGTCCACAACAAAACCATCCGTGTTCCCGTCGGCGTTGATGTACACCCTCGTGACATCCTCCCACTCCTCCTTGGGGAATCCCAGATGATCGAACGCAGTGTTGATCAACGGATATACATTTTCATAGACACCGCCCCTAGCCCTCTCCGCAACCGCATTCAGAATCCCCTTCCAAGCAACCTGAGCCCTCTCGCCCGCCTCGATGAGTGGCCGCGTATAGTAAGTGACCGCGAGTGTTCCACCAGCTCTCAGCTCCCTGCCGAACTCGCGGACCGCAGCGTCGACGGCAGTCCAGTGGATGCACTCGCAAGCAGTAACCAGATCAACAGTCCCCGACGCCACGGAGCTGTTCTCCGCCGGTTCCTGCAGGAACACGAATTTGGACTCGGGGAGGGATGCTTCCTCAACGAGGAGCTTCCGGGCGAGTGTGACGTAGCCGTCGTTGGGATCCGAGACGATCACTTTATCGAAACTGGCAGCAAGTGTCGAGGAGACAATGCCGGCGCCGGCGCCGACGTCATGAGCTACCGACCAGGGTTTCTCGTTTCGTTTGGAGTGATGACTGTATATGCGCTCGAAGAAGGATACGGGATATTGAGGGCGGAATGCAATGTATTTCGACCAGTTCACGCCTTGGCGGTAAGAAAACCCTAACTCTTTAGCTGGTGCGCTCTGTTCCGCTTGAGAGGCAAGGGCAGCAGCCATTATGGAATACTAGGTACTATGATAGGTTATCAATCTGAGAATTTCACCGTCTCCTGTTTTCTTTTTAGAAATATCCATGAATGAGTGAGTGCCCTTGGAGTTATGAATGGAAATTGGCATTAAAAGGGCCCGAGCCAGGAAGTTCTAGCAAACAGGAACCTCACTCCAAGGAATTTCAGGTAATACAGTGAGGGGCAGGTGGCATTCATCTACGGTGCTTCAATGTTTCTTGATAGAAACAATATGTATGCTGCACGTTACATCTACTGCCGAGGTACATAATGTAGTGGGATGTGTGACTATAGTGTGACTTTATAGTGTGACTTTATAGATCGTGGGGTAGTCGGATTCTATACGGAAATAATTATCAAAGCTCTTTCAAAAGATTGATGATAGCAGTTAATGGTTTTGTGAATAGCTTCACAATTGGGAAGATTCGTGCCTCAATATTAAATGTTTACATAGTACATGTATGTATGTCTGATGTATAAGATTAGTAGGGGTATCCCCTAAGCACGACTGAGTCGGACTGACCAAGCACAGTGTAACTACTATTAGTAGTAGCACTAGCCTATTAGCAGCTTAGTGTGGTAAAGTTACTGGCCCAGACCTTGTAAGCAGGCGGAAGTGGCAGTGACATCTTCAAAACCTTAACGCCTGCCTATGCAGGTACTTTATACTTTGTATCTCCAGGCTTTCATTCCACATGTGCACTGCAGAACGTGAATCCTTCTTTCTTCAATTCTTCAACTCTTCAACATACATACACAACATCTTTACACTATACAACTTTTAATACGCCACAAAACATAGCACCTATACAACACACCTTTACCTTCCTTCGCTAGAACAGCAGTTGATCCCATTAAATCAAACATGTGCTCCGCTGATCTGTTCCTCGGCCTGCTGGCTATCCTTTTCCCTCCACTTGCCGGTACGTCATCCTCCATTGAAAGGCCCCCTCTCATCCTCCTACCCCCACCCATCTGTAACTATCGTGCCCATTCGTCCTGCCACCATACACTAAATACTAGTGAGCATGGGCATCGATTATCTATTATCTATTATCTATCATCTATCATCTGTAATCTAGAATGCGATAACTAATCCAATGAACCTCTAGTCTGGGTGAAGACTGGCCTCTGCAGCGCCGATAGCATTATCAATCTCCTCCTCTGTGTTCTTGGCTACGTAAGCTCTCAGCCCTCCCCCAAATCACATCACATCCACAGCAACCCCCCTTTTATCCTAACCAATTCGATAGATTCCCGGCCTCCTACACGCTTGGTACATCATCGCCAAGTTCCCCGAAACCTACGAGTATGACCCTGTATCCACCGATGCCGACGAGCGTGGCGCCCGTGGCGGCAGCGTTCGCTACGTCTTCGTAGAGCCGCAACCGCACCCACAACCTCAAGTCCACCCACATCACTATCCACAGCAGCCCAACTATGGCACCGCAGCAGCAGCCGGATCTTCCTCTGCAGGTCCCGCGACAGAAGGAGAAGAGGGCAGAGCTCCTCCGACCTACGCCGAGGCCGTGAAGGGCGACCACAAGATCCAGACTCACGATTAGGCGTCCTATGCGCCCTTCGCCGCCAACAGAGGCCGAGGATCGCCCCATCGTCCGCGATATCCGTCAGAGGGGCTGTCGCTCCGGGATTTCCGGCTGCAGAAGTCGGTGTCTGAACTCGAGTATTCCTGGGAAGGCTAAGCTGTACGACACATTTCTCCACACAAAATAGAGAAAGAGAAGAAGAAGATAACTTGCTTTAACGGACCGGAGTTGGAGGCTAAAGACTGCGCGCATCCCTTTTTTCTTGTCTTATAGTCATCATTTTACCTATTGTTTTTCCACTGTCAGGCTATTCTGGGTCCCTGGGTAGGGAAATTGGGGAGCGGAATGGCAAAGGTCGGAAGGAGGGAAAGTAGGACGGAAGCGATCATTCTACATACCTAGGTAGGTTTTCCTCCTCTCTCTCTTTCTATGTCTCGGGATCGCATGGATAGGTGTATAATTGTATCATTATTGCTCCGTATCATTGTAAACACAAAAATATAAAGAGAGCAAGCAAAGCAAGCATATAAGAAAGTACCTACCTAGGTAAGTTTCAAGAATCGAAACGAGAAAGTAAAGCATACATTACCCCCAGCTACCTTAGGTGGTAGGTACAGTAAATAACGTTGGAATAAAATATTTCTTCTTATTTTCTACTTCGCCTCGAACTTGTCGTTGCAATAGTACCTGGGTAGGTAGGTAGGTATTTAGGCAGGTACTTAGGCATCTATGGCATCTATGTATGCATGGCATTTTGCATCGCAAGTTGAAAGTACCAGGGACTGACTGTGAGTACCTAAGTAGGTAGGTAGGTAGGTAGGTAGGTAGGTTCCCCCTTTATGAACCAACCCATTCATTCCCTATGTACATCCAAACACCCCCCCCCCCCCCCCCCCCCCCCCATCAACCCCCTTTCCCCCCGCCCTCCTGCTCCTCCTCCTCATCACTGAACCCCCCCCCTCCTTGACTCCCAACCCCAACACTACCGACACCATCACTCCTCTTCCTCCGCCCGTGATAGACACACACGCCGGTGCCGCCCGACTTGTGCCGCTTGTTCGCGGGACACATGGGGCTGTTGGGCAGGTGCTCCGGCATGTCGAACTCGAAGGCGCTGGGGGCCATGGCGAGGTAGCGCGGCACGGCGTTGGGGACTTCCCACCACTCTTTTGCTGAGGGGGTCGAGACGGCGCGTTTGTGGGTGTGGGTTTTCGTTTTCTTGTGCGTCTGCTGGGTCTGGGTCTGGGCATGGGTTTTTCTTGTATTATTATGCGTCTTGGTCTGTGTCAGTGTTTGCGTTTGCGTTTGCGTTGTTTGTGATGTTGTCTGGACCCTCGGCTCGGCCCTCTCGAGGTGGTTGTGCGGTATCGCGGTCGGGGGAGGAGAGTGGCAGAGGGATTCTGGGCCCGTGCTGCTGGTACTACTACCACCACTGCTGTTGTTGCTGCCGGTAGTCTCGTTGCTGATGTAGCTGCTCCCGACGCTGCTAAGGCTGATGCTGCTTATCCGCCGCGGCGGCATCGAGATGTCGAAGAAGAAGGACCGGGGGCGGCCGCTGCCGCCGGCGCGGTGGGTGCTTTCTCGGAGCGGGGGGGTCTTCACTCGTGTGGCTTCCTGTGTTTAGGTGAGCGTGGTTAGGTAGGTAGGTATTAGACAGTAGGTAGCCGGAACTACGACATGGCTAGGTATGAGTAAGACTTACGCCGCCCGGAAACTGCACGCAAAACGAATTCACCGGCTCTACACAACCCCATTAGCGAATCTTCCCCCTTTCCCCTTTCCTTGTCCCAATTCCAAACTCCAAGAGAAAGAAAGCCCACCTATAGCAGGCACCGGGCTGGTAACCGGCGTACGGCCTCGTAGCAAATCGCGAATGGAGCTCGACGCACTAGCCTCGGAGCCGGCCGACGCCTTACGGTGCCAGGGGCTCTTGCCGAAGAGCTTCAGCGAGCGAGGCCATCCACCGCCACGCTGTTTCTTGCTCTCCTCGCGTAGCAGCGACGTCACGCGGCTCATGATGGGCGGTGTCCCCGTGTGAATTAGCTGGGCCCGCGCGCGCGCGTCGTCGAGCGTGCTGGGCGTGTACTCGCATACGTTGTCGTCGCTTTGGGTTTTTTGGATCTTCTGCTTTGTTGCGTATGAGTGAGCGAGGTGGGTGTGTACATATAATTTATACGGGAAATAATGATAGGTAGCCAGTGAGTATTTTGGGCATAGAATATAAAACATACCAGCTTATTATGGTCGGTGAGAAGTCTCGCAAGGAATGATTTCTTGGACTTGGATTCCTGGCTAGTCGGAGACAAGCGCAGCAACGACGAGAGCGAGCCGCTCGGCGTACTCAGCGGCTGGCTTACCGGGGTCGCGTGGGGGGTAGCCGAGTCCGAATCCCCCTTCCCGGTCGTCAGTGGCGAGGACGGCGTGAGCCTCGTGGACTTGGATATAGATGCGCCGCTCTCGCTGCTATTGTTGGCCAGAGGCGACCGCTGCAAGGACAGCACATGCGTCTCTTCGGATAGGTAGGGGCTAGGCTGCGCCATCTGGTCGGTCCTGTTCAGGGGGAACGAAGATCCGCCGCTCTCGCTACTCGTGCCTTGGCGGTTATACGGCGATTTCTGCAGCCACTGGACGTGGGCTTCTTCCGTAAGAAAGGGGCTTGGTAGTGGGTAAGGCGTTCTCGGTGTGTGATCCCAGAAATTGTTTGGGAAATGATCTAGGTCATCCTGCGTTGTCTCTTTCCCAGAACTGCTCTTGCCGGATCGCTTCCGCCATTTGAAATGCTTCATGACTTTTCCAGGGCTCTCGACGATCTCGCGCTCGGCCCAATAGCCAGCCGGGAACCATACCCATTCGTGACCCTCTCTGGCCGGCCGGGGAGGGTCCATGTAAGTGTTGGCATTGGGAGTAACGGGAGCGCTGTTGAAGGTCTCCTTCATGCTACGTCGGGTAGTGAGATGTGCCGTGGTCACTGATGCCACCGATGACGATGGTAGCCTGCTCGTCGGACCGTCCATACCGGAAATGCTGTGAGGTCGCTATCGACTGGCAGCGCTCCTCCGACGAGGCCATACCGTCGAGGGGCTAATGTCATCCGTGTTGTCTTCCATAGAGAATAGAGGGATACTTAAAAACTGGAAATGGAAATGACTAATTCTTGAACTCTTGTCGTTATTAAAGATAGACTGTGTACGAAAGTGACAAAAGACCCATTGTCAACATAGGGCTACTGCGGGTAAGTAAAGAGTAATTCATAGGGAGTATGTCTTGCATCAAGGCCAACAAGGCCTAGCTAGAAGAGAAGGGGGGAGAAGAGAAGAAAAAAGGACAACGATAATCCTACCTACCTAACTACCTACCTAGTAGGTACCTACATACTAGAAAAAGAACACATGGAGTTGGAAAGGGCCTTTCTTAGGCTTAAGGCTTCCTTCCTTAAGGTTGCCTTCAAGATAGTGAAGCTACCATGCACTCCCTTGCATAATGTAAATTCCATAAAGGGGTCTAGGAGAGTTAGGAATTGGGAATTGGGGATTGGGGATTGCTTCATTGTTAGACACGTACTGCCCCAAAATATACGAATACAATATTATACATACACGTATATGAGATGTCATATACTGCTTATATTGTACATAGATTGTTTTAATTGCTGCTACGAGCTTGCGGTAGCATGGGCTCGATCATTCCGACCATGAGTAGAGTCCCGCCGTGACCGGGTCAAAGGTTCTACTTCCATAGGGTCCTCGATTATGGGTTCTTCATGCCCATCTTCGTCCCATTTCCCAAGCAATTCGTGTTTGGGGCCGTCTAGTTCGCCATCGTCGCCTAGCATCACCTTCTTCTTCTTTTCTGATGCCGAAGCCATGCTCCTCATAGCTTTTAGTCTTGCTGCACGCTTAGACTCGGAGGTGTCGACCTTGCTTAGATGAGTATCGATCTTAGTCTCCACAATCTCCTTCACATGAAATGCAAGGTTCTGACTGCAAAATACTCCTGAATACCGATAGCTTAGCCAAAGGTACAAAGTGATCGTCTTGTGAAGGCCTTCTAGCTTTTTCAAATATTCCGCTGGAGAATAATGCGTTTCGTTTTGATCGAGAAGTTCTAAATTGACTTCTGGAATATCAACGAGACTGCCACCTTCCATGCGGGAGACACACTTAGCAAAGGCCTGCAATATGACCGCCCCATTGTCTCCTCGCAGGTAGGCCGGCGCATTCAAGAATACGCAACGATCATAAACCGACATAGGGAAAGGTTGGATCAATTCGGCAATTTCCAACATCTCCCCCATAAAACAGAGGTGAAACCTCGAAGAAGTTTGTGCGATATCTCGCAGCCGGTTCAAAATGTAGCTAAAGGGGGTGTTGGGAGGGAAATACGACGATAACCGCTCAATCACGGACGGCGGGGGTTGTATACCGGCAGATCGAATAGGTTCAGCGTCAGTCGCAAATGCTTTCTTAACATTTTCTAAATCGGCAGCGTCCATAGTTGTGACGTACCCAGGCAGGCCAGCTTCCGATTTAGGGCGAACCCCTTCTTCGTTTGTGCTAGATTCTGGGCCAGCTATATTCGCCTGGCGTGCCGTTTTATAACGACCAGCTCTACCTCCTATTTGCTTCAACTCTGAAGTTGTCATCACCCGATAACCGTTCTTGGTACGCTTATGTGTTGTCTCGAAGATGACGCGCTTCACCTCTAGGTTGAGACCCATGCCAATGGCATCACTGGCGACGAGGAAATCATAGTCGTTGTCAGGGTCGTTGAAAAGTGCGGCTTGCTGAGCGCGTGTCTCTGGTGGTAATGAGCCATAGACCATGGCACACCGTCGTTTTGTGGTCTGCTCTATTCTCTTCTTGATTGCGTGTATGCCGACTCGGGAAAACGTGACCACGGCATCGCCCTTTTCGAGATGCTTGAAGTCATTATCTATGGACTTGTCCATAGGTACCAACGGGCTAAGCCTGTTGTAGCGATGGATAACACATTTATCGCCGATGGTCTTACAAAGGGATTCGATCAGTTCCACGGTGCGCTCTTCTCCGCAGAGGTGAACCTCTTTGGCCTGGACACCGAGGAATGCTTGGGTCCATGCCCACCCTCTTTCGACATCTCCAATCATTTGGATCTCATCAATAACCGCAACATCAACCACATGGTTGAGAGGGGTCATTTCTACAGTACAGCTCCTGAAATAAACGTCCTCGTTCTCAGGGATGCGCTGCTCCTCGCCGGTGATCAGAGCACATTTCTTGCCCTTGGCGATAAATCGAGTATAGACTTCATGTGCCAACAGCCGGAGTGGGCCTGCGTAGATGCCCGAATTCGCATTTTCAAGCGCCTTGAGGGCATTATAGGTCTTCCCCGAGTTTGTGGGGCCGACGTGTAGATGAATTGTGCGCTGTAAAGCTCTGGTGGCGGGGAACCATTCGTATGGGTAGCGAAAGTCGGCGAGGGTCTTATGTGTTTCTAGGATGTTCTTGGGGAATCTGGAGCGCATAAGGAAGTTCTGAAAGCCATATACTAACTCGTCGGCCAGCCCGGTCATATCCCTTTCAATGAAGGCGTTACGAAGAGCCCAAAAGAGAGGATTCTCGGCCTTGGAAATGGCATGTTTTTGGCTGGCAAGATGAAAAGCTTGCTCGATCGTTATCCTAAACAACTTGATCTCCCGCTCTAGATCAAGTTTTGAATTGAGGCCGAAGCCTTGGTACTCTTTATTCTTGGCTGCCCAGCTACGCGATGTGCTCATCACCAAGTCAAACCTGTCGAGTGCTTTATTTCGGAAAAGAGAATATGTCTTTCTGGTCACGCCGGGGTTTTGGGCGGTTCTGAGCTTGTCGGCAATCATGGATGATTGCTTAAATGGGCTATGTGGAGTTTTGGGCTGATATGATCTCTTCTATAAGATAGTTGCTTAGCAGTTATAAGTTATACGTAGGGTATCCTTCTTGTAAATATAGTTTACCTTGGAGGGAACCCTCGCAAGGGAGCTGGAGGTTGTGAAGGCATGTTTGCGAAAGGCAAGAACTGCTGCGCAGCTTGGCTTAGCCGGTGCAGTTCTGAGGAGGAGGCGCATTGCACACATGAGAGGTGCGCAATTCGGGAATCATGTTAGGACTGATTCCCTCTTCATGGATATTTGCAAGGGAGTAGGTCAAGAATTGACGACCAATTTTGAACTTGGAGGGGTTGAAGAGTTGAAGAGTTGAAGATACGAGGCGAATAATAAATCGTACGTATATGTAGTTATGTGATAGCGTAGTCAATTGCTAGGTACAGTACCCTACCCTGCATATGTAAAAAATTAACTTTTTTTTTCTTCTTCAAGTGCTCTTAAGTTATCTAACAACTTTTTTTTTTTTTTTTGTAATTGACCCCACGATGATAGTTACATATGTACTATCGATATGAAATTTCTTAAAGTTTTGGCTACTTTTGTTGGTTATCGGTAACGCCGTAGTTTATCCGCTTTGTTACTGTACATACTACGTACTTACGACGTACTTCGTGCATGACCCCGGGAGAGCTAATACTGACTAGGTAAGGCGGTGCTACGGTGCTACCTATCTTTACCTATCTTCAATGTTGCCTTCTCATTCTCCTAATTGGCCGATTTGTTCTCTTACCATCGTCATTCATGTCCCTGATTCCTCACCTTTACATAGTACATAGTACCAAGATACGTGGAATATCAAACCAACGTTGATGCTTCATTCTCATACTCTGGAACTATATCCTGGATACTTTACTCCAAACTTCGTCAGCATCTTAAACATTCATCTTCATTTTCTTTTTTCCCACCTAGATATTCCTCACCTGTTTAATTCAACACTGCGACATAAGTAATCGACTCGATCCTAGGAATATTGGGTATAGCAATCGACAATGGCGTCCTCATCGACACCTCCAACTCCACTTCTCTAGTGCGTCTTGATCCAACCTATCCTATCATATCCTATATGATCCTCATTCCATCTCATCAAATGAGCCAATGATCAAGTAGGTAATCGTACCTAAGTTACTAATAAGGAATTATAGTTCGTGCATCGCGCACCACACCACCATCCTATCCGAATGTACCACCTCAGCCTCTTCACAGACCTCGTCGCTTGCCTCCCTCATCCTCCCCAAGATCGGCCACGACTCACCGCAAAAGCTCACGTACACCCATGGAACGCATCACATCCACTACATATCCGAGGCCCCGTCCTCGCACCCGGACAACCCCTCGGCGGGCGGGCTGACCTTCCTCGTCATCGCCGAATCGTCGCTCGGCCGCCGCGTGCCCTTCGGCTTCCTGTTCGAGATCCGCAAGCGCTTCTTCGATGAGTTCACCGCCGACGCGTCCGACTTCGCCGACATGCCCAACTACGGCGCTGGTAGCTTCAACGCCGAGCTCAAGAACTTGATGGTCGAGTTCGGCACCACGAGCGGCGGCCGCGACGACGCCATCTCCAACGTGCAGCGCGAGATGGACGACGTCCGCGGTATAATGACACGCAACATCGAGGGCTTGCTGGAGAGGGGCGAGCGCATCGATTTGCTCGTTGACAAGACCGATCGCCTCGGCGGCAGCGCGCGCGAGTTCAGAGTCCGGAGTCGCGGCCTCAAGAGACAGATGTGGTGGAAGAATGTCAAGCTCATGGCGCTGCTCGTGATAGTGATGGTCCTGATTATTGCTTCCATCATTATTGCTGTTAAGAACACAACCGGATAGACTGTCTCACCGCCAGACTTTCCCATGAAGAGCTCGAGGGGGTGTGCGTCCAAAAGCCTACCAGGCATGCGGTTTACCACAAAGGGGATTCCCCCCTTGGACCTAAGATGGGATTGTAACTTTTCTTTTTTTTCCGACGGCGTTTGTTTTGCTTGGCTTTGACTTAAGGGAGGTCCGGGAAAGATGCTGAGCTGATATTGAAAAGGCTCACTCAAGGCACGGGGAAAATACACACGAGCAACCTGCAACCCCTTTGTTTCATTCTTCGTTTTGTTGGCGCCAATACCCTAGCTGAGGTAGGTAGTGGGAACTGTTTTTCAGGATCCATGGATTTCTCAAGTGTACTTCTGCTCCTGTTCTGTGTACATTCAAGTTTTAGTTTTTTTTTGTACTTTTACCCCCGAACTGCCACACACATGCAGGCTGCTTCATGGCGGTTTAGGGGACTCTTGTGCCATGATCAGTTCACCTGTCTACCTACCTAGGTCCCTAAAGGGATTCTCTGCTAGGTAATAACCTAGGTTAGGTTGGTTGCATGGCATGGAAACAAAAATAAACCCTTTTTCAGTCTTATATTATGGCTTAATCGCTTTACGTGCTACAATCTCAAATTGTCTAATCTTTAATATTCCTTTCGCGCGTAGTATTTCATGTACATACATGTACAGTAAGACACCTAGACATAGTGAACTTTTTCATTGATCAATAGGCACCCAGCCAACCCAACGCCGAAATCATAACAACGTAACCTCATAACATGGCCGGAATAGCGTCTCCCCATCGCGCTCCTTGATACACGTACCCGTGCGCCGCCGGGTTCGTCGTGCTCGCCGCATCTACCGCCAGCGCTGATCTCCGCAGCAGCCTCTCGGTGAAGAAGACGGGGTGCAGATTGGATGCGTCTCGCGGCTGCCTTGCTTGCAGTGATGCGGCGTTGGTGGTCATTGGGGCATGACTCCCCGCGATACTGCGGCGCGGTAGAGGTGGTTGCGTGACTGGCATGATGGGCTCTGGGAAATCAGAGGGCAATGGGGGAAGAAGAGGAAGAAGAAGGGGTTCCTGGGTTAGAGCCGAGGAGGCATTGGGTGGTGGTATGGCGTTATTATTATTATTATTATTATTGTTGCTAGAGCTGGGAAGTTGGGTCCGTGGTTGAGCTCCGGATCCAAATGATACAGATACGGAGGAGGAGGATGGTGATGGGGTTGTTGTTATGTCGAAAGGCTTTTTGTTTGTTAGTTAGGTACAGTTACATATAGTTATATTGATTATGTTATGTACCGAGGTAGGGATATGTTATCTACTAGGGTATGTACCTAGACATGGAGGCTTGAAAGTTCAAATGATTTCAAAAACTCACCCGAGGTTGTTGTGGCATGTCGTCATCACCACGTGCAGATAAAGCTGGGTGATTGAAACCAAAGACTTGCGAAACGGAATGCCGTAACATTGTCTTGAATATAGGTGCTTGTGTGGCCAATAGAAGGGAAGGTAGGCTAGATATAAAGAGAAGATGAATCACTTGAAATACTTAGTATTTACTAAGCAAGTGTTGTTGTGAGTTGATTTGTATGATTAGGTATACTTGGAAGTGTCTATCACGAGTAATTGTGGTGGCGATAGTGGTCGTGGTGTATAGATTTTTTTGTAAGGTGGATGGAAGCAGTAGTTAATAAATTAGTGTGTACCCGTAGTAGTAGTGATAGTGGTAGTACCTACTATGCAGTTAGTTGGGGTATGCTTAAAGATAACATTTTGATGGCTACTAAAGATTTACATCCATGGATGAATGAATGAATGGAAATGAGCTACATAATACGACATAGCTATTCTAGTTTGGGTAATTATTGGAGTTCTAGACTCCGGAGTTGTATTAGAATCATCAAATATGAAGTATGGCGAGGAATACGTAGAATAGTGAGATTCAATAGGTAGGTAGATTATGCCTAGTTATGTACTTTTATATATAAGTCCGATGTCGTCTATTCATAATCTCATTACGAAGCCGGAGCCGAAGCCGAAGCCTTCTTCCCTTTCCGTCGCGAGGTTTTCTTTTCAGCCTCCTTCCCCTTTTTGATCGAGTCTATTAACGCATTAACCTCTTCTCCCTTTTCAGCTTCCTTCTTCTCCTTCTCCTTCAAGTCTTGACGCTTCTTTTCCAACACTCTCAACGCCGCCTGTTCCTTTTCCACCTTTTCGATGAGCTTGTCGCTAGCTTCCCAGAGTTTCTTAGCTACTCCTTCATCCCTCACGTCCACTCTCGCATAGTCTACCTCAATGCATTCTTTAATGAGCCTGCCTCCTGCTCCTCTCCCTAGATCCGGGTCCATCGCGGCGCAGAGGATGGATTGAGCACCCATATCCGGGCTTTTCAAAAAGAACCAAGACAGCAAGTAGGTGATTACATAGACTACTAGCCCCCAAATCGTGCCCCGTGTCAGCCATCGTCGCATTCCGGGTGTACGCGAGTACCCTGGGTCGACAAAAATGACCCGCGAGTTCATTGGGAATTGATCCGGCCGTTTGTATGTATCTAGATGTTTTTGGAATGCTTGTCCGAACACCATTAATGCCAGCTTGCTTCGAGCATACGCTTTCCCTGGGGACCATTCCTTCTTCACCAACGCATCGTTGAGTGATGGGGACCGGATGTAGGATGAACATGTGGTAAGAATGATTCGCACGTCACGATCAAAAGGCTGAGCTCGGATTGCTGGACTTAAAATCCCCAACAAATGAAAATTCGCAAGGTAGTTGACCATCCACATCTCTTCAATTCCTTCCTCCGTTTCCACACGTTTCTTGCCGGGGGGTGTAATCGTCGCGGCGCATAAGATGATCATATCGATTCGTCTCGGCGGCGCATTGTCGATCCACTTCGTGGCAAATTGCCGGACACTATGCAACGAGGCCAGGTCGACGTGCTCGGCATATATCATGTGATTGTTCGTCTCCTGTCGCATTTCTCCGATAAAATCGGCGAGGAAAGGGTTCGAGGGCGGTAGGTGAGTTAATAGTATAATTTGTGCTCCTCGCATTGCTAGATCTCGAACCACGGCAGCACCGATTCCGGAGGTTCCGCCAGTTATCAGAACTACGCGGCCGTGCATGTTGCGGTCCGCTAAGCTCAGAGCTCCGCTACAGTAACGCTTCAGGAGATATAAGGTTCCGGCGACAGCTCCCACCTGGAAGACTGTCCACGGATCGCTCGCCCAATCGGGGACCCATTCTGGAGGTCCATTTTCTAACGTGTGGTAAAGGAACGGAAGAGGCATAGCATAGTATTCGAGTAGAGGTCATAGAAGGTTGAAGGAGTAGAGGAGGGGAGGAGGGGAGATGAGGAGATTCGAATAGAGTTGTCGTTGGAAAGCTTACATATGTAGCTGACGAAAATTATATATATATTTTTAGTAGCTGTATGTATGGCATTGTGTGCAGCTGAATTTATACTATTGATGGTGCTATGTTTTAAGGTTAGGTGTTATGTACGCATGTATACAGGGGGTTGTGACGACAACTTTTTCTCCGTGCACTACGTAACCAGGTATGTACATTATCTACCATGTACCTATGTAGTGGTACAATACTTATGAAGATGCTAGGTGCTACATAGTACATAGTAGGTGTAGTGGATGTCAGGGGTCTTAGATCTTAAATGCAAGGCTGATGCGTGCCAAGAACATCCATGGATCTCCACTTTATCTATACAGGGTTGTTGTGTCTTTGGGTTTCGCCTCACAAGCTACCTAATCTTCAGCCTTTCAATGTTCACTTTACTTTACTACTCTTACTAATTACTTCACTTAATTCATTTCCTTCGCATTCATGTTTTCACACTCTCCAAAATCCTCATGGGTATTTGAACACTTTTGAATGTGAATACGACATATCTTCACACATTTAAAATGTCATCCCAGGATTGGGAAGATGACCCGGAATATGACATCCCTCTTCAACACAAACGACCATTTGGATCAGGACTCAAGCGAAAGCGAGTAGTTTTCGTCCCGGCTTCTTCAGATGATCTCAACAATACCGAAGAAAATATATCTACGAAGCCGTCACAGTCCGTATCAGATCTATACTTGAGTATAGTATTACCCAAGGAAAAAGATGAAGATCAGTCAAGCCCGGAAAAGGCAAAAGTGATCACCACACCTCAAATCTGTGAGATTTGCCAGTTGCCAGTCAATGAGAGTTCCAAGGATCTCGAGAATTTAGAGACGAGTTCTCGACCACATGAAGCTTCGATAGCACATCAAGTTTGCAAGGCCCACTCATACCCTCCTTCGGCACTGGATCGGTCGCGCATGGGGTTGAATGTTCTTCAGTCTCAAGGCTGGGATCCAGACTCACGGAAAGGATTGGGGTCTGAACAACAGGGCATACAGTATCCTATTAAAGCAAAGCAGAAGAATGACACTCTGGGAATAGGCGTGCAAGTACCAAAGAATTTACCGGTTAAGGAGAAAAAGGCTCAGACGTACGATGCCAAAAAGGTACGAAAGATGGCAATGGAGGACAAGAAGAAGCACGAGAGACTTCGGCGACAATTCTACGGCAATCCAGATGTAGAGAAATACCTAGGGACCGGATAGGAGTCACTCAGGACTCAGAACGTGTTAAATGTTTACATTGGTTACGGTGGATTTATGAGAAGTGTTTTAGCAAGCGATTGATTATATATAATGAGATAGATACCCCCGGACCCCTTTAGAAGCTCTTGATAACAACGCTAACAGTTGTACTAAATCACTTATTAGACATGGCTCACATGTGGTCTTTATGCAATGTGCAACATACTTGAATGAGATATGCCTATCGATCTCATTAAATCCGATTGGGTGGTTTGATGATATCCAATGTGTTACTGTAGCATAACCTTGAAAACATAAATATATTTAGGTGTAGTTATGTATGTATGTATGTATGTATGTATGTATGTATGTATGTATGTATGTATGTATGTATGTATGTATGTATGTATGTATGTATGTACATGGAGTAGAGTATCATTGATGTACGGCACGAGTACTGTACATACCTACGTACGAAGTATGTACCTAGTAGTTACATGTACTACATGTAGGTAGTATTAAATTTCAAAGGAATCAACTTTGAACAGCTTTGAACCTGGCAGTTGGTTAACCTTATCCCCAGAAAGCTAGTAAGAGGTTGGTATTTAAGATCCATCCATGGATGATACCTAAAAGTGGAGAATCTTTAGGGGTTTTTTTTAATGGCCCTGGAAGTTGTTTAAGCACCTGGGCACTTAGTTAACTAAGGTCAACATTGAAGTTCAAGGCCAGTCGCATTAGCGGATTGGCGCCCTGAAACTGAACCCCGCCAAGAAGCAACTGGAGCCAAACAACCTTTACCACGACCTCGCAGTCCAGTGCAGTCCTGTTCTCTTTTTGAAACTCAATCCTCCAACCACGTTGTCAGATGTAATGCGTTCATCGATTGGTTTAGGGGTACTTTTACCGTCTTACACATCACCTTCATACTCTTTTCGTCATAGCCGCACATAATCAATCTGCTGTGTCAATCTGCTGCGACACCTTACTAGGTACTAGGTAATCTACATACATACCTACAAGGCTACATGTAGGTAGTATGTAGGTATTCACAAGCTATCCTATCTATTGCTACAGTACTAAGAAAGAAAACTACCTACAAGAACACCAACAACCATACCTACCATACCTACCATACCTACCATACCGATACTCAATTAAATTAAGCTGGACTGATCTTGCTTCCATTGCTTTAATCGAAACCTACAAACCTCTAACAATACACACCTTCCGCCTCGAAGAATCTAGTAGGGAATCTAGTAGACATACTGTGCTATTCTTATTCTCTAAAGGCTGGAGAGTGCCTACGGGCCAAGAGCCAAGATGGGTGTATCCATTATTGAGGAACAACGCGACAGTGAGAGAGCCCCAATACCGATAAGAACAAGAGCTCATTAGGAGCTTGTATGCCTAGATACTAACACAATGAACTCTCTTGCGCATAGTCTTGATCAATACTGTCAAAAATATCACTGCCGGCGACGTAAGTTATACCATTCTGTCAACCATGACCCCTTATGCTAATAGGGGTTCTACAACCAGTGGAAAGTCCTAGTCGTCGACAATGATTCCAAGAAGATCATTGACAATGTTGTCAAAGAAGACGACATTCTCAATCATAATGTTGCAAGTATGTTGTCCTGTCGCATCCCATGACTGGCGCATTAGCTAAAGTAAATGTCACATTACAGATATCGAACTGATCGAGGATCGACGCGAGATGAACCCGACCATGGACGCTATCTATATATTATCACCTCTACCACACATTGTCGATTGTCTAATGATTGACATTGAGCGACGGAGATATAAGAAGTGCTTTTTGGTATGGACTACCGTCCTCGATCCTCAGCTTAGAAGGCGGATAGACGGTTCTCCCTTAGCCAAACAACAGATAGCCGGTTTCGAGACTCTATCTATTGACTTTTTCCCTCGCGAGTCGCATCTTGTCACCTTCAGGGACCCTTGGAGTTTCCCTGTCTTATATCACCCCTCCTGCAATAGTCTTGTGAGAAAGCACATGCAAGACTTGGCTCAAAAGGTTCGCAAGGCTACATTGACACCCTACAATTATATTCGCCACCCGTAGGCTAACTTCAACCACGATAGATAACCGGCTTATGTGTGACCCTTGGCGAGTATCCCAAGGTCCGTTACTACAGACCGACAAATCCAATTCATGAAGCTAGTGTGCTATCTTCCCATTTAGCCCGGTTTATCTCTGAAGAACTCGATGAATATGCGCAGTGGAATCCTAACTTCCCACCACCGAGTCCGAGACCCCAAGGAGTTCTCATAGTCACGGACAGGTCGATGGATTTGATGGCACCCTTAATACACGAATTTACCTATCAAGCAATGGCACACGATCTACTACCAATCAAGGACGGAGAAAAGACGACGTTCCATATGGTTGTCAATGAGGGAAGCCCAGATGCCGAAGAAAAGGATATGGAGCTGACGGACAAGGACAAGGTGTGGGTAGAGAACCGACACCGACATATGAAGGACACTATTGATAAGTTGATGAACGACTTCCAAAAGTTCCTGGACCAAAACCCCCATTTCACCAATGCGGACAGCAACACCACCAGTTTAAACGCGATCAAGGATATGATGGCCGGGCTACCACAATTCCAGGAAATGAAGGAGGCTTATTCTCTTCACCTTACCATGGCACAAGAGTGCATGAATATCTTCCAGCGCCACAAGCTCGCTGAAATGTCCCCTATTGAACAAGACATGGCTACGGGTCTTGACGAGGACAACCGGAAACCCAAAAACGTGCTAGATACAATCGTTCGCATGTTGGATGACGATGCCGTGACGCAATCAGATCGCCTGCGCCTCATTATGATGTACCTCCTCTTCCGGGATGGAGTCATCCCGGAAGATATCCAGAGGCTCTTGGCACATGCCTCCTTACCACCCCAGGATGGCGAAATCGTGTCGAATCTGGAACTGCTGGGTGGTCGTACGACACACGGGCTCAAGGATATCCGTAAGGACATCCATCCCCTATTTCCTATTGATACCAAAACCCCTATTTCCGAGGAGAATTTTATGGCACGATTCCAACCGGCCGTCAAGTTTATGCTAGAGCATCTATGCAGAGGAGCTTTAGACCAAACAAAGTTTCCTTACGTCAAGCCACCACTTGACCCCAATGAAGACGCACTCATCGGTCAAGGCTCTCTGCGAGCAGCGAAGCCTAGTTGGGCTGGGGCTGGTAGACGTGTGGTAGATAACAAGCAACGAATTATCGTCTTTATGGCTGGCGGGGCGACCTTTTCGGAGTCGCGTGCGTGCTATGAGGTTGGCGCGACTATGAATCGTGATATTTTTCTAGCCACTAGCCACATGCTCACTCCGCAGCTATTTGCGCGCCAAGTGGGTGATCTAAGTAAAGATAAGCGACGGCTCGATCTCCCCATGGAGAGACCCGCCCCCAGGCCGCCGGCTCACCTATTCGAACGACCAGCCCCACCTATTGCGGCAGCAACAGCACCTCCTCCTGGAGGACATCGCCCACCACCTGGCAATGCCCCGGGACCCGCAGGACGCCCACCTGGGCCAGGCGGGCTACCTAGCGGCGGCCCGAGGGGAGGAAGCCAGTCAAATATATCCACCCCACCCACACAATCCATGACCAACTTGTCGCTTCACAGCTCTAAACCGTCCAACGCAAGTGATCAGAGACCTGTGTCCAGCACTGGCAAACACAAGCAGGAGAAGGAAAAGAAGAAGCGCAACATCTTTGGTATGAAGAAGGATAAGGATAGATAATCAGGGGGCGATAACCTAAGACACCTGCATGTTTGTCGATACGATGCGTTTTACTAGGCGAAGTAACCTGCACCCGCACCCACGCCCGCGCCCGCGCCCGCAACCCTCAAATACGGCAAAACTTCATGCCCGCTCTCCTTATCAGTCTTACCAGCTAGCAGCTGTTGGAAGATCGCCGGAGTTACAAACTAGTCAGACCAAGACTCGGGAACGGCAAGGCTGGGGCTAGGCTAGGCTAACAGCAATAAAACATGCACATCCATACATACTAAGATACTAAGGTGCAAATAACCGAAGCACGGCGTTGGGGAGTTGAGTTGGGTTTTCTTGTCTCGCCGCTGAGAAGTTCGCAAAGCAAGCGAGCGAGCGAACATTGCATTGTATTGTTGTTGTGGTTGGTGTTGTAGTTGTTGCATAAAGTTCTGCATGGTGATGGATATATCAAATAAAGTACGTAGTTGTTGGTGGAATGGAGAAAAGATGAATGGTAGTTGAAGATCAAGCAAGAAAGAAAGACAGCAAGAAAGAGTGCCTACGAACTTTGAAGACTTCCCGTGTACCTAGATGCATGTATGTGATGGTTGCTGCTTGGCTATACACATATCGTGTATAGCTGAGTAATAGTTAGTAGGTGCTGTAGTAGGTAAGCAGTGAGTGAGTGAGTGAGTGAGCACCTCCCAGAGTTACTATACTATACTATACTTACCTTACTTCAAGGTTAGCTGTCTCCTTACCTACCTACATATCTAGCTTAGGTCTCTATTTACTTGCCTAGATACTTAGGTACGTATTTGCTATCCTTCCATCCATAGATATCTAACTACCTAGTAGGTATGTACACATTTTACATATTATTGAATATCTTAGGGTATCTATTACGTACAAGAGAGAGGTAGTTAATGGAAGTTCGCTCGTTCGTTCGTTCGTTCGTTCGTTCAATTGGGTGGGTGCCTATATACCTACCTATGTATGTATATGTAGAAGTATGTATGTGCCTACGTAGGTATGTATGTATGTATATACATGAGGCTATATCGAGGTCTATATAGTATATACCTACCTATATTAGGCAGGGAAGGCAAGCACCTATTAGTACCTAGGTAGGCAGGCAGGCAGACAGACAGACAGACAGGTATTCTTCCTTCATAAGAGCACGTCGACGTCTATTAGCTCCTTCGTAATACCTCAAGTAGGTACCTAGGTTAGTTAGGTACTATAACTTATTCCCAAGCACATCGAACATATCTAACCTTAACTACCCCATATCACCCACTTATGCCAAAGCCTAGGTACCTACGCAAGGGACCCTAGGTAGGCATTCATATCATATCATACCGTATCATCTAGCACATAATCATCTTAGCAAATCAAAAAGTTAAGACAAGATAAGATCGGAAGAAGAGAGAATAAGCAAGCAAGCAAGAATTGAGAGTGCGGTATCATCAGCCGACCATGAACGACGACGCATCGGCATTTATCTACCCAGCTAGTAACTAACATCGTTATTACAAACGACACAAGCCCCGTTTCCGCGCCTCCCGTAACTACCTGCGGTTTTTTTTTTGCGTACCTATCCGCCTGTTTTTGGTGGTACTTTAAGAACCCGAAACCATACAAATGCCAGAAAGCTTCCTTTGCCATTCCCTTTTTCCTAGACTGGAGTCTCGGGGAGAGGCAAGAATGGGCGTTGACGGTTTTTAAGAACCTCTTGTTATCCTCCCTCCCCTCCCCTTCATTTGATAATGAAGGGGTGGCTTTCTCCCGATTCCAGCCTTTGCTTTCTAGTCCCTCACGTTTCAAATACATGATACCAGTACGAAAATTTGGCCGTTTCTCCTCCATTTGGAGGCCCTTGCCAGGAAAGCACTAAACAATGTTATGTTGGGAAGGTTCCAGCTAGGGCTAGCGGTAGATTATGTAGGTTTGAGCGATTGTTCTCCGTCGACGTTACCAGCCCCGGGTGACTCCTAGTTCCTACGGAAAGCACCTGGCGGGGGAGGCATTCCGCGGTGATCGAAGCCAAACCCGACGTTTTCTGGTCCCTGGAAACCACCCATTCCGGGTGGTATGAACCCCGGTGGCGGCGGCGGTGGTCCGCCAAAGAATCCAGGAGGGGGCGCCATGTTACGAGGGGGGGCCGCTATTCCTTCTGGAGGGAATGCGCCCATGGGGAAGTTGGGCGGGAAACCGGGAAGGGGCCCATTACGTGGGTTCCCGGCCAATCCAGGAGGCGGGATCATGGGACGCTGCGGAGGAGGCAATTGTTGCCCGTTGTTTTGCATCCAAGCAGCGGGGTGCATCTGATCCAGGCCCGGGGGAACTTGGCGCTGGAGAATTTGAGTGGGTTGTTGCGGGCGGTTGTCTTGCTCACGGTGGTGCATTGGAGGTTCATCGAAATAACTAGGAAGGTTGGCGCCGCGACCAACTTGATGGAGTGGAGTGTTGCGCTCATGCTGATAATCTAGATCTCGGTCTGGCGTGGGGAGAATCTGTGCCGGCCTGGAAGGTTGCGGCATTCTCATAGTAAGCTGCTCATTTCTCTGGACTTCAGGCGCCGGTCGAGCACTTTGCATTAAAGTCATGAGAAACTCAGCATTGCTGCTGCTATTACGGCTTGGTGGCTGCTCGGAACGCATAGCGGGCTGGTTCTGGCCAACGTGACGTTGGCTAATGATTTCATGGAGCATTTGTTGCTCTGTACGCATTCCAGCAAATTGTGGGTTAAGTTGTGGTCTAGGCGTGTGAGCATCATGATTCGGTGGAAGGTTTGGCGGAAGACCACGAGCGAGGGGCTCGTCACGGCGCTCTTGTATGTAGGGCTGGAATGGACCAGGAGAAGCCGCCGCATGATTGGGGGGAGGTTCCGAAAACCCGCTGGTTGGAGGGGGTGTTTGTAGAGTCTGTTTCTGCAACTTCTGGAGCAAGGCTTGGAACGCTACTTTCTCGGCCACGTCGTTTTGCGATTGTGGTTGGGATCCAGACTGCGCTCCAGCCATGGCTAGGAGTGGATTCATCTCGGGCGGTGGCGGTGCGCTGACAACAGGAACTGGGTTCTCTACCTGCCGTCGTGATTCCTCCTGAGATGAGAAAAACGTTTGAAACCGAGAACCTGATTTTGGTTTCATGACAGGCACAGCATTCTCCTTGCTTGGTTCACCGGCGTTGCCAGCGCCTTCGATGCTAGTACTCTGAGCAAATGCGGCGAAAAACTTGTCTGGGCCGATCTCAATGGCAGGCGTTGACTTGGCCTTCGTTTTCTCGATTTCAACTTTCTCGGGGGGCGCAGATGCTTCGGCAGATGATTTGGGGGTTGGCTCTGCCTTGACTGGGTTCTTCCCAGCCTTCATGCTATCCATGAACTTCTTGAAGTCCTCTTGGGTACGTGCTTGAGGCTGCTCCTCTGCTGGTTCGGCGTACCATTCCGGATCACGTTCTTGACGTTGATCTCGGTCTCGATCCCATCTTCGTTCGAACCCTCTTTCTCTTGGTCTTTCCTGGTGTACTTCGGCTTGGTGTTGTTCGTCTCTTTCTCTCCAGCTTCTCGCCCTATCAAATCGCTCCCGAGGGGCGGACGATGCATCGTTATTCTCCCTTAGCCAAGGCTGGTCTGCCCGATGCCTATTAGTGCCGCCATTTCTACGAGGCTTTTCACCTTCCTCGCCCTCTTTCTCCTTGGCAAATTCACCAAAGGTGCGGCGAGGCCGTTCGCCATTCTCGCGATCATCTGGATCACGGACTCGGCGCTCTCCCCCAAAGCGCTCAGGGCGATCACCCATGCGTCCATGAAAACGTTCGGCACCTTCGTGCCCAAAGCTTTTGCGAGGCTTAACGGTGCTCCAGCCGTCACTGTCCTGATCTGCATCCCCACGCCGACGAAAAGTGGTTCGGGTATCACGATCTCGCTCGCGGTCACGGTCACGGTCACGGGGACGTTCCGAGTTGTCGGTGTCGCCATTCCGAGACCGGAAAGCGAAGCGGTCTCGAGAATCGGTCTCTTTAGGACCCTTATCGTTATCGAAAGGCTTGTTGCCCCTCGATAAAGTTGCCGATGAGAAAGTCATACGCGGGGGCCCCAGGATAATATCCTCGGGATCTAGATCCAGAGCATGGTTAGACAATGTTAAGGCGGCGCCAAGTTAGATAATAATGACTTACTCCCAGAGTTCCGCGATACATGTCTATCGACACCTGTTCGCCTATTAGTCTGTTCGAGTAAAGGGTTGTCATTGCTTTTACTTCTTTCTGTCCCAGGCTTGTTCCCTTGATTATTGCGGAATGTCTCAGGCGGCGGTCTGCATGTATCTGTTAGCACGGATGCGAGTCTTGTTCCTCGTTTGCTGGTGAGATTAGGGATACATACCCCATCCATTCTTCCGCAGGAGGTAGTGTACTCGGCTTGATACATAGCGGGGACTCGCGCAGATAAACTAGCGCTTCAGCTGTATATCGTATTGCCATATCATCTGAAGATTTGATAAGAAATGATCTAAGTGTGGGAGAAGATCTTGTTAAAGAGGGTGTGGACAAAAGCCCACGTTCCAGGCGTACGCAGTCCAGTCGATGACTGGCAGTAGGTGGTATTTATGATATATCGGTCCTAAAAGACAGCGCGGCTCGAAGGTGAGAGATAGAGATCCCTTGAGGGGAATTGTTTTGCTTTGTGCGGGGTGAATAGGTAGGTAGGTAGGTTAGACGACGCGGTCGGCCGAGTTCGAAGATTGAATTGAATTCAGATCCAGTATCCTAGTATTCTGGTATGCTGGTATGCTGGTATTTTGGTATTATCCTGGTACCTATGTAGGTAATAGGTCATGTATGGACAAACTAGGCCAATACAGCCTGAGAGGTTGCGAGGTTGCGAGGTTGCGAGGTTGCGAATCAGATGCACAGTGGGTTCAGTGGTGTAGGTGAGAAAGTAGGATCAATTGTACAATTGAATAGCCGACGAATCTTTATGATGACGTTACGGAGGGTTACGTTGAGATGGCAGGCGACTGGCGACGGTATCTAATGTGAGTTAGAAAGGTTGTAAGGTTGTACGTCAAGGATGGATTCAGGTAAATTGTTGTAAAGGGGTGAAATAAACAGTTGGTGAATCAGTTTACCTTTGGGGGTGGGAACTTGGGACTGATGGAGAAGAAGAAAAAAAAAAGGTTGCAGAGTTGTATTTGTTACCTTTTGTTACCTTTTGTTACCTTTTGTTACCTTACTGTATACAGTGACAACTACCTAGGGTAGGTAGAGGGTAGGTAGAGGGTAGGCAGAGAGAGGGATTGTTCTGGGCATTATGTGGTAGTAGCACTATGTATTCAGTACATCCAGTGTTCAATATTCATATTGGTCATTGATGTTCAATGTTTGTAGCACAGGTAGCAAGGACATGTGGATATTCAGTGTGGCCCGTGTCCCACATTTTGGAGTAGGTACGAAATACTACCATGTCATAGCACAAAATCCCACATGTAGTTACAGCCATGAATGTTCCAAGGTTGTTATCGATTTAGCTTTTGCAAGGGGGTCCCACACTACCTAACCTAACCTGAGTGGGTCCTAAGCCCCCAGAGCTCGATGCCTGAATCGACATGAGTTGAATGTATTAATTCAATGTATCTATAACATAAGGTAGGTAGCCTTAGGTACGGTAGGGAGCAAACAACTTGGAAGCAAAACCCAGGTTTCGAAATATTCATCATTGATACATAACTAGTAGTATCAGCTCGCATGGCATGTCACGCTATGTATAGGTAGGTACATAAACTTGCCATTGGGTACAACTTCCTGAGCATACACCTACACTACATCACCTCTCCACAAGCCTTCCCACCCCCTTTTCACTCCACACCGCAATACGCCTCTGATCGCACGTCTCCCACAGCCGTCTAAGCAGCGCCTGGTAGACACCCCTCTCCACACCACCCGCCGCATCTCTCCTCGCCAACACCCACCCCACGGCCCCGAACCGCGTGATCAGCGTATCGCTTCCCCCCGTGATCCCCGTAGCCCTGTATACGATGCGGAGGACCTGGGTGCGCAAGTTCAGGCCCATGAACGGGTTGCACGGGAGCGCCAGCAGCCGCTCGAACACTTTCCGCTTGTGGAACAGGGCGATGTCTTCGGGGGTCCGGAGGCTCTCGAGCAGGAGGCCGAGCAGCCAGCTGACCTCGGAGTAGAACGCGCCGTCCTCGGTCGGGCCCTCCTGGAGGATGTCCTGGAGGAGCGGGATGCGGTCGAGAGACCACACGGGGCGGCCGGTGAGGAAGAGGTTGATCTTCTCGTAGAGGCAGTGGAGCGGGTTCATGAGGACCTCGAGAGCTTTGCAGGCGAAGGCGATGATGACGCTGGGCACGGGTCCTTCGTCGACTGCGCTTCGTGTCGACTCGGCAAGTTCCATGAGGAGGAGCCATACCTGCTCGTTGTTCTCGTACGCGGATTCTCTGATCTTCGAGGCCATCTTGATGATATTCGTCAGTGCTTCCTTGCGAATGCTTGAGTGCTCCGAGGAAAGCAGGCGTATTAATGATGATGCATATCCTTCCTCGACGAGTTCTTCTGGCGTCTTGGATGACCATCTTGATAACGAATTGTCCTTGGTGGTGGTAATGGGTACAGCGAGCTTCTCCTCCAGCTCTTCTGGGCTAATTTCAGTGATCTGCCCATCGGCCATTCCATCGTACAAGCCATTGGTCTCAATAATGTTGAGCACATTAGGATCATCTTGTGGCTTTAATGCGGCCTTCTTTCTATCGGGGATGCGCAACTTTTCCACGAGCTTCTTGTCTCCAAGACCAGCAGCAAAGAGCCCCTTGGAGGCTTCCAGGAAAGACTCGTTCACTCCAGCAGCCAGTGAATGTCCGAGGTATTCTGAAAGTAACTTAACAAAAGATTTGAGTGTAGCTTTCGAAGGGGATGATGATATCAGGAACGGAATTTGTTCCGCGATTGTCATCATGAGAGGATACGCAACCGTATCTTCATCCTCTGAGACAGTGGCCTTTGCCAGCTGTTCTTCAATCATCTCCAGGTACTTGACCGGGGTCCTGGCGCACCGCTCAACACAGTTATCCAGGAATGTCCAGATAGCGGTATCTATATTCTCAAGACTTCTCAACGCAGCAAAGAGAGGTTGCAACCCTGGAGACTTCGGCCGATTCTCCACCAATTGGTATTCGCTAGCCACCCAATGTAAAACATTGTTCAGACTCTCGTTAGAGAGGTTGGTCGTCCGTTCGACAGATAATCTTAAGAGGGTTGTAAAAGGGGAATGGGGGATATCGGAGGTTTTGGCGAACCACCGCATGCTTGGAGAATATTTCGCAATGGCGCATAGGTTTTCAAGTTCTAATATTGACATGGCGACATATTCTGTCGTCTCTTTAGAAGCCTCGACCCGTTTGATGGTCGCGAGAAGTATGGGCGAGACATCAAACTTGGCCCTTAAGGCAAGCTGTGGAATAACTTCATAATAAAGTAATAACAAGCGACTCGCAGCTTGCCGTTGAAGCAGATCATCTTGGTCTAAACTCGTGTAACATTTTATAACGTCCTTGATATCTGGAATCTTTTCGTAGAACTCATCAAGCAGTCGCCGAGCAGCCTCCTCCCAGATAGATTCAGACGAGGGAGATGCCTCTCGGTGCATCTCCAGAGCTCGTCCAAGCTTTTGTAACACTAATGTCAATATACGGATAGCGTAGAAAGACGCCAATTTGGACTTGATCGAGAAGCATCGTAGTATGGCTTTAGACGTCATAGGCAACGGAATCAAATTCCCAAGCACCACAGAGGTAGGGGGCGGAACTCTCGCGTAACCCTTGGGGTGCCCGAACCAAGGCGGGATCGGGAGTTGGATGACATTATACAGCAACGCGGCATATCCAATCCACGTAGCCGAGAGCTTTGGGTCGAATAAGAAGGATTTTTTGTGGCAAAAGTAATGGGCAATTAGCTCAGGCGAGCTCTCGAAGATGGCCACCAAAAGTTCGTTTTGTTTCGTGTTGGACCATGGACGCAATGTCTGTATAAACTCGGCCAGTAGCGTATTTCGGACGGGGACTTCGTCTTCGAACTTGCTCATCCAGGGAATGCTGTCGATGCTCATGTTCACGAGCTTGACGCTGTTGGCCCCTGAAGGCACCGCGTTGGGATCTACGCCCTCGGGGTAATAACCGTGTTCTGACCGCCGTATACCGGCGCTCGTATCGGTACAGGCAGCAAGTAGGAATGCGTGAGCCGAATCCTCCACTGAGGGTCGCACGCCCTCATTATCGTCTTTGGGTTCTGTGGTATCCTCAGGATAACCATAAAGTTCTGATATCTTGATGAGCGAGTTGGCATTCAGTATCCTGATCTTAGATTCCTTAGGTAACTTCTTGTCGAGGATGACAGAAGCTCTTAGAGTGCTTAGTATTTCCTGTATTAAAGAAGGGGGATCTTTTCTGATATGTCTCATGAGCGCAGCCACGATATCCTTCTGAGATAGTAGGTCTCGTTTCGCTTCGAAATGGAGAAGCCTGAGACTGCTTAGCAGAAAACGGATCGCATTCGTTCTGACGGACGGTCGTTTGGGGTCTTCTATGCCTTCTCCTAGATATCTCAGACCCATATTCCTGGCGAGCGATTTGAACGTATTGCTCCTAGCTCTGAAGATCGGGGCAGCGAGAGCACCGCCATCTAACGAGACAACCTCCTTGAGTAATCTCAACGTGGGCGATATTATAAAATCTTTGCCATTGTCGGCGGAAAGATTCTTGGCAAGCAGTTCTTGCTGGCGCTTTTGGAGAAGGGTTCGACATATTCCTAGACCGTACGCTACTAGGTCCATGTTTCCGGATATAATCTTGAGTAGCAGGGCAAGCACGACGGCAACGGCAGACATGACATTTTCGTTATTCAGTTGCGAGGCCATGCTCCATGTCTCCATTATATCAGGTAGGTACACGGGGACTTCGTCTTCCGTCTCTCTTGGCTTTACCGATTCCAGATACTCAAGCACTATCTGCAGCTTTTCGGAGTTCTCGTCTTCGTTGTTGAGGATAGCATCGAGGAGGTTCTTGAACGACTGTAGGCCTGTAAGTTCTTATGATTAGTCTCAGGCGACAAACATTTCATAAGTTATATCCATAATTCGGCATCAACATACCATGCCTGGCTTTCTGAAGGTCTTGCTCGAAAGCAAGCAACTGGAGAAGCTGCCGTCCGGTGAAAACCTCCTCAGAAGTGGGAGCCTCGTGCACATGGGCAGTCTTCTGCTTCTTCCCAGTATGACCGCCCTCGCCTCCGTAAGACTTGCGCTTCGCCATCGTTCGTTGTTGTTTCAAAGGAAAATGCGCTTAACTACGGCATCATCGTTGAGGTTCAGTCTAGTCCTGTGCGCAGCTGAAGCGTGACAAGTTAAACGGTTGATTGCTTTCTAATTGAACCTAATTATGATTCTGTATTTCTTGCAACTTGATGTCAATACCAAAGAACCGTAACCCAGTTCCTAAAAAAAACCCACGTGAAATCGTTTGCGCAGTTGATATGCATATGTACTATATTTACTATCTGATAGCGCAAACCATTGAGTTAAGAAAGCTTCGTCCAGAAAACCAGAAAAAAATACCGAATTGCCATGTCTGACCGCTTCCCCATAACGCGCAATGGGCTTAGCGCCTTTAATACGCTTTCGCTATTATCCGTCCCGAAACGATAAAACAACCCCACAGCACGGTTCTGTTAAGGTTCTTATTAATCCAGTTATGAAGGATACCTAGTTAAATTGTCTTAGTCATCAAGTAACCCCCTGAGCTGCCCCTATTCCTTTTATGCCGTCGTGTTTTGCTGCCCATGTCCATTCACTCATGAAATAGCAAAAAGGTACGTAGTAGGTAGATAGTAATATGTAAAATTTGGCAACATATCACAAGTATTCCTTTCTTTAACTTTCATCTGAAAAAACGAACGACCGCGCGGATAGCTTTCTCTATTCTACACGTAATAGATACATAGCGCTTCCTGACCACCCTACCTTCCTTCCTTCTGAGCCTACCTGGTATGTATCCCTCCAGTCCAGGCAAGCGTGTATATCGAGACAGATACCCGAGTAGTAGGTATCGATCCCATCCATCCATCCATCTCACCACCAACCACCACCACCTATCCAGTTGACACTATGCGCACCGCTATATCGTCCATTAAATATAACACAAACCACGTACATAGCTCTACACCATCGCGTGGCTATTTATCCTGGTATGTAGGATTCTTCTTCCTCTACGAGAGTATTAAAAAAGAACCCCCCCGTAAGATCTCCAGCATCCCGTCTCATCAAAAATCCCCATTCGACGGACTCCTGTTGTTGTTGCTGTTATTGTTCTGCGGGAGATACGAATTCGGCACCTTAGGCACCTGCGGCGAAACCTGCAGCTGCTGCCGTGAGCGGAAGAGCTCGCGCTGCCTCTCCGCGTCGCGGGACCTGCCCCCGCCCGTGAGCCGCCGCATGTGCGTCCGCGTCGTCTGCGCGATCGGCTTGATCATGTTCTCGAGGAAGAAAGAGCTCTCGGGCACGCCTCCGCTTCCGCTTCCTCCGTTGAGCGGCCGCCCGTCGTCGTCGTCGTCTGAGAACACGTTCTCCGTGAACTCGTCGTCTGAAGTCAGCTCGCTGAGCTGTGGCTGCGTCCACGACGAGGGGGTTGAGGGAGAGGTGACGGAGCGGGAATGGAGGCCTGGCCTGCTGCCGACTGCAACGGGGTTGAAGGCGCCGGGGTTCATGGTATTGGGCTTGCCCTCTTTGGACATCGGTACGCGGTCTACGAAGCCGTTCTGGAACGAGGTGTTGGTCGAGGCCTGGTGTAGAATAGGTAGCACGTCGTCGTAAAGTCGCGCGCCAGATTCGAAACTTTCGGGGGCAAACTCTGTCACTGTTCTAGACGAGCGGCCCTCGCTAGGTGATGTTTGTGACATGTCATCGAAGAAGTCATCCAAACTATCCAGCTTCGTCACCAGATCGGCCATTTGACCCTCGCCTTGGCCCTCGTCTGACATCATGGTCTCGGTTCGATCCGGCATTTCAAAATAACCATAGCGGTAATCATCGGCGTGGAATTCGACCTCAGGTGTGGGTGTAGGGTCTACACAGATGCCGTCTCCCGGGTTGGCTTGGCACATGTAGAACGCAGCGTGAATGTTCGCGCGTGTAATCTCCGTCTTCTTCGCTGGAACGGGGATTGACCAACCGGACTCTTCCGGAATGCCAAACAGGCTCTGAGTCGTCTCGTAATCCTTCCTGTCTTTGGATGCCGCGCTGGTCATACTCATTCGCACATATTGCTTGTCCATCGGCGTCCCGGACATAGTCATGATGTTGTCGAGCACCTCCAGCGCTTCCATGCAGTACTCGGTCTGTAAGAGTCGGAAGAGCGGAGATATTAGGTCGGATCCGTGGCCGGCAATCTCAGGCTTGCGCATTTCGATCTCGGGGATGATGACGCAGAGCAGCTGCATCGTCATGATTTTCACAGCGGGTATGCTGTTCGTGAGGAATCCCAATATCATGGTAAGCATCTTGAAGTCAAGCTGCGGGAGGAAGAATTCGCGGAGTGCGGCAAGCAACTGGATAATGAACTCCTTGCGTGAACGGTACCGCGATTGCATGAAAGCCCCTAGAGCCGCACATATTGATGACATCCCTTGAGCCTCGGCTACAGCAAATAGTATTTCTGCGGATTCCAAAGTATCTCTGCTAATAGCAGCTTGCTCCATAGCTTGCAAGAACCGTGGAAGGTTAGCGATGATGGAAAAGAAGAGCCTGTTGTCGTCACCAATGAGGCGACCAGAAGGTAGCTGTATGACTTTATCCAGGATGTTCAGCGTGGGGTGGAGACAGTTTGATGATCTCAGCCCCTTGTATAGTAGGGGCTGAACACCTTCGAACGCGCCCTCCCATCTTGGAGGTTGGCCATCCATAAGCGCCCTTCGGATGCTGGGAGAGTGGAAATCTAGCTTGGCTAAGAACTCTTCGAGCATTTCGATGGCTTCCAGAAACTCGACTTCGTTGATCGAGTCTAAACAAGAGCACATGGTCCAAAAGAGCTGGGGAAAAGACAAGAGCTCTTCCGGATCAAGCTTCGAAATGAGAGTTTTCAGGGTGGTGAGGATTTCCATGGAGAAGGTTTGGATCTCGGTATCTTCGTCGGCGATGGTGTTGGATAATCGAGCCAGCATATCACCAAGCATGAGCTGGTCGAGCGAAGTAAGGATACAGCGGAAAATTTGAAATGAACGGCAAGCCAAGTGCCTGACCGGACACGAAGTTGCCCAGGTGAGGGACAGGCGACTCCATTGTTCCTTGATCCCTGGGAATGTGAGCTCGAAAGTTTTGACCACTTCTGCAGTCAGATATTCCATGCTTTGGGGCACCTTATTGTCACGTCCATCCACCTTGCCGTTGCTTTCCTCGTAGCTCCAGACCACATTACGATCGTGGCGTCGGATCCCGTCGACCAGGTCCTCCACGAATTTCTTGGTCTCCAGGGGCGTAGCATCATCCATTTTCGAGACTACCAACTCATGGATCAAGTGTACCAACATTTCGCGAGCCTGTTCTTGAACGAGGGGGGTGTAGTGGTCCCAGAGCACCGTGATGACTTGCAACAAGACTATGAGATTCTCTGTGTTCAGCTGCACGGGTGACACCATCAAGTCCACCAGGAGTATCAGGGAGAGCTGTCCTAAGGAAAAGCCAGCCTGTTTAGTACCAATAGGCAAGGCTTCCGATAAATCGGCACAGTATGGCAATTGCAGTTGACTGAGATCAGGAGGTGACGGGACCACATCCCTTTTCTCGTTGGGGACCATGGCTTTCGGGGTGATCTGCATCAGCAGAAACTCGACCACCTTGATGCCAGGCGTGCTGGGGGAGCTCGCCAAGAAGACCACAATTTGTTTGGCATACTCGACAAAGTTCTGCTCTCTCCGTTCTAAGCAAAGTGCAATGATGAAATCCAGCACCAACCGGACATTTCCAGGATGAGGGCCAGTCGCGAGGGCTTGCCAGAGAGCTTGGACCTCGTTGTGCAGCGCAGTGCTAGACTTGATCGTGACCTCGAGTAGATTGGCAAGGAGCACGTAGGATTGAGCTATGGGGCCGCCATTGGGATCGACTTTCAACTCGATCGTCTGGATCCAAGGAAGGATGACGGCCACCACATTCCGTTGCGCGCCCGGAGGCAGGTTCTTGAAGTATAACGTCACTTCGGAGAAGACGTGGAATGCGAGCTCCGGGTGCTGCTTGGCCAGTCGTTTGGATATCTCAAACTGAGCCAGCTTATAGACGGCCTTGGTCTTGTCTGCAATGCTGATCTCAAAGTCGCGAATCTTGGAGTTTTGCGCCGCTTGCTGCCTCTCCTGTAGCGCCCTCAGAACAAGAGCGGACTTGGATCGAATGTCGCTCTGATCGCTTCCTAAGGTAAACAGACACAGTCCTAATAATTTCCAGAATGGTGTTGGGTAGTCAATGTGCTCTAGCAGCACCTCGGTTATCACTGTAAAATAGCTTTCTAGTACCTTGGGCGCCTCGGTGAGGTAGCATCGGGCAATACAGTGCTCTAGGAGGTATGGATGGTCTTGATTGTAGACAACCAGGTTCTTCAAGGCTCTTCGACCAATGACGTTGACCCGGTCGCTTCCAGAGCTGAAAATGGATTCCACCCAGTTCAGCATTCGCCTCATGTCGAAATGGAGCGTAGCGCCACTTTCCGTCGTCACACTGACAGGGCCAGCGCAAAGGGCTGCCATAGCACTAAGGGCGGCCGTCTTCAGATTCCTCTTCTCTATTTCCATGGCAGCAGTAATGATACCTCGCTCGCCTAGAGATTGTTGGTCAATCAAAGATTGCCGCATCGTGTCTTCTCTTTGACGAATTTGCATTTGATTCGGGGAGAATCCGCACCAGTCTTCCATCAAAGTGAAGGAAGACTTGCGGGATTCGAACGTCATCCAACGGGATGGATCTTTTGTCCGATTAACGCCCTCGAAGAGTCCCTCCACCAAGCCGCAGTAGTGTCGCCTCAGCTTCTGGAATTCCCAGTCCATCTGAACCTCGCCGTCCATCAAGAACAGCTTCAGGTCCTTGGTATATGTGCAAAGATTGTTGAGAATCCAGTCGTCTTGGTAGATCTCCGGTTCCTTTAGAAAATGACAAGTCAACTTGTTCACATAAGTAAGTTCAGTCCTCAGGAGATCCATTTTCCGGTTTCTTCGCGGGCCACTGCCGGTTCGCTGGTGTATCCTGGCGCGCGCTTCATTATTACACTGGGATACATGGCCCTGGAGTTCTTCGAGTAGGGTTCGGTATATGTTAATGTTAATCGAGCCCATGGCGAGCACAACCGCCTCTCGAACAGAGGCTGAAGAGGCTAAGAGCAACGGTATGAGGAATTTGAAGAGGGTTCTAGCCGATACAATTTTGTCGGCAGATCTTGATAGCTTTCGTACATGTTGTTTCCCTGGCTGTGGCGCACCGTTAATGGTAGTTCCGGAATCGGTCAATGTAGTGCAAGCAAAAGCCAAGTAGAGCTTCCACTGTTCAATGAGCACATCAGGCTGTGTTGTTGGCGTCCTTCCCGTATACCGAGAGTTATTGGGATCGGAGCCGTAATATAGGCCCCGAGATGGTTCCGACAACAGTACAATCCCCTTATACATTTGTAAAATTCGATTACAAACCAGGTCCCGGCCGATCGTGACGGTAAAGGGACATCGGTCATAAGCAATCCTTATAAAGTTGGGGAAAATCTTGAACCAGAGAGTGGTATCATAAGAAACGTCGCTGGTGCAGAGCTCAATGAGAGCCCCTTTATTGTTGCTATTCTGCATACCCCTCTGCAGTCGACTTCTCTCGGCTACAGACAGATGCTCGTCCTTGAAATTCATCACTTGTACCGAGTCATTCTCCAGTATGTCGATGAGCCGAACCGTATCCTTTTCCAAGGTGGTATCTTTACCTAGCGCATTATCAAATTCAACGATCAGCCGAAGAACCGTGATGGCGAAGTGCCGCACCCTGCGCGACTGCGAGCATAAAAAGAATAACCCGCGAGCTTCGACGTGTTCGACTTCGGCCCAGATACTGGACAAATCTAATTTCATCCCTCGCTTGTCATTACCGTTAAGCTCAGTGGAATCGGATGCGGCGTCTTTCGTCTTTCGTCTTATTTCATCCCTCCATATTTGTAATAATTCGACATAGAGTCGTAATGTGCTTTCGATGTGGCCGGGGCCTAACATACCCCCATCAGACATAGTATCGTAACGATCGTCAAAATTGAATATGAACCGGGCAAATCCCACCGTGACTTGATGTGCGTAAGACTGTCGGGCGATAGATTTGAGAGACTGCGCAGAAGACTCGGCAATGTTGTACTGAACGTGGGCAGTCCCCGTACAAAGGAGGTTGACGAGCGAATTAAATGGTATATCAGCAGAGAGGCAGCGAGGCAGCGCCTGTACGGCAACGTGAAGAAGCTCGTAGAAGGCTTGTTTCTGGTCCGCTGGACTTGGGTGGTCATCGCGCCTTGAGAAATTGAAGGTCTCCGTGATAGGCGTTTTCGGTCCTCCTGGGCTGTTAAATTTCTCATCGAGTGCGGCCTGGCCTCCAAATGTATTATCACAGATAATGGTGATTTTACCAAGTATTTCTGAGAACTTTTTATAGTATTCTCTTGCACCCTCACTCAACGCAGCCAGTTGTACAGGCCGCGACAGAGATTCGTCGTGATCTGATATAATAGGGGTACAGGGCGTTGCACCAGAAGTGGAAGCTGGAGAGGGGGGAGGTGCTCGGTCCATGGTAGTTGGAAGAGGATATTGTTGTGGAAACGGAGGTCGGCCTTGTTCACCTTTCTCGAGATCCGACATAATGGTGAGAAACGCTCTGATCCCGATCACCATCCTATCCGGCTCCAGTTGCTCGACTTTCAGTTCCTTGTTGGAGTAGAAAAGCTCGGCATTAATTAAAGGAAATATGATATTCTTGCAGCAATACTCGGGGTATTTGTAGCCAATAATTCTGATCACCTGTATCAGGGGGCCAGTCAATGCCGTGTCGCCGGCTGAAAATGTTCGCTTCGAGGTAGGCAATATGAGTTGCACCACCTCGTCAAGTTTCCGCGTAGCTCCTGCTAGGGTGTCGGTTGTCCTATACAGATAAGCCCAAACTAATCTCGAGATGACCTGCAAGCATAGGGCACGCATAGAACGATCCTTCAGTTTCGGCTGAACCGTTCTGATTAGCTGGAGCCATTGGTTACTTAGATTCTCCGGGGACGACACGCATAGCATTGTTGCTGTCAAAGGGAACGCAGCCAGCCAATACCGAGGCTTTACAAAGAGCGATGCTAGGCGAGGGCTAATATTACTGAGTACTTCTGACCACTTCAAGTAAGAGAAGTGTTTGTTAGTAGCCTTGGTAGCAATGGGGAGCAGCAGTGTATCTAATATCTGGCAAAACGCGGACTTGACCTTTTGGCCGTGGGATCGGGCAAACAGCCGGCCCAGAGACACCAAAAAGTCGCAGGCTTGATCCCAGCTATCATCGGTGTCTATCTTGATATGTAGATGTTTCATGCCTCCTAGCACTAACTCTACCTGACCTTCGGGATCCCTAACTTGAGTAGCCGGACTTCTCACGGTGAGTTCCTGTAGGGAGCGGTCAAGATCTGTAATGAATCGATCGGTAACGCTAGAAAAGTTGATCTCGCTCATGGCACCGAGAAGCTGGGCGAAGAGGTTCCAGTTTGCCAGCTTGAGAGGGGAGACATAGAGCTGCTCAATGTCGGCAATCTTGAGTTGACCAAATATAATAACCTCGAGCTTATCCTCCATCTCAGGGGTAATAGAACTAAGGCTGCTTTGCGTGATGACTTCTAAGAGAACTCGGCAGAGGATATAAATGGAGACGATAGATCGGCGTTCGGCATGCGCTGCTTCGTTCTGTTTGTCCGCAAGGGTATGTGTCACGCCAGATCCTGTATCTGTTGAATTGCCGGTGAGAAGCTGCAATGGCTCTGTGTTTCGTCTCACGAGAGCGGCTGCAGGTAGGTTAGACTTCATCTGCTGTAACAGACTGCGTGCCTCGTTTGCCGCTTCACTTTTGTGCTTTCGCCAAAGCATGATAGAATCGATGAGTGGTCTCGGCTTCTGGTTGGCAATATGCCCAAGAGCTATAATAAAGCGGTCGAAAGCTGGGTCTGCTCCGGGACCGCATATTTGTTCGATGGGAGGTTCGGGGTCGAAAGGCACTGTAATACACTCCTGAAGCTTGTCCTCGGCCATAGCAATAAAGGATGTAAATAATACATGCATGGCGTATTCGCCCACCGTCTTCTGTTCGTCCCTATGATGTCTCGACGAATGTGAATGGTGATGTGTGTGATCACGCCGGGACTTGCTATGCTTCCTCTGAGTTGAAGTGCTACCAGCGCTACTGTCTTGGGGAGAATGTGCCTTTTCTAACTGGTAAACGAATGAGTTGGCCGTTGTGCCTGACAAGGAAGTCGGAGGCCTGGACGTGGTCGATATCGTGGAGGCCATAGAAGCAGTTGTCGATGATAACTCGGAATCTAATCGGTGGATGGGAGGCATATCTGGCCGGTCTGGCAGAAGGCCAGCACCTGCGGCAGCAATCATCTGCGGGCTTAAAGGACTCGACGATGAACTAGCAAGGCTCCCATTTCTCGAATGTTGAATGCCATGAACGATAGAGGTTTGGCGGTGGTGTCCGTATGTATTGCTACCCTTGGGATCGCCGAGACGTTCGAATATATTGCCAGGGCTCGTACGCGACGCACCGCTACGGACGCTAGGAGAGGTTATCGGAGAAGTGGCTGACTGTGGCGATTCGGGAATTCCAGCAAGCGAACCGGATTGGAGCTTCTCGAGGGAGGACTCGCGAGAGTGCGCGATGGCGCGGGAGGTGGAGGGATCGTGAGCTATAGGTCTAAGTGTATTATCCCACACGCCATTCTCGTCATCATCGTCGCCGCCGTCTGGGGTATTTAGTCGCGGAGTGGATCGCGAGGAGAACTTTAGCGGATCGTGGAAATGATCAGGCAGCGTCTGGGACGGAGCTGGGTGGTGCGACAACGTTGTTAGTCAAGTCTAAAGTTTTCCTTAAAAAAAAAAAAAAAAGGAGGACGCAAAGACCCTATATCAAGGCCCGCAAGGGATGATGGGAATGTAGTAGCCCCCCCTCCTCTTGTGAAACTGCGAAACCGCGAAACTGCGAAACAGTGAAACAAAACCCCGAAAGTGGAAACATTTATCAAGCGTTGACGGTTAACTGTCAACGCGTTTTATGCAGTAGCCAATCGATCGATCGCATTGTAAGCGCGAGCGACCATATAGTTTATATCTTTCATATCTTTCAAGTCCAAACATAGGGGTCCCCAACGGAAGGGGGGAGAAAAAGAGGCGCAGAGATAACTTACCCATTGCTGAGCCTCGATGCCCATGATACTTTGGTATAAAAAGATATAGTGGGCGTTCACAGACCTACAATGGTGGTCTGGAGGGACTTTTAAGGTGACTAGGTAAGGTAAAGGTTGGACTTTTGGAGACTTCAATGTTCGTTGGAGATTTCGTTAGAGTTGGGGAACTTCAGGGTCGACAGTGATGACTGATAGAGAGCTTGACGAGCTGATGACGATAATATTTTTTTTTGTAAAAAATCTCCCCAGTCTTCTCTTCCCCTCCAAGCGAATCCACGTTCTAGATAGGCCCCCAAAGGTATCAAGTACCTATTTCTTATGTACCCAATAATAGGTAGAATATGTTACTGCTAGATAGGTAGTTTACTCGTCAGAAGTTATGATGGTGAGCTGAAAAATGTGATGTAGAAATATCCCATGCCGTCAGTCACTGCATAGAGCGAATGGGTCTTCAAAGTAGGTAGCAGATTTCAATAATCCAATAAGGCCTGCTAACTATCCGCCCACTACCTAGCGAACTCGTCAGTAACTCCAGGCTTTTCTGCTTTCGTCTGCCGTCACTTTCATCGCCAATTAGTTGTCGATACTGTATTGTACTGTATGCTGTTCTTGGAGTCTTGCTGTAAAATCCAAGTCAATCACAGCCTTTCTTACCTTAATTTGTTCTTCTCTTCCTACCTAGTACTATGTAGTATGCAGGGTAAGGGTCTTTTCTGCAAGGGCCATATCCTATGGCTCACCAGCATTACCAAGGAAGATGGCTCGAGAGTTCAAGGGGGGGGGGACTCCAGGAATTTGTATGGTTAACAAGGAGCCTTCTGAAATTTGCGTACTGTGCCAGGCACTGCCAGCACACCACCAACCACGTGGCGCCAGGGCCTATAAAAGTGGCGTCAGGGCCTATAAAAGATTAGGGCCATTGGCTTTTCCTTTTTTAACTCTTTTTTTTTTTATGTCTGGATTATCCTTGCACCTCTTACTTATTTATGTATAAATCTGATGCATAAAAAGAAGAATGGTGATTCGCGAATCAGATTAACTTATGCATGATTGCTAAGGAATCGGGATATGACTAAAACATGAGATGCTTAAGCCTTGAAGACAGAAATAGAGAGTTGAAGGTTCCATGTAAATTAAAAACGAGAGGAGGCAGCATGATAAATAATAAGAATTGTACGAATACGTGAAGAATTATAAACTTACCTAGGTACCTGCCTAGATAATTATACATACCTACCGGTAGTTGAGCTGCTCCGATCTAACCTATGTATGTATAATACATTGTATATCATACATGCCTAGGCCCTAAGTATATAACCCTAGCTTGGAGCCTTGGACGCTGAATGAAGGCCTATCTGTTGTATCGTGCCATACTCACTCGTACGATTGCTCGATTACTCTCGATGTTCTACTAATCCATATATAAGCAGCCGTAGTAAAAGGCCAGTAGATATACAACGTATGCTCACCAGCAACCCTTCTAGGATAGACACAGAAGAGGTGATAAGAAGTAATAATCGCAAAGTATTCATGTTTCACTACAGGTTCCTACATGACCTGCTTCATAGACATGAGCCAAGTTATGTAGGTACCCAAGCAGTTACACAGCCGCCAGATCATCAATATCATGGGCCTGAGAGACCCAACAATCTCAGGAGACAGACAACTCCATGAGCTATGTACATTGATAGATAGACATAGCCATCGTTGTACTATGATCCTGGTACGCACGCTGTCACGGAATGTCCGTATGCGAAATAGTTGAGTTTTGGTAAGTACGAGCAAACGGGTTTATCGTAGCCTAGTTATTATCACAGGTTTGGCGAAGCATATGTAGATGTTGTGTAACGGTGTCGTATTGGCATACATAGTCAAGGCCCGGATTTAGATTGGAATAAATAGGCAAGATATTCCCGCTCAACCTCGGGACTGCCCGGGTGGTAGCCGGCCCCGCCGATCCGGTAGTTACGGAGCTCGGAGTATAGATTGGTTGAAAGTCTCAGGTGCCTGCTGTACTCGTGATCTATCATGGAGCCTTATCGCGTCAGCATAGCAAGGAATGATTAGATGGACGAGGAGTTTGATCACTATTCGGGTAAGCGCTGGGCAGTCCAGTTCCATAAGTTTCCGTACTCGGGATTACTCAAGGAATTGGGGCTTACAGATGGATCAGGAGAATTGCAAGTCCCGACAACTGGCCTCCCTACGTATGTACAAAACCTAACGAGAAACGCAGCATCACTGCTAGCTAAGTGGATAAACGTTTCAAAAACCCCAGCACCAGAGAAATATTGTAGGCTTAAGGAGGGTTTAAGTAGATTTGGAGGGGATTAAGAGGGGATTGGGAGGAGATTTCGGGGAAACGTATTTACTAAAGAATCAAGATAGATGCCGAACCCCAGAGATCTTCTTCGGATATAAGACTAGCCGGTGAAGGTTAGCAAGTGGAGGGATGTCTGTCTAGAATGCTACAGAAAAGCAGAGCACAATGCTTGGATGTGATTCACGAATTGCCGAATGAGGAGCAAAGTGGGTGTATCGTATCCGATTGGATATCCGAGGCCATTGAGCTGTCGTTAAGCCGGCACTCGGTGCACCTTGAAGCTGATCTTAGTGCTGGGTGCTCGGGAGGTTTATGGTTTCTATTTGCTGCTTCTTTTTTCTGTTTCGTGTTTTCTAACAATTTGTCTTGTTCGCGTAGCGACTTGTTAGACCCAACAGCATGAAGTGAGCAAGTAAAGATGTAAATGCCTTTTTTTGCTTTTTTTTCTGAGACACTGAGGCCAATCTGTCACCTATTCAGACAAGTGAATACTTGCGATGATAAGAATGAAGATTACTAGGTATGTATGTTTCCTAGATGCTAGGTTGTAGGTTAAGGATACATAAATAGTGTTAATGAGAGTCTTGGAAAGGATGATAAGCGATGCACTGATGCAGTAGTTCGTATACTTCGTAGTTGATACTATTCAAAGTTGTACATATGTAATCAGTTGAGCCCTGTAGGTTATTGTACGAATTCGAATTTGGTAGTCTAGTATAAATGTGTAGGTAACTACCGAGTCCCGACATGTCCGGGTACCAATTAAATGTATTGTATTGTACATTCATGGATATGTACTAAAAGAGAACATGCCTAACTTGAACATACGTGGAAGTCTGGAAGTCGCCCAAGTTACCTAGTAGGCAATTACCGATGGACCGCGATGGTTATACATTCCTAATTTCGGAGACTACCACTGCCTTTCAAGCACTATGTTATCCTAGAGAGGTACTAGAGAGATATTATGTAGATTAATGGGGCTTCACATGGGTATAACCCCCCCCAACATGCACAAGATCCTTACTAAGCTAAGCTTAGATAGGTCCCGAGGCCATTCTACAACCTTAGCTGCAAGACCTAAAAGAGGCTCTCGAGGCTACAGTGCCGCTACACTGCTACAGAAGTACCCAACTGCCTGGATTGAAGGGCCTAAACTTAGTGACCATAGCCCTGGAAAGAGGTTACTGCCCAGGTGGTGTCGATGAACAGGGCTGTCCCAGACTCCCAGCAGTACTAGGTAAGTACCTACCTACTAGCCTAAGGTTAGGTACCTACCTAGTAGGGTACATTCTATATCTAGTACTTCCAGTTCAAAGTTGTACCCACTTGCCACCACCACACACCAATTTTCCCACCGATCCCCTTCTTCACCAACCCACCATCAGTGACTTTTGTCACTTTGTCCAGGGCACTCGGGGTACTCGGCGCACTCAACATCCACCTTGGAAACTTGGATGTCTTGTACATTCATGCCATGTACATACATACGATAGTACTAGGTACTGCTAGTAGTACATATGTATGTAGCAGAGATAAAGTCCGCGCCACGCACACATATCTATGTACATATTTTTGCAGGAGAGCATCAATGATACATATCACTCTCCCACTTCCATAATCATATGATTTTCCTTTCCTTGTCCTATTAATATTCTTTTTACGCAAGGCCACCGACGGGTATTTAAGTCTCTTCCCACATGATTAGTATCTACATAAGTATTTAATATCCAGAGCCTCAGCCGTATTGTGGTGTTGGACGTCGCGTGGCTTTTTCAGCTCCCTACCTATCAGCCAGTCTACGACCTACATACCTACCTAACCTAGATACATATGTAATAAGTATTATACACATATCGTATTGTACTAGGTTAGATCTACTGTACCAGGCACTACTGGTCACCTAGCTAATAATCCATTTCCAAAGGAGTTCCCCAATCTCGCCCATTCTTTTCCCTCGGCCGACTGCGCACCCGGTTAGACCACGTTGCAACCTTACAACGCCTTTTCTTACGAAAACTTGAGAACCGGTAGCTCCGGTTGCACGACCACCAAATCATACCCTTCTATAGAATTTACCTTTACCTATCTAGCTGTCAGATTGACTCACTTTCTTTCCTGCCTGCCATTTGCCATCGGCTCAGCGCCATTGTTCTGAGACGCCATCATCGTGCTGTATTAGAGACGAGCCCTGTTTGTTCGTGAACTTAGGCCTTCAACATGTCACAACTCGACACCTTGGACATTATTGTCCTCGGCGCCATCTTCGTCGGCACAACTGCTTATTTTTCAAAAGGCAAATATTGGGGTGTCACCAAAGATCCATACGCCAATGCCTTTGCCAACACAAATGGGCTCAGAGCCGGAAAGACGAGAAACCTTCTGGAGAAGATGGAGGAGAGTGGCAAGAATTGCATCATCTTGTACGGTTCCCAGACCGGTACTGCCGAAGATTATGCCTCGAGGTTAGCAAAGGAAGGCAAGAGTCGCTTCGGCCTAGAAACCATGGTGGCCGATCTTGAAGACTACGACTACGATAACCTCGACTCAATTCCCTCAGACAAGGTTGTCGTCTTCGTCCTGGCTACCTATGGTGAAGGAGAGCCTACCGACAACGCCGTTGACTTCTACGAGTTCATAACTGGTGATGATGTAGCATTCTCTCAAGGTGCTGACCCCCCTCTTGCCAACCTCAACTACGTTGCTTTCGGTCTCGGAAATAACACCTACGAACACTACAACTCTATGGTGCGTAACGTCAACAAGGCTCTCGAGAAGCTAGGCGCACATAGAATTGGCGACGCCGGCGAGGGCGACGATGGCGCTGGCACCATGGAAGAAGATTTTCTGGCTTGGAAGGATCCAATGTGGGCTGCATTGGCAGAGAAGATGGGTCTCGAGGAGCGGGAAGCCGTCTATGAACCCATCTTCGGTATTGTTGAGCGGGACGATATCACCAAGGATGCCCCCGAGGTGTACTTGGGTGAGCCCAACAAGATGCACCTCGAAGGAACCGCGAAAGGACCATTCAGTGTCCACAACCCATACATTGCTCCCATTGTTGAATCCAAGGAACTGTTTTCCGTCAAAGACAGGAACTGCCTTCACTTGGAGGTTGATATCAGCGGCTCTAATTTGACATATCAAACCGGCGACCACATCGCGATCTGGCCCACAAACGCTGGGGAAGAGGTTAATCTGCTCGTGGGTATCCTAGGGCTTGAAGATAAGAAAGATACGGTGATCAACGTCAAAGCTCTCGAACCCACTGCTAAAGTACCGTTCCCCACCCCCACGACCTACGACGCTATCATTCGATACCATCTTGAGATTGGCGCCCCCGTATCTCGTCAGTTCCTCGGCACTTTGGCTGCATTCGCTCCCGATGAAGCTACCAAAGCAGAAATGACCAGGCTCGGTAGCGACAAGGATTATTTCCAGGAAAAGGTCAGCAAGAACCATTACAACATTGCTAGAACATTGAGCGTCGTCAGCGGTGGCCAGAAGTGGGCAAACATCCCGTTCTCAGCTTTCATTGAAGGCCTCACCAAGCTTCAGCCCCGATACTACTCAATTTCGTCGTCCTCATTCGTCCAGCCTAAGAAGATATCCATCACCGCTGTCGTTGAGAATCAATTGATTCCAGGCCGTGCTGACCCCTTCAGAGGTGTAGCCACCAACTACCTATTGGCCCTCAAGCAGAAGCAAAACGGCGACCCTAATCCCGAGCCATTCGGACTCAGTTACGAGCTCCATGGACCAAGAAACAAGTATGATGGTATTCACGTTCCTGTACACGTGCGTCACTCGAATTTCAAACTGCCCTCTGATCCGGCCAAGCCTATTATCATGATCGGGCCTGGTACCGGTGTTGCACCTTTCCGTGGGTTTATCCAGGAACGCGCAAAGCAGGCCGAGTCTGGTGAGGATGTCGGTCGTACGCTACTTTTCTTCGGTTGCCGAAAGCGGGATGAGGATTTCATGTATGAATCCGAATGGGAGGTATGTATTACGCAAAGGCTTTGTTTCGGCTGTAGCTCACATTTGAACAACAGGAATATAAGAAGACCCTTGGGGATAAGTTTGAAATGATTACTGCATTTTCTCGAGAGGGACCCAAAAAGGTATACGTACAGCATAGACTAAAGGAGCGGGCCCAGGAAGTCAACGAATTGCTCGAGAAGAAGGCATACATTTACGTGTGTGGTGATGCCGCCAACATGGCTCGAGAAGTCAACACCATTCTAGCCCAGATCATTGCAGAGCAGCGCGGTGTACCGGACACGAAAGGAGAGGAGATCGTTAAGAATATGCGAGCCTCAAACCAATACCAGGTGAGTCATGCCCTCATTTACCAGATAAGGACCTATTATTATTATTCATCTATCTCGCAATTTATCTCTATACCCCTTCTCTTACAAGCCATCCTTGGACATTTGATTGGTAGCAGCACTGACAACCAATATAGGAGGACGTCTGGTCATAATGGCCATGAAGAATTGACGTGCTTTTTACTGCATGGCAGGATGAGCGTTGCGGATAGATTTTGCATAGAAGAAACTCGTTGTTAGCCTTCCTCGGAGTCACGGGTGTGCGGACTTTTACGGGAGTGTCTTATATGATGGTGGGATCTTGGTTCGGGTAGCAATACACATTCCACTACAAGGGTTCTGCCTAGGTATTTTCCGTATATAATTCTATGATAACTAAGTGCTTACCTAGTAGTAATGGTTTTCATTTAAAGATAACATTTATATAACCCCTTTTTTCAAACTGAACTGTCTTTTGTCTGTCTTATATGCCCATAGCCTTTTAACTAACCCAGGTAATTTAAGTAGGTACCTAGTTAGGTAGATGATTACCTAGATAGTAACAAACATCCAAGTTGAAAAGCGAAACGCCAAGGAGGCATAATACGTGGCGAATTAGATATCATGAAGGAATCAAGGAGACAGCTTTACACTTACAAAGAAGTTACGAATTTCGAGCCTGACTAAGAGGAGCCGGTGTATAGCCGGCATATTTGAATAGGTATCGACTCTGGCTTCGCCCCCTTTTCAGTGAAAGCCTTTAATGTTAGTATGCCTTGAAGTCCTTCAGTGTTTCTATCGAATATCTTTAAAGTTTACAAACAAACTAAATATACATGTGTATGGAAGCGTTAGTTGTCTAGTACCTAGTCAACTATATGTGTATAAGTTAATTCGCCCATTTTGGTTTATTAGGAAGAGGGCCGAAGAGGCGTTATTTGGATCGATATTTTACCCCTTAAATAGTTATAATCTGGCTACTGACTACTGACTACTGGCTACTTGTGTACCTAGGTGGACAACAGAGAGAGTTATTATCGAGTGCTCTCGCTCTAATCTTGGCTTCTAGTCATGGACACGGGAGACCTTGGACGATCAATCAATGAACTGCGAAGTATTTACCCAAGTTAGGTTCTTTATGCTAAAAGATACGGTGTATGAGCTTAGATGTGTACTTGATTCACTTAACTACGGCTTACTAGAGCTTTGGGAGCTAGGTATGCCTGGCAGATTATATACATATTCTCGCCGTGACTCCGTGTACAGTGCCTTCAAGCAGTCCCTAGACACTCATTCCAGCCCTTTGGAGGTGATTACGATAGTTAAAGCATCTAAGCTAAAATACTTTGTAAGTGTCCAGGTAGGTACACTTCATCATCTGAGCCTGGTTGTAGGGAGTTGTGTAGCAATCCGCTATGTACGATTTTATCGTTTACTCTTTCTTCGCGTTGTATTTTATAGGTCTATAGCATGTCAACCGTAGCTGACTTTCCATACACAGTTATATACCTAGTACTCGTGTTCATGATAGTGACGATATTTCGATTAGGGGGGATTCCAAAGAGTTAAAATGTAGTGTTAGAATTGGAAGTTTGATGGCAGGTGATATAACAATCTAGAGGCAGGAGATATACATGCACATGTATCTGAGTGGCCCAAGTAAACCGTCAACACCTGCCAGTATAAGTAGTGGATAGTACTAGGTATTATATCGACGTCACCCGGCAACTAAGCTCCGTGTATTTTAGTATTTTGAAATTTCCATATCAATGGCAGGCACAGCAAGCGCAAATATAAGGTAATTAAGTAATTCTACAAGGGATGTACCTTAAATACCTTGAAATTATCAAATACTAGGTACTAGGTATTGACCAGCGTGCTTGTCTGTGCTCCTACACTTATCCTAGTTTGGTCATTTTGAAGCTGAACACACCATCTCGAACCAGGTTGTCCAAATGTATGCCTAAGGTACGCCTGTATAGCTAGGTATTTTTTGTATTTTTTTGTATTTTTTGTATTTTCCGGTTTGATCTGGTTTAATCAGAAATATCCTGATATTCAAGGCATCAACGAGAGCATATATCCACCGTGGTTTGCGTTAATAAATCAGTACTTGCGTACCTATCTTTTCTATTTCTTTGAAGCTTTCAAACTCCGCTCTTCCTTCCACTTACATACTTATTCATCGCCATCACTCATTACTTCCTCCATACATGTGGTTAACAACGCCAGCCACGGTTTCCTTCCTTCTAATACCCAACGTTTCGTTCAACTATCGTTCGACCTTTGTTATTACTTAGTACCATTATTGATAATACAGTAATGCGTGAATATTGAATACAACCTCTGAAGTTAAATAGGCACACTACAAGCCATACACGCCATACACGCCATACAAGCCATACAAGATTCAAGATTAAGCACGACCTTGATTGAGGTTTTGTTACATCGTACTTTCTTATCTTCTAAGAGCAAACCTTGAATTGGAGATACTGGTGTCGATAGGTAAGTGCGAGTCGTCTTTGGTTCTTGTTGACATTTCGTCTGAACTATCTTTCATCTTTTACATCCCATATCTTCTTCCACTCTCCCTCATCCATTTTTCTTCTCTCTTTTTTTTCTTCCTTTCTTCCTCACTTGGTTCCCAGCATAGCATCAACTCATCCAGCACACACATCATCACAATCTCTTCGTTTTTCGTCTTGCTTTCTAGCTAAGTACTCTATCTTACTCGGTACCACTCGCTTCACCATTGTCTTGGTACTACCAGCATCGGCATTACCAGCCAGAATCCCTCAAGGTTGGTTCTGCTAACTAACTCTGTCTGGGGATGATGGAGTTTGCAAATGGCCAACAACTTCACGGGCAGCACAAGATATGATTCGTTGTCTACCTGTTATGCCAAACTTCATTTACATTTCCTACCACCACATCATCCCATCCGTCCTTCACCAGGCCTTTACAAAGCCAACCAGCACATAGCAGTGCTGATGCTATTCCTTGCTCACGCTCCTTGATTTATAACTTGAGTCTGACCTTATTTCTTTTGCTAGGTATCTCCCCTCGTACCATCTGTTTTGATCAAGTTAACTCTTGTACAAAGGTATGTAAACCCTCTCCACCCATAACTCTACCGATAAGCTTCCTTTGATATAATCGGCGAAGACAAGACATGGGTCCCTGTATACATCTCAGCGACGGGTCTATCAGGCATATCTACACGGAGCACCAGCTTGGACTTTACCTTACCCCCTTATATTCACCTCAAACATGCTTGGTCCTATTCCATATCATCATCGTCTTCCTCGTGCTTACTCTTCCCCTAAAGACTTTTATCCCCCCTTTCTCCTGTTAGAAATAACACTATCCCTTTCAGGTCTGAACACAACCACCAATGCTTTCAAGACATTATATATGCCTTATCATTTGTCCATTAACATTCTTGTCATCATTGCGGGACAGTTGCTAACAATTTGTATTTCCATAGAGACTTATCTGGTTATTTTTCACCGACCATTATGCCCACCGACAATTGCCAAACTACCACTGTCACGATGACTGCTACAGAGACCGCACGTACTGCCCAGGCTGCTTCGGGCACCAACACCACCCATGATGGTGCTCATGGCAATGGCCCGCAAAGCCAGGGAATGATTGACGCCAATATGAGCACTATTGTCAACGGATTTGGCAGTCTTGGAATCAATGGACTTCCTGCTATTCCAGGAATGGTCCCCATGGCCATGTCGGATGGCCGTATTGTTCACGTGGCCACCAACTACCCTGGCTCTGGTGTCCCAGGTTCTGGTATTCCGGCCTTTGGTTACGCCCCTGCCCCTGAGCAGTATTCTGCTGGTTATGGTCCTCCTTATCTCACCCATGGCGGTTACCAGAATGGTCCATTGTTCGCTCTTGGACCATACACGCCTGGTCGAGCCGGTATCACCCATGACCGTGCCGATGCCAGTCTACGAGACGTGCCCAGTCTTGACATTCGACGATCATCGTACTCTACCAACGAGTCTACACCGGCGACCCCGTTCCTCGGAAGCATGGCTTCCCGTGATCAAGGCGCTCGCGTCACCGTTTTCGATCGTTCGACGTACACCACTCCGTCTCCGCAGCAGGTTGCGACTACTGAGGGTCTCCAGGAGCCCAAGTCTGCGGTACTTGATTCTCTCCTTGAACGCTTCCCGCGAATCCCCGAAGCCGTTCCAGCGGTCTTTACGCCCCCGGAGAACATGCGTACCCTCGAGCAGAGTCTTGTTAGTCCTATTGCAGGAAATCGCAACGTATACATTCGTGGCCTGCATCCATACACGGATGACAACCTCTTGTTGAAGTATGCAGAGCGCTTTGGCAAGGTCGAAACCTCCAAGGCTATTATTGATTCTAGCACAAGCGCCTGCAAGGGGTAAGCCAGCCCCTCCCCAAACCCCTTTCTAACCTGTTTTAACTGGAGAGGATTCTAGCTTTGGTTTTGCCAAGTTCTTCGATGTCCGTGACTCGGAGATGTGTATCAGGGGCTTTCATCGCCGAGGCTATGAAGTTGGATTCGCCAGAGTAAGCTTTAATATTATTTCTTGGGCTATCGGAGTTGTGACAAGCATCACATTCAACACTTTTGAATCAATAGAACTAACCTGTCATAGGAATCGTTCAACTCCCGCCTGAGAGCTGAGGGAGATCCTGGCTCGACGAACCTGTATCTGTCGAACTTGCCCAAGAAATATGGTGAACAGGTAAGACACAACTTTATCTTGTAATTGTCTACACTACTTAACAGGGTCATAGGAAATCATTGCCATTTTCGAGGGTTACGTCATTTTGTCTAGCAAAGTCCTTCGAGACAATATGGGCAATAGTCGAGGTGTGGGTTTTGCTCGGTGAGTTTGAAATCTTGGGTAAGCATGCTTCTTTGATAGACTGCTAATACCGGTCCTAGCTTTGAGTCTCGCGAGATGTGCGAACTAGCAATTGCCCAGTACTCTGGTCGCCTTATTGGCGATGAGCGCCTACCGTTGCAGATCCGCTATGCGGACACACCAGCTCAGAAGGACCTGAAGCGTGTTACAGCTGAGCGCCGTCAGTTCCGTACGAATGAGTATAATGTTGGTGCTTATGGAACGAGCCTTGTTGGTGAGGACCCTACTAACTCACATACTTATCGACGTGATGGATCCGGTGGAAATGGTGGAAATGGTGGAAGCGGTGGAGCTTATTCTCGACGTAGTGGATCAGGAGAACAGGCCGCAAGCTTGAATGGATATTCCAATGAGTATGATTCTCGCTCTTGGGAATCTAACTCATGGACGATCAGCTAAATTATGGTCTTTAGCAGCCTTCGTCAGGGTGGTCAGGGAAATCGGGACTCTCTCGGTTCCGTGTATGAACCCAGAACCCACTGACGAGTGTCTCTGAGCTCCTAGACACTATGCTGATTTGGCCATAGAAGCGGTGACGGTGTCGAGATCCGCGTCGAGTCGCCCCTAGTTGCGCACGGCAGTACCCAATCATCCCCCACGAAGCAAGAGAAGGAGTAACTTCGATACCTTCCCTACCGGCGTCGACTTGATTCGAACCTCCGGAACGAGATTAAGGGTCGATCATGATGGTCGGATCATTGCCGTTATCTATACTGTTTTACCCTTTTTGTAGGGTACGAGTAGGCGACAACGATGGTATTTTCCATTGTCGTTACTTATCTTGTTTTATCTTGCCAGGGCACATATGTCTGTGCCTTGGTGGATATGTTAAAGCCATGCGGTTTGGCTGGCTCGCATGATGAGTTCTCGAGGTGTGGATGAGTTTTGATGGTTGAGGTTTTTCTTTTTTCGGTTGCTTTACTGCGCACTTTTTTACTGAGTTCTAGGGATGAGACGACATGTCACTACGTATCCTCATTACTGCTGATGGCGAATGATGAGAGGAATGAGGTATGCGTGTGTGTTTGTGTGTGCCTGGCAGAAATTGGAACTTCTTATTTTTACACGTCTTTTTAATTTCTATTAGTCTTCTTCTAATCACCAGAAAGTAGAGGTTTGGCAGTCTATTGAGTTAATAGAGCATTGATAGGCACACATACATGTACACAGATACACACAAAACTTGTGAACCAAAGTGTTTGTGATTGTATTGGGTGATTTCTATATCTCGGGTGTGCCTAGATGTGTTTCTTGGTGGGTAAAAGGGGTATCAATTCATTTGTAGTTGGCATTTCTCTATCTCGCTATTTATGTTTCATTGCCAATTGTGAGCCTCTCTATGTTTATCCGTGCTGTATCTGTTTCTTGCTTACCAACCTCTACTTGGCCAATGTCTGTGTCTTTATTTTCATTCTCATCCTCATCTTCATCATCATCTTCGTCTTCATCCTCGTCCTCGTCATCATCCTCATCGAAAGACGCCGCATCGTCATCGCTTTCCGAACCAGCACCACCACCACCTTCGGCCCTCTCCGCCTGCTGATCCCTTATGGCAGCCTCGAGATCCTTGAGCGCCTTCTTGGAAAACCCTGACGCTTCGACGGCGGCGTCGAGCCGCCTGGCGCCGTCTCGGCCGACGGTCTTCTTGGCGTCCTTGAAAAAGGGGCCCGGCTGGGTGCTGGTGAAGTGGAAGCGGCGCTCGAAGAAGCGCTTGACGCAGTTGACGTCGCGGTCGAAGTACATCTCGGCGTTCTGGTGGTCCATGGAGACCATCTGTGGGAAGTCGATGACTATGGGGGTTATGGTGACATTCTCGTCTTCCTCGTCTGAGGTTTTGGATACATCGGGTTCTTTACCCTTGGTGGAGGGCGTGGGCTTTTGCGGCCGCTCTTCTTGGATGAGGATGTTGAACTCGTTGAAGTCGCCGTGAATGAGGCCGTGGCGGGCGAGGCGCAGGATCAGGGATATGAGGTCGGCGTACAGGGCGGCGGGGTCGGGGACCTCGGACACTTGGCGCAGCGGGGAGCCGTCGACGTACTGCATGAGGACCGTGTGGCGGCTCTGGCCCAGGGGCTCGGGGACGGGGAAACCTTCGTCGCGCAGGGCGCGCATGAAGGCGTACTCCTTCTCGGCCGCGAGGCGAGACAGGTACATCCACCCCCCTCCGCCGCCGTGACCATGCTTCTGGCGCCGTAGGTAGTCGCGGTTGGAGCGCACGGAGCGGAAGGAGATGCGGCCGAGCCGGTGGATCTTCAGGATCCGCTGGGTCCCCTTGTCGTCGGCGACCACGAGGATGTCGCTTTCTTTCCCCACGCCCACGCGAGTGCCGACGCTGTATACCTGGCCCCGACCAGCGTAGGAGTGCAAGGCTAGGTAGTCGAGGCCGCCGTAGGTGAGGCGGTACCCGTCGTAGCGCGCTTCCTTGAGGCGCGCGATGAGGCCGGCCTTGGCGAGCGCGGAGATGGAGCGGTGCACGCGGTTGCTGCCGCCGCGAAGCTTGGAGAGGGATTCGATTAGGGGGGTCGGGATCACTTCGTGGTTTTTGCTGCCTTGTTCGCACTATTTTGTGGGGAGGGGTTAGCTTGGTTGGTTGGTTGGTTGGTTGATTGGATGATTTAAGAAGGAGGGGTTTTAATGTTGGGCTATTAATTTTATTTTGGAAAAGGGGAATAGGAGAATAGTGGAATATAAGGAGAAGACATCATACGGCTGCGAGGACTCGCCAGTCCTCTGCTGCGAGGTGGCGCATGGCCTTCGTGTCGAGTTTCATGGTGGGGGTTTGGAAGGGTGTGGCCCTTTTGGTTATCTACGTATATACGATCTAGGAGGCGGGGGGATTGGATAGTCGTGGAAGAAGGATAAGGAAGGTTATGTAGTAGTATGTTGAATTAGATAACTGAGAGGTACAATGCTAGTATACGAAAGTTGAAGCTTGTAGAAGCTTGAGATCTGATATTTACATATGATAACCCCACCAAACTTTAACTGTGTAGTTGAAAAATATGAGGGCAACTTTTTGTTATCTTATCTTATCTTATCTGTTCTATTACATGCATGTAGCTACACTACATGTCCCATTTGCTCATTGATTTACCGCGGGTCACGTGCTTTTGCGCGGCTGGCAGAACCGGAACAGCATCAATGGTTGGCTGCATGGGTACCTGGCCTAATCTATGAAGCACTGACCACTTTCAGTGGACTAAGCAATAGGCGGCAAAGCAGTCGCGTAATACGTACCTCTAGGCTCTAGGCTAGGTACAGTACTATTCCGCCTTGCCTTTGGAGCTACGACCCGACCTTTGCCTTGCACACTCCAAAGAAGCTTCATTTTCCACCTTCGTCTTATCCACAAATTCCATAAAGTCGCAATCCGCAATCCGCACCTTTCAATCAACACATATTCAAACACATTCTTCCCTCTCCCCACCGTCAATAAAAACAAGCTTGATCATATTAATATTCAAGCATTTCCATATCATATCGTACTTTGACGTTGTGTTTTTTTTAGAGACAGTTAAAGAGAAACAAAACGAGAGAGTCCACCCCAACCCACCCTTCCGTTATCCGCATAAACTGCCAGAGTCGCTGCCTCGACCTCCACCACCATGGCGCCGAACAGTGAACAGCCCAAGCCGGCTGATAAGGGAAAAGGCAAGGCTGTCGACAACCAGGCTGGCGAGAATAAGAAGGGCAAAGATGCTCCACCCCAAGCTAATGGCAAGAAGAATGACGACAAGATTGACTGTGTGTTTTCCGTCCCACCTATTGGAGATATGTTATGCTAACCAGTAGTGCAGCAGCTGAGGAGTTGAGTGAAGAGGATCAACAGCTCAAGAGCGAACTTGACATGTTTGTCGAACGTTTAACGGTATAGATGATAACTTTGATATTCATCCAACACTACTGGTTGTCGATTAGAAGTACTAAACGCTGTTTGACAGGAATCCGATGCATCCCTCTACAAGCCGGCCCTGGAGGCTATGAAAACCTCCATCAAGACCTCGACATCCTCGATGACGGCGGTACCGAAACCGTTGAAGTTTTTAAGACCACACTACATACCCATGACGAAACTCTACGAAGAATGGCCCGAGGGCGACGACAAGTCCTCGCTCGCCGACGTTTTGTCCGTCATAGGAATGACCTTCTCAGACGAGGATCGCCAGGACACTCTGAAATACCGCTTATTATCGCCGACACAGGACATCGGTTCCTGGGGTCACGAATACGTGCGTCACTTAGCCCTAGAGATTGGTGAGGTGTATGGAAAGCGTATCGCCGCCGAAGAGCCAGTCAAGGATCTAGTAGACCTAGCGCAGGTCCTTGTGCCACTGTTCCTTAAGAGCAACGCCGAAGCTGATGCTGTTGATCTCATGAGCGAACTCGAGATTATCGAATCGCTTCCTAACGTCGTCGATGAGAATACGTACCCCCGCGTCTGCCTATACCTCGTCAGCATGGTCAATCTCTTGACTTACCCAGAAAACGAGCAGTTTCTTCGAACTGCCCATACCATCTACAGGAACTACAAGGAACTCGCTCAAGCTATGGTGATTGCTATCCGGCTTAATGACCCGGAGCTCATTATCTCCGATTTCGACTCGACGGATGATCTCGCGTTGAAGAAACAGATGTGTCTCTTGATGGCCCGTCAAAAATACTGGTTTAATGCCACTCGCAACATGGACTCTAAGGAAGATCAGGCTGAGTTGGATGACATCGTCGCCAACATCAGACTATCCGACTACTTTAAGACACTAGGCAAGGAACTGAATATCCTCGAGCCCAAGACCACCGAAGACATATACAAGAGCCACCTGGAGAGCAGCCGAGTGGCCGGCATGACGAATCTGGACTCGGCGCGGCACAACCTAGCTGCCGCATTTGTCAATGGTTTTGTCAATGCTGGTTTTGGTAGTGACAGGATGATGCTTGTAGAACAAGACAAGGAAAGCTGGGTATGGAAGACGAAGGATGAGGGCATGATGTCAACTGTCGCCTCTCTCGGAACACTTTTGATGTGGGACGTGGAAAATGGATTGGATAAGATTGATAAATACACCTACGCCCCCGAGCCCCAAATTATCGCCGGGTCTATGCTCGCTATCGGCATCATGACCTCGGGCGTTCGTCTGGATAGTGAGCCTGCCCTAGCATTGCTTGGCGATGTGGAAAAGCTGGAGCATAAGGACTCCCTTGTCCGAATAGGGGCTGTTATGGGCCTTGGACTTTCTTACGCTGGCTCCCATAAGGAGGAGGTACTAGAGCTGCTATTGCCGATCGTCACTAATGCAGATAATGACATGCAAATGTCTGCTTTGGCAGCTCTATCCTGCGGGTTAATCCACGTTGGGTCCGCTAATCCCACGGCTACCGAGGACATTATGTCTGTCTTGTTAGACGAAGAGCGAGGAAATCAGTTTTCGGATAAGTGGATGCGCTTTCTGGCTCTTGGTCTCGGACTTCTCTACTTCGGCCGCCAGGAAGAGGTGGATGTCATCCTGGAGACTCTCAAGGCGGTACCCCACCCCATGGGACGGCCGACTGCGATTCTCGCAGAGGTCTGTGCCTGGGCTGGCACTGGCGCCGTGCTGAAGATCCAAGATCTGCTACATATCTGCAATGAGCACATCGACGCGGACTCGGAGGAGAAGAAGTGCGATGAGCTGCTACAAATGTACGCAGTCCTCGGAATTGCGCTAGTTGCCATGGGCGAAGATGTTGGCCAAGAAATGGTCCTACGACAATTTGGCCATCTCATGCACTATGGCGAGCCCAACATTCGGCGTGTCGTGCCGCTGGCTATGGGTCTAATCAGCCCTAGCAATCCACAAATGAGGGTCTACGATACGCTGTCCCGGTATAGTCACGATAACGACAACGATGTCGCGATAAATGCGATCTTTGCCATGGGTCTACTCGGCGCCGGCACGAACAACGCTAGGTTGGCCCAGCTTCTGCGACAACTGGCGAGCTACTATCACCGCGACCAAGAATCACTTTTCATGGTTCGTATCGCGCAGGGCCTCTTACACATGGGCAAGGGCACCATGTCCCTCAATCCCTTCCACACAGACCGACAGATCCTCTCTAGAGTCGCGACTGCTGGTCTGCTTGCCACCCTGGTAGCTATGGTTGACGCCAAACAATTCATCACCTCCAACTCTCATTACCTCCTATACTACCTCGTCACAGCTATGAATCCTCGTTTCCTGGTTACGTTAGACGAAGAACTTAAGCCGTTGACCGTCAACGTCCGTGTTGGTCAGGCCGTCGACGTGGTTGGACAGGCAGGTCGACCCAAGACGATTACGGGATGGCAAACACAGAGCACACCCGTACTGCTAGCGTACGGCGAAAGGGCAGAATTAGAAGACGAGGAGTATATCAGCCTTAGCAGCACACTAGAAGGTCTTGTTATTCTCCGCAAGGTAAGACCAAACAGCTCTTTCTCGTAAAGTTTTTATAGCTAACATGTTACTAGAATCCGGACTGGGACAACGGCAAGTAAATAGATAGATAGATAGGTGATGACAACCGACTTTATTGATGCTACTCTGGTAGACAATCAAGCTATTCCAGGATGTCAGGGAGGGGTTGTGAGGGTAAAACCGGCCACCCTATGTCCCTCTATGCTATGCAATGCAGTCGGTGTGATGGAGGAAGAAGAAAAATAAAGACAAAAGATGTACTATTAAAATACAAATAATGCAACCCCCCGAGCATCACCAGTTCTATGGGGGGTGGTTTTTTTAACTCCCTTTTTTTTTCTTCTCTACTTTTGACCTATTAGGAGGCGAATGAACCCTCGCTTGGTTATTTCGTCTATTAGATGATGATAACGAGTGTGAAAATATCATTACCTAGGTAGGTACTTGCTTAAATACCCTGGGTTAGGTAGGTAGGTAGGTAGGTAGGTACTCTAGATGTCTCCCCTTATTCGTAGGTAGACAGAACCTATTATCTACCTAACCTAGGTAGGTATGTATCTTAGGTTAACTTGGGTAAGTAAGCACATATGTATGTACAACTTGCATTAAGTACTAAGTTAGGTAGGTATGTATAGACACATGTAGCACGTTTCTACCTTTCTATTTAAACCAAGCATCCCATCCCATGCTTTCTTCTACTTCCTCGCAGGCCTCGCATTCTTCGCCCTCTTCTGCTCCTTAACAACCCTCGCCTTGCGTATGTCCTCAGCACTCTTAATCTCCTTCCTGCTGCCAGCGCCGTCCTTGAAGCGGCCGACGCGCTTCTCGCGGGCGTCGGCGACGCGCTGCTTGCGCACGTGGTAGTCGTCGCGGAACTTGTCAGCCTCCTTGGGCGCCTTCTCTTGCTTGTGTCTGTACCGGACGCCTTCTCCGGGTGCACCTGCCCCGCCGTTGAAACCTCTCTTTTCGAATTCGCCGACGCGGGGGAGCTTGCCTAGACGTTGGGCGCGGCGCCACTTGTCGAAGCGGCCGCTCTGGAAGGAGGCGGCTATCTTGACGCCGCTTTCGCCGCGGATCATGCGCTTGCCTGCGCTGCCTAGGGTGGTGCTGCGGGAGCCGTCCTCGTCGTTGTCGCGGGAGACGTACTTGCCGGATTTCTTGTCCCAGCGCATGCGTGAGCGGGCTGGGGCGCCGAAGTTCTTGGCGCCTTCGTCGTTGGTCAGGTCCATGGTTACGTCGCGCGCGGCCTCGACGAAGTTGCCGCCGCCGTTATGGAGGGCGTTGGACCCCGAGTGCACGCCATATCCGCGCTCTTCGGCTGCGTTAATGGTGCGTGGGGTGTATGACATAAAGACATCGGAGTCTTGGAAGGAGCCCGCGTTTTTAGATTTTGTTGAAGTGGCATTGTGGTTGGATATGGTGACTTCGAGATCACTATTGTCATCTTCTTCTTCTGCACTGTCGGATGCGACATTTTGGTCCGGCTCATCAACCATCTCCTCATCTTCATCCTCGAATCCAACCACGTCATCTACCCCGACATCTTCGTCAGACTCTTCCTCTTCTTCTTTGTTCTCCTTAGCCGACCTACGGGGCCCGAAGCGTTCACGAACCGCTTTCATGAGTTCGGCTGCATCGTTCCGGCCTGCTTTGGCGGTTCTGCCGATTTCGAAGATCGTTTCCTGGGGCTTGAAACCGCTAATCTTGGCCAACATCTCCGCTCGCGCGTCCTCGGCCTCCCCCAGCTGATTGCCAAAAACCGGGTGCAGTTGCATCCAGCCCTTTGACGCGACAATTTCTCTCGCCCGCCGCGCACTTTGGCTGGAAGCCGAGTTACGCGTTCGTAGATATAGCTTTTCCGCTTTGCCAGCTACTTTGCGTAGTGCGTTGATATCCTCGCTCTCACCCAAGACCTTAGTCAGCCATTCCACGTTACTTTCCACTTTGCTCCGTACCGGAGCACCGACGGAAATATCTTGAGTGAAGTTTGTAGCATCTTTACCTTCCTTCCCTAGAACGAGCTTCTTGCCTAAAAACAGTTGTAGGTCCAGCAAGTACGGTGCATCTGTATCTCTCACCAAACTATAACTCCAACCCCGCTGTCCTGCTCGAGCCGTTCGACCAACTCGGTGGACAAAAATCTTAGGTTGCGGGGGGAAGTCGTAGTTGATAACGTTGGCAAGAATAGGAATATCGATACCTCGAGCAGCAACGTCTGTAACCACTAGGATATTGGTACGTCCGTGCCTGAAGCTTTCGACTTGTTCCTTTCGAGCTGTTTGATCCAAGGATCCATAGACATAAGATACAGCGAAGCCTGATTCACGGAGAAGAGTTTGTAAATATTCAACGTGATGCTTTGTGGCTGTGAATATAATGGTGGAGTGTTCGGTTGGCTTCTCCCTTCCTCGAGGGGCGTCTGGCCCTCGCTTTCTCTTCTTGGATGGCTTGTCTGAGTCTGGTTCGACGCCTGCTGGCAATCCCATGGGCATTTGTATGATGTCGTGTAGGATATGGAGAAGCGCGCCTTCTTTTTCGGCACCCTTGACACTGAAGAAAGCTGATTGAAGGTCGGGGGAAATTTTTGTCTCAGCATCTAATCGGACGAGACTTGGCTCCTGTAAGCCGGCGCGCGCAAATTCTACCAACGAAGCTGGCAAAGTAGCCGAAAAGAGCAAAGTCTGCCTTGATAAGGGTAAGGCGTGTAAGATCTCGGTTAATTGAGCTGCAAACCCCATCTCAAAAAGCCTGTCTGCTTCGTCAAAGACAGCATACTGGATTGAGGATAAGTCGAGAGACATTTCGACTTTCAGATGTAGGAATCGTCCAGGGGTGGCAATGACTATATCAGGATTCGAAGTCATGGAGTTGAACTGGTCCTCTAGACTATCACCACCAACAAGGAGAACGCACTTCAGATCTGTACCACGGCCGAACTCCTTTACGACTTTCAAGGTTTGGATAGCAAGTTCGCGAGAAGGGGAGAGGATGAGTGCCCTTGCACCAACAGTAGCGCTATGAGCTCTCAAACGCTCTATCATGGGTATGACGAATGCAGCAGTCTTTCCAGAACCTGTTCTTGCCATGCCCACAACATCCCTTCTCTCCATAACCAAGGGTATAGCTTTGCGTTGAATGGGAGTCGGAACAGCAAACCCCTTTCTCGTGATGGCTCTTAGTAAATTTGCGTTAAGTCCTATAATGAATCCCGTTCGTTAGAAACACAGAAAACCACTATAATGTTGGTGGATAGTGTATACGAACCCATAGCTTGAAAGCCACCACCTTTCTTGACAGACTTTCCCTTCAAGTTGCCAGTTTTTCGAAACGAAGCCGCCTGCTTAAGGGCAATGAAAGCTTCGTCGCCATCATCGTCTCCGTCGTCCAGGAAGTCAAACCCGAGGTCATCATCTTGCTTATCATTATTTTTACTCTTCTTGGTCGATACTCTGCCGCTCGTGAATAAGGAAGCTGAAATATCAACCTCGTTTTCCGATGGCGTTGGTGACGCTGCACGTGCCGGCATGTTGCCGATTGGTTTCAAATAGCAGTATTAAATCCTACATGAAATAGCAACCAACTCCAGTATATTTCACGGGAATTTTCAAGAAAATAGTTGTAGTAAGTACAGAAGGCGTGAAATGATATATAGTTGGTATCGTCGTGGGGCAAGTCACTTAAGTCACTAAACTTTTTTTTTTTTCCTTTTCGCAAAGTTGCTGGACCCTTGTTAATTGATAAGCGTTATCGAGACGCTAAGTATGCACTAGCCCCGCCATGGCCATGTACTATAACTACCTAGTAGTAAAGTTATTAACTAGTATACATAACTACATAACTAGTAGGTAATGTTAGTGAAGTGTACTGTATGGAGACCCTATCGCAACTTCCTATCTCCTCGTCTCCGGCCCCGAGCCTCTTATACATCGCATCATCGGTACTTCTCAATTCTCAATTCTCAATTATTAACCTTTCAATTCCCAATTTCCACCACATCCCCAATTTAGCCGTTTTAGATTTCCTAACATTAGTCTTTTGTTATATCCTTCAGCAGCGTCATCTATATGGCTTCTAAAGAAAAGGAAGCGCACGTTGAGGATAAGGATGCTATTGATGTGCTGGAGGCGGAAGCCAAGGAATTCGACAAGGCAAGCTGAACTCCCGGCCCCCAATATGCCATATGCTCATACTAACAGTTCAATCTAGGATGCCGAGATTGATCGCATCTTGAAGGCATTCCGCCTGGATGCGTACGTGCTGCCCTGTCCATTCAACTAGCCACCTACCTACCTAGACTCAACTAATCATTAAATATATCAATACATATAGCTACGCCGTTCTGGGCCTAAATCCTGGTGTCCCTGAATCCGATATCAAGATGACCTACCGCAAGAAGTCCCTACTCATCCATCCAGACAAGACCAAAAATCCACTGGCCCCCGAAGCCTTCGACCGCCTCAAAAAGGCCCAGACGGAGCTCATGGACGAGAAGCACCGAGAGCGACTAGATGAAGCCATCGCCGACGCGCGCATGCTGCTTATCCGGGAGAACAAGTGGACGGTCGATAGCCCCGAGCTCAAGACAGACGATTTCGCCAAGAAGTGGCGCGAGAAGACCCGCGAGGTACTCGTCGACAACGAAATGCGTCGCAAGCGCCAGGTTAAGGCCCAGATGCAAGAGGAAGGCCGCGAGCAGCGTAAAGTCGAGCAGGACCTCGAAGAACGCAAGCGCAAGCGCCAGCACGAGCAGGACTGGGAGAGCACACGCGACCAACGCATCGACAGTTGGCGTCAATTTCAAAAGGGAAAGTCCGGTGGCAGCGACGGGAAGAAGAAGAAGAAGCTCAAGCCAATTGGCTGAACCAAGAAATGGAGGAGAAGGAAACAGCACGAAGTCTAGATTGGCTACCTAGGCTTGGCTTGGCGGCTTAGAGGAAACACAGAACGAGCAAAGGCTTTTCTTTTACTACGTGGAACTACCTACTACCTGCTTACTACGCGCTCAACGGCCCCGGTCGAGGGAGGCAAGTGACGAGCGACTAGGTTTTGGTCTTATTACGTGAGTTTTATTGTTAATAGACCGGACATCATTTTATGAACCTAACTCCCTTAGTGACCTTTGAGAGACCGAGTTGGACCTTTCCGTGAGGTTATGGTCTCCTTCCTACTCACGTACTACATTACCACTGGAGGTGTCTCCACACCGGATGAAAACATACATTATCAAGGTGAGTCTGCAACACTTCCGAGCACTCTCAGCTCATGATGACTGCACAGGGCAGCGCCCGGCGTATATTAAGAGGACAAGGAAAGTTATGATTATATGGACCTTATCAACCACGACACTCCGGAGGGTCAAGAATCATCGACTTCCTTCAGCCTTACGCCTCTTGCTGTGAGCCGATTCGGCAATTAGGCGTTTCACGAAATACCATTCTGATATCGTAGACTATTGACCGTGGAATTCGGGCCGCGCTACCGGCCCTTGATCGTAGCATTTCTATCACACTATCCTTATTTATCAGCCTAGCTTAGGGCCGATGTTTTTGCTTGTACTGTATGAATCTCGAGAGATTCCAGCTCGCCTCCTCAGCACGCGCCCGCAGCTCGGTGGACTTTCTCTTATCAATTGTTTTTACCACGGTCTTCACTCTAGGGGCGGCCTCTTCCAGGTGCTGTAGAAAGTTCTCCTTCCAGAAGACCTCCTGGTCCCATTCCTTATCCTCATCCCCATATATATCGAACAACTGGTTCAAAGCTTCCACGGCATCCGCAGCTGGGGTCTCGGGTAGTGATTTGACCACTGTGAGAAGGAATATGCCTATCTCTCGGTTTAGGGGGGTCGATGCTGCGAGCGCGAGTTGACCGAGCACGCCAACACATTTGACGCCGAGGCTTTGGAAAGGATCGTCCTGGTCAAGCGTGAGGTTCTTGGATGCATGGTAGAGCGCGATGAACTTCTTGTGCTCATCTCCACTGAGGAAGTTCTGTCCATGCAAAGTCCTCGCAATGGCCCATGCTAGACTCGTCACGATAGCCGCGAGATCTACGTCGGAAGTATCACTGGCGAGAACGGGAGCGATGGCCTGTTGCCAGATGGCCTGTGCCACCGGTGTCCATGCCGACAATATTGCGGTATTTGATACGTCAGTCAAGTCCATACAGCTAACCGTCCATGAGATGTTGTTCAGGGTCGTGAAGGCGTGGTCAAGGATCAAGCCTGCTGGTTCGCCAATGCCTCCGCAACTTTGCGATACCTTCACGACTTGTGGAATCGCCTTCTGCATGAGCTCTTTCAAGGTAGGCAAGTCATCAATACCTTCCGGTTCGTCGTCGTTATCGTCCATTCCGGTGACTATATCCATGTCCGCTTCCATTTCATCCTCGTCCATCTCTTCATCTTCATCGTCTCCAGCCACATCTTTATCGGAAAGTTTCTCATCAACATCAGCGTCCATGGCAACATCTGCGTCCTCGACTATCCTCTTTTTTTCTACATTCCACTTACTTCGGTGGTTCTTATGCAATGATTCTTGCAGGGAGGTGCCGATGGATGCCAATATCTCCAGAGCCAATTGCATAACATCCACCGGGCTTGCTGTGTCCTCGCCATTCGACATTATCTTCTTCAATTGGGTTCGTCCGATGATCTGAGAAAGTGTAGGAACGAGGATGGCGTCGCTAGCGCCATCCCTGCCAGGGTTTTGATCGCTCCATTGCGCCACGGAGAACACGTTGTGTAATACACCACAAGCCAGCACGGCCCTATATCCATCACTACTCTTCAAATCGATGAGCCGGTTGTAGCATTTGATGGGCTGGTCAGCGGGCTCGTCGGCAAGAATGGCGTCTACAAACTTCTGGTTATCCTCAGACAGTGTCATCATACACCACAACGCACTGTTGAGAACCGGGAGAGTGGTATAGCCATGGGTAACCAGTGTGAAGAGAAATTGAACGATTTGTTCACTACGCACAATAGCATCGAGTGCTTCGTCATGAGCCTCGGCTACAGCTGCAAGTATAGCAGCGAGTGACTCAGCAATGCTCCAGATGAATATTTGCTCAAGTTTGGGAAGTTTGCTGAAAAGAGGATTTGAAGACCTCAGAGCTTTGGTAATCTATGCAATGGTTAGCAAATGCTACGCGTGGAAACATGATTCTACTGAGTTCTCTCACATTTGCGCAGGCATGCTCAAGAGCAGTCAGAACGTCTATTCGAAATAGGTGAACGCTAAAGTCGGCCTCTTCCTTGGCTGCGAGGATACGAAGAATGCTCCATCCAGCAGCTCTGCTCTCTAGACTTGTATCGGTAAGGGTCTCATTGAGGATTATGTGAACGATCCTCTCTCGTAAGAGTAGTTTCCTACACTTGTTGTCTTGTATGATGTTGGCGATAGCTCCGGCAGCGGCAGTCCGTGATTTAGGGTCGACGCTTTGAAGATCCTTCAGCACGGGTAGGATACTCTTTTCCCGGATGGCGGCCAACTCAGGGTCCGAGGGCGGTTTCACGGGCTTTGAAATCGGGTCGGAACGTTGGCCACCCTTGGCTCTGTTCCGACGAGACTTGGCCATGGCTGAATAGGTAGGTAATATATGCGACTGGACAATCTTCAATGTTGTCTACTAGGTACCTAGTACTACCTGGTTGATACTATGTAAGTAAAGATTGAAGGTTTGTCACAGTTTAAATCCTTAAAAATAGATGATATATCTAAAACTTCAAATGTCGATGTCCCCCACCATTGAAATTTTACGGTTCGTGTAGGTACAGTACATAATAGTATGTACCTAGTTACGCTAATGCATATAACCGATAACTACTTCAATGTTGCTTTATCATGGGGCTGATTTGCCAAGCTCTGTTCCGAATTTGGCCCTAATACCTGATATCAATCGCGATAGCCTATAGTTAGGTTAGTACTTCCTATACCACGTTTTGCTGTAGTTATACTTTTTAATGCATAATACGCCTGTAACGGCCAATGCCAGGATATATCGTATCTAACCTTAAGCTAGGGCCGCGGCAGCTAGTGTAGGTATCTACAGGATCGTCACTCCCAGGAGCTTCATCGTCCCTTCAACCCCAAACTTCCGCCACCAGCAACACTTCCGCTCAACTCAACTGGATTGATGTTAACCTTATCAAACCTGCCATCTGATCTTTATACCATTAACGTTACGAATCTGTCTTCCTTCTAATAACTCTAACAAAGCTCTTGCCCAACCAAACCCCAAGAACTAGTTACAGCTTTGAGATGCAGTTCGCAGCGACTTTATCCACTACTAGGACCGTGCTGTGATAATCCGCCCACTTGCTTGTTTGCTCGTTTACTCGCCCGCTCGCTCACCTACTGCTTTGCCTACCTAGTTCAATATTAGGCTCGCGCTGGAGCTGGTGGTATGTCTATATGGGGAAAGATGCGAGGGCTATTTCTGAGCGACGAGGAGCTGGGCAAGAAAGATGACGACCATAACAAGGCTTCTAAGAATGGCGCCGGCGGTGGTGGAGGTGGCAGCGGTATCCTGCATCCAAACTGGCACCCCACCAGAATTCATCCGCGACGATCCCTCAAGCGTATAGCTATTGTGTTGTTCGTCGCGACGCTCGTCATAGTCTTCTTTAAGAATATCCCCGTCCTCGGTCCTAATGTGCGCATGCGCCGCCCTCACTATACATATACAGATCTCGAAAGTTCCAATGCTCCTAGGCGCCCCGCCTACGGGCGACCGCAGTTATCTCCCTCCAAACCAAACTCTCGGCCGCCGACCGAGCGCATATTTAATGGACCCGTTAGATTCCTTGATCTAGCCCCGACGCTGCATGCCATCACTGGCACAAGAGGAAGCATGTTGAACAATAGGAATATTCTTTTCGCAGCATCTAGTCTCAAGAGCGCGGCCATGCTATTACCGATCGCCTGCCAGATGGGAAGCGAGTTGAAGAGCTACGTGCACTTTGCGCTAATGAGTCGGAGTGACATTGATATGCGGGAGCTGCGCAAGGTTAACGGCATAGACGATTCATGCCAGCTTATATTCCATGGTGCGATGCGTTCCTCGGATCTATAGAGTGAGATGCGTACAAGATGATGCTAACCCTATCAACTTATAAGATGCGCGGCCTGACTATGCTCAGGTATCAACCGACGATCGGATGGAAAATGCTGTGTTTCGTGCATTTCGTGCGTGTCTTGTCTTTGCCCCCTTATCATAAGTTCCAATGCTCATGTTCTCGTTTAGACCATATTTTCAACTACATGCATCCTCAGGCTATTTTGATAGATGGTTCAATAGATGAGGAAACATTCTTCATACGAGGCGCACAGCAGCACGCAAATGTGAAGAAAACTACCTTGATTGAGCTACCGCGCAAAGCTGCCAAACGGCTTGCGTGGCTGGCGAAATTGGACAGTCAAGCCTTGCACAGTAAGACAGCTCGTCTCTCAGCTAACATTAGACATTACTGACTAAATCTTCCAAGTGTGGAATAAAAACCACATTGACATACTAATTCGGGCCGTTCCGGGGTCTTCGGGAAGCTTGATCAGACTTCTCAGATCCCTCAGTGCCGCAGATTATACCTCGAGCGCAGTTCCTCATCTGACCATCGAACTGCCGCATGATATAGATCCTCCAACTAAACGCTTTCTTGAAACATTCATGTGGCCACCGGCCCATACAAATAATCCTGCCAATACGCGACTTCTTTCCCTAAGGCATCGTATTCCTCGTCAGAAAGTGGGCGAAGAGGAGAGCTCTATCCAATTCCTTGAGTCGTTCTGGCCAGCCGAGCCGCAGCACTCTCACGTATTGGTTCTTTCTCCACAAGTCGAGCTATCATCTGACTTCTTCCACTGTATGTATATATACCTCTCCCATACCCACGAGCGCTTTTAACCAACTCGCACAGACCTTATATACTCGCTTCTGGAATATAAATATTCTGCTGTCGCTACCCATCAACGCTGGGGTCGTCATCTTTTTGGCATCAGTCTCGAGCAGCCCCTCAAGAAGCTAGACGGAAAACAGGAGTTATCTGCGCCTTCGTTGCTGAAGAGCTCCGGTGCTGGTGAGGCGTCAGATGAAGAGATTTCGACTTCGTTCCTTTGGCAAGCCCCTTCCAGCAGTGCCGTACTTTTCCTGGGCGAGAAATGGATGGAACTCCACGACTTCGTCTCCAGATCTCTGGAAGCTAAGCGAGAGTTTGACGAGGTTCCAACACTGTTGTCTGAGAAGATTGTGAGCACGCAACATCCATCTTGGCTTGAACACGCCTTGAGATTAGCCCGAGTGCGAGGTTACTGGATGTTGTACCCTGGCAGTGACACGGCTCAGAATTTGGCAACGGTCCATAGCGAGCTAAGTCATATACCAGAGGAGTATGCCAACCAAGAAGGCTCTAAGGTGACATTGGCGGAAGATGCGAGCGAGGAAGAAATCGAGAACGTGAGACAGAAAATCCGGGCCGGGTCAGAGATTACCCTCGCTCCAGTATCGTTGCTGGATAGTCTCCCTCACGAGGGAAATCTCCGCCCCTTTGGAGACCTTCCTATACTGACATGGGATGGGCAGTCGGCGGATTTTGAAGAGCTAAACTCGTTGGCTGCCACGTACGCAACAGAGTTTAGGGAGAAGGTTGGCCGATGTACTGTCGACTCTGCCGAGGTGTCGAAAAAGCAGGAGGGTCCGACGACGGAGGATCTGTTCTGCACCACAGACTGAAAACAATCGTAATGAATATAAGGAAACCTAAGTGCGTATTCGTTCGGGGAATTGCCAATATATATGGGAATAGGGGTTCTGGCGCAATCGCACATGAAATAAATTGTACATAGCGTATGGGTTGAGTGTTAGGAACACCACCCCCAGTGGACATATATACACACATATAGATATAGCTTTCACGGCAGCTCCATGGACAGACTGCTGCGGTTGATGAGCGTGTTCATTGATGGCCTGCTTCTACTTTCGCGATTACCAGTAGGATTATACAAGTGCCCACGATTGACAGGGCGATAAGTGACATGATCTTTTTGACTCTTTGTTAATAACGGGGACCCAAGAAATTTAGAAGGCAATATGGAGAGACCTACCGTTTGTGTCCTCCACCCGGTTTGGACTATGGCTACTTTCTTACTATACTTATCTAGGGTTTCTACTCGTGGTTAGGTTTGTATAGGTAAGCATGGCGAATTAGATATATATATATAATAAACTGAACAAAGCACAAGACGGAAAAAGAAGATAGGTAGGTACGAACTAATGTAGTTGCCGAAGCCGAGGACTAGGCAGGACAGCGACAGCAGCCAGAAGATTATCCCCAAGGGTCGGGCCATTCGCAGCTCGAGCGGCGACGGCTGCGACTTCAGGTGGAAGGAGAGCACGATGGCTATGGCGACGATGGCCATGTAGACGGATAGGCGTAGGTAGGATAGGAAGGCTTTAGAGGGGGGAGAGGGTTCGTGGTGGGTTAGTTATAGGAATATGGGTTGGTGAGTTAGGTAGTTGTTTGGCTTTTTTTTTTGACATACTGCGTTCATTGGCGCAATGGTCCCGGGTGTCGCTGCTCTCGTTCTCGACGAGGAGCGGCCCGAGGAGCGGCAGGGTCCAAAAGACGTTGGCGGAGCTGCACGTGTAGTCGGCGACTTCGATCGGTCGGGTCAGGTCCGAGAAGGCGGGCGTGCCGCAGTACGAACACGACGCCGCGTGACTCTCGAGGTCGGGGTCGGGTGGGGCCATCTTAGTATCTATCTATGTATCTATCTATTTTGGTGGTTATAGATGGTTGGCTGGCTGGCTGACTGGCTGGCTGGCTGACTGGCTGGCTGGCTGACTGGCTGGCTGGCTGACTGGCTGGCTGGCTGACTGGCTGGCTGGCTGGCTAGGATGGACGGAGAAGATGGAAAATCATTAGAGGAGAATAGTTTGGTGCTTGTTCTTTTTCTTCCTTTCTTTTCTTTTTTTTTTTCAATAAATTAGCTAGTGATTTACTAATGAGATCTGAGGAAGTTACGGACGGGATAAGGAAAGAATGTAAAGTTTGTAAACTTTGTAAAGTTACATAAAAGTATTCATGGATTGTTATGCTCTTATCCGAGACATTAATTTCAACGGTCGTGTCCCGTGACTCCCGTCAGTATCATAAGTGGAACAGAGGCTTAAAACCGGGGAAGCTGCTGGGATGTGCACGGTCCATGTGGGGAAGTTTGAAGGTTGTCCATTGAATTCCAGTCGGTCTACCACCTCGTTCGCTCGTTCATTTCAATTCCTTACATAAATTTAGGGAACACAGAACTAACCTAACTACTGCACTATGTAGGTATGTATGTATGTATGTATGTATGTATGTATGTTCCGCAGCGCAGAGCCAGATCAGACATTGGCTCTGCTAAAACATTGGATCAACTATCGTGATTACTTCCATTGTACACAATATGGTACATACTACACATTATCTATACTATACCCACCTAGGTATCTATATGCGTACACATTAATATTAGTATCATATTACAGTGTCTCGCTCGATAAGTATCGTACGACCAATCACGAACTAAATGTATTGTACATACATAGCTAGACCGAGACACGATAACAGACTCCCTAGTAATAACAGTACACAGTAGCGGATCCTACTAGTCTAGTCAGCACCTAAGATAGCCGGTATGTATCTAAACGCCTTCCCTGCCCTCATCTTGCAGTAGGCTCCGGTGGCGGCCAGCCTAGATAAGCGGGGGGCATCCAGCCAGCCAGCCCTCGGGAACTGCAAGTCTCGATCCGCCCTTGTACGAAAACGGGTGGCTTAGGAGTCCCGTCAGCATGCGTTAAGAAACACTATGCCCACCACAAGGTAAACTTATCTATTAGCCAATGGCTTTCCTGTTGATGGCTGGCCCAGGTATTCTCATCATCTTTTGATTCTGTACTGGCCGATCGTGCTGTTGTGAATCTGACGAGATATAGTGCTAAAGACGTCATCTAACTTACCACTCTAATCATCTGTATCATTATACTTATTTTATTGCTCTTGTTCTTTATTATATTGATCTGTGGCCAGGGTAGAGGGTTTCATAAGTGCCTATCCAACGCCGTTGCCTGGAGGGAGGAAAGACAAGATGCCAAACCCGAAGCCAATTCCACCCAGGAAAAGGGTGTTGGATATAGCTTCGTCATCATTCAGATCTCATTCACCGATAGCTCAGGAGATAGTAGCTCGTGATGTCGCGGAGTGCTCCGAGGATGATGTCGAGAACGCGTTCCGTGATGACGAAGATGAGATCGGGTCTGAGTCTGAATCAGAGAGCGGGCCTGTGTTGTACAAGCAACCCGTTGGTGTCGCCTTTGGATACAGGCGACCAAGTCTACTAAACGACCCAGTGAACGAGCCCGTCTTGACAAGGGTCGAGAAGAAACAGTCTCGTAATGCTGAACGCAGTCTTTTAAGGGACAATCATATTCTACCGCCAAAACATATCCCGGAGAAGCAACCTGGGATGTTCTCCAAGTTGTACAAGTCCTTATTCAGCACCAAGGTCCGCAGAGCACCCGACGACGAGGAAGTTCCCAGGATAGCGGTCCAGCCCTCGGAGTCCTCGCCTTTGCTGGCCAGTACGACGGACCCATCCAGTCCACACCATGAGCACCTGGATGAGCAGTGGGACGCTGCTGTAGCCTCGGGAAAGATCGAGACTACTTGGCAGAGAGAAGCCAAGACAATCGCAATCCATTCGCGATCGCTGATTTTGACTTTCCTGTTACAATATAGCATCAACATTACTAGTATCTTTGCCGTTGGGAGAATCGGAAAAGTAGAGCTGGGCGCCGTAAGCTGTAAGTCACGAAGTCCACATATGTTACTCGTCCTCTATACCTACCTAGGTACCTAGACACCTTTGCTAACTACGTACGATGCAGTGTCGACCATGACGGCAAATATTCTATGTTATGCTCCGATGCAGGGCCTAGCAACCAGCCTGGACACACTTTGTGCCCAAGCCTATGGTTCAGGTCATAAGCATCTAGTGGGCCTGCAACTCCAACGAATGACATATTTCTTGTGGACACTTGTAATCCCTGTCGCCGTGCTTTTCTTCTTTGCCGAGGACATACTGCGTCACATCGTTCCGGATCCGCAGTCGGCCGAGCTTGCGGGTCTGTACCTCAAGGTTGTAACCGCCGGCGTCCCCGGGTTTGCCGCGTTTGAGGGAGGCAAACGTTTTGTTCAGTCACAGGGCCTATTCGTTGCGACTACCTACGTGTTACTGATTGCTGCACCCGTGAATATCTTCATCAACTGGCTGCTAGTCTGGCATTTTGGATGGGGCTTCATTGGCGCCCCTATTGCTGTGGCAATAACCCAAACATTGATGCCACTACTGCTACTTTCATATGTCGTATTTGTTGACGGAATGCAATGCTGGGGCGGCTTCACCCGCCGGGCCCTGACGAACTGGGGTAAGCTTAGTCCAACTACCAACTTTTGTATTATTGGGCGAGCTACCTACTAACACGTAATTAAGGCCCTATGGTTCGGCTTGCGTTACCGGGAATGGTCATGGTTATGGCTGAGTGGTTTGCTTTTGAGATTTTGACTCTAGTATCGAGCCAATTCGGGACGTCTTACCTAGCGGCACAAAGTATCCTGGTTACTTTGACGTCGACCATGTTTATGATACCTTTCCCCGTCTCTATTGTTAGCTCTACTCGCATCGCAAATTTAATAGGGGCTGGGTTAGTCGATGCTGCCAGGTTATCCGCCAAAGTTGTAAGTTTGAGTGTGACTTTGGATTTGCAGGACAAAACAAACGCGGTTGCTAACCTGCTTTTAGGCATTCTTGGCCGGGCTGATGATTGGTGTGTTCAACCTCATCTTGCTTTCAAGTCTCCGCTTCAAACTCCCCCTCCTGTTCACGGAGGACGAGGAAGTGATTGAGATAGTGGCGAGCGTGATGCCGCTCGTTGCAGTGATGGAGATATTTGATGCCATGGCGGCGGTGGCCCATGGTTTGCTTCGCGGCATCGGGAAGCAGTCGTTTGGGGGCTACGCAAACCTGTCGGTCTACTATCTCATTGCATTGCCGATTTCGTTCGCGACTGCCTTTGCGCTGGATTGGAAGCTTACTGGCTTGTGGCTGGGGACTACGGTTGGCTTGGCTCTGTAAGTTCACATCTTTACCCCTTCACAGAGAAATAGTTGGCTCGATAAGTCGGAAAGTTGAAAGGTTGCTAATGTGGTATGATACCTATCTAGTGTGGGAGCGGTCGAGTACTGGTACACGTATGTCTCGGATTGGGAACAGTCAGCTCGGGATGCCGAGAATCGGAACGCCGCCGGTTGATGTTGGTTGATATTATGCACGGATACCCAGGGAAGACAGGTTTACTACTATGTGCTCATGGGTTTGGGTTCATGTTGGATGATTGTGTTTGATCTCACAAGCGGCATGACATGGCCTCGTTGTAAGCGATTTTATCAGTACCTAAGTAAGTACCTGCATGACCTATCAGGATTTAGCCATTGCCAGTGGCTTCTCCGTAGTAGAGTCCGTACTACTAGTAGGTAGTAGCTACTAGGTAGTAGTATGCCACTATGTTGGTACACAAAGGATCACCTGGATTATAGCGCATACCGACGTAGCGTAGTATGTATAAATACTGTATGCATCCAAGAAGGGAAAATCCCGAGGTAGAACCCTAGGTACATGAACGAAAAGGGGACGATTGGATTATAGTTGAAGTTAGCATTCTACAACAGTAGCTTGAAGCACGGTCACGGGTATATCCAGATAAGGTATGATCCGATCTATTGAATTGAACTCAACATTGGAAGTTTGACATTTCAGCGTTGTATTTTCTGGGTTGCGGCGCGTGGCATTCATTATCTACATATGTAGTTATTAATTTTTATCTATTAATTACTACTAGGTATGTATCTTTACTATGTATTTTTACTAACCCACACCCCAACATCCCTAAAGGCCCACTACGAAATAGGGTTTAGTCCCTATGACTAGTAATGGATTTAATCAAGAATTTAATCAAGATAACCTTAAGCGCATTTCGCTCACCTTGCCCCTCCCTTCTTTTTTCAAGGGCTCCAAAGGAATAAAAAGAGGCAAAGAAAAAGAAAAAAAAGGAAGAAGCAAAAAGATATAAAGGGGAAAACTAATACGATACGATACACTACTATTGTCACATTCGATACCCAAAAAAGAAAAAACCTAAAGTAGTACCGTCATAATGTCTACCACTACGACTGTCACGCAAAGTGTTCCCACGGCCGAGACCCTTCTTCGCTTGTTCCCAGACATCGATACCAGTTCCGCCGAGTTGGAAGGTCATGATGCCGAACAGATTCGCCTTATGGACGAGGTGTGTATTGTGCTCGACAACGACGACAACCCAATTGGAACAGCAAGCAAGAAGCTTTGTATGTCGTAATTTAGTAGCCAACAGTACTCTGTAAACGGTTGACCTGACCTAACCTTTGTAGGCCACTTAATGACCAACATCGACAAGGGTTTGCTGCATCGCGCATTCTCCTGTTTCCTCTTCGATGATCAGAACCGATTACTCCTTCAGCAGCGTGCCACGGAGAAGATTACCTTTCCTGACATGTGGACAAACACGTGCTGCTCTCATCCCTTGGGAATCCCCGGCGAGACTGGCTCAAACCTGAAAGACTCAGTTGAGGGCGTCAAACGCGCAGCGCAGCGAAAACTTGACCACGAGTTAGGTATCAAAAAGGAGCAAGTGCCCTTCGAGGACTTTCACTTCTTGACAAGAATTCATTATAAGGCACCCAGTGATGGTAAATGGGGTGAACACGAAGGTAAGAAAGGAATAATGATGAAACAAAGATTTGTATGGGAAAAGAGCGGTGAAGTGTTAACACAATTGCTATTAGTTGACTATATCCTCTTCATCAAGGCCAATGTCGACCTAAATGCCAATCCTAACGAAGTAAAAGATACTAAATACGTCACCGCCGACGAGTTGAAGACCCTCTTCACCGACCCAACGCTAAAGTTCACGCCTTGGTTCAAGCTCATTTGCGAGTCGATGCTTTTCGAGTGGTGGGAGAACCTCGATTCGGGTCTTGAGAAGTACACCAACGAGGAGCAAATCAGGCGCATGTGAGGTCTGCCCAGGCTTACATGACGTATAATGGACGAGAGATGCGGGAATTTTGAATTTTCTTCTTTCTCTTTTGCTTTTCAATTCTGAAAAAGGTCACCCAAGAAGAGCTAGTCAGAACAGAACAGAACAGAGCAGAGGTATTGGTCAGAATCATAGCATGGACTTACATGTACTAACTGGGCGATACACCAGTGGCGGACTGCATATCCCATACATCCAATAGATATCCCCTTATGCAGCATAACACACACAACACAACACAGCATGTCTTTTATTCTTTACTTTTTTTCTATATTGGTTTTATTAAAAAAACAGGCGATCTGCTTTGTTTCAAGAATGCAAACCCCCGTTAATATCACATCCAATCAATACTCTGCTCCGCACCGCTCAATGTCACCAACCCCCCTTAACCCCGGCCGGACCGGGGCAGGGCAGATAAGTGTACATAACTAACCTAGCAGCGTTGGCATCCATGGATATGATTCACAGGATATCCAATGCCTTATCCGTTTGACAGCCCTGGATTTGGATTTGCGCCCAAAGTTATACGCACGGAATGACTACCTACATAGTACAGTACTGTATCTACTACTCCGGGAATAAAACACCGCATACACCGCATACACACCGCAAACCCCACGCCCGCCCGTCTTAGAGACCATTCTGCAGTGAAACGGAGTCATACGCAGATAATCTTCTTGTCAGACTCTCAGCGATGGCATTTAGGCGGGTTCGGCGGTAGAGTAGAAAAGGACGGGATCGGGCAGATCGGGCAGATCGGGCGCATACGTTATGTTATGTATGTACCGTAAGTGAGCGCATACATACATCTTACCTATATCTATATACATAAATAACCTAGGTCAAATAACTCCGGCTCCCCGGCTTCCATCCTTGTTTAAGCCGTTCACCTAGGCCGTAAGCCGATGTTGAGTTGAGGTCAAATGTCAGGTGACGTTATAAGTGAAGCCGCAGCTGCGCAGCCAACATGTTGGGAAGCGACCCTGAAAAGCTGAAGAGTTGTAACAAGGTACATATTTAACTGACCTAGGTGGGATTGGGGGATTGGGGGATTCGGTACTGGGGATGGCAGCACTCTTTATGAGGAGCTATTATTAAAAAGTATTAGAGTCGCAGCCCAGTGAACCGCCACATGCAACCCCCCCCCACACCTCTACCTCTACATATGGCTCTCACCCACACCTTACACAAAGGGATGTTTGTTGCATCCGGGTCCCCCGTTCACACCAACTCTGTGCACGAGACTGGCGCACAATGTATGCAGACGACCTTGGAAACCTGGCACCTTAAGATCCCAAAGAGTTGGGTCTGACGCACTGTGATTTATAAAGCCAATGAAGCGGCATATAGTGCCCAGGCGGTTGTTGCCGTCATCCGCTACGTACCGAACAACCAATGAGACCCTTCGACATACCTCCCCTCTACACCTCTATACTTGCTACTACGTAGGTAGTACACAGTAGTCCACGAGCAGCATGGATAGTGCACATGTGGGATGGTTAGTCTCATACAACCTGTGTATATCCCATCCCTAGTGGCTGGTTGGTCACCCTGTTGTGCCATATCTTCTGCGGCTCCCTCAGCTTACCATCGACTATTCAGGCTTTCTGCATCTCCATCCCGCGCATTGCTTCCTTGGCTCTTCGCCTCACCACACTATTATACACTGTGCTTTGTACATCGGGTCATGTCGCTCTTTAAGGACCCCCCCAGGCGCTCCACCGACGCTAGTTTCCTTCCTTCCCTTCGTTTTTTCTTCTTCAACCTGGAAACCAAGCTTGTTGTTCGTTCACAAGTCAGCTTTCGAGGTTTAAAAACAGATTTGACACTTGAGGCTATACTGCCCCCCGGCACCACCTTATAGCCTACCTACCTACCTACATAACCTATCCACCGTCCCCTCCTAACCCGATTTGTTTCTACTCCCAAGTCAGCTTTATCTTTGTTGATCACTCTATCTATCTACCTTACTCACTATCTACTATCAGCCCTTCTTTTTGCTTCACCCATTTCATCCGCTCAATCCGTCTTGCCTTTCGTCCAAGTATTGGACTCTTTCTTCGTCTCATCTTCCTTTTCGTGACGCCTCCCCCCCTTTTTTTGTTGTCCTGAAAACCAGACAAACCTTCTTAGAAAAAACGTCTCTAGGAATACTACTCGCATCAATCTACATTGATGTCTGTTGACCTACGCACGAGCCTCAATTGCCTAGCTCATCCCGCAAGATTTATGCCTATCTCCAGAACGCAACTCTCTAGAGTTCACACGGGAGATAGTATACAGGATATATTAAGTAATAATATTTAAAGTGAGTTTTTGATTGATCTGATCTGATCTCGCTCGCTCGTTTTGCTCCACCCCTAGATCTTGCTTGATCTTGCAGGTTATATATCTTTTCCCTTTTTGGGGCGAGGGGTATAAATGTGGATCGAGGGGCAAGAAGAAGGGGAAGAGAGAGAGAGAGCAGAAAAGAGAAAATAGAGGCTGTTGGCTAATATGTTCTCTATGGTTGGTGGGATATGTAGTCGCCGACACCTAGGAAGTCAGAGTTAGACCAAAAGCACCCCCAACCCCCAAGCCCCTGCCACGCCCAACAACCATGGAGCACGTAAGCAACAGCGTTTCGTCGTCCCTCGTGGAGATGAAGAAGCAGCAGCGGTCGCTGGTGCCGCAGAAGTGGGAGGGCCAGGTGCGCGCGATCGGGATCGCGGAGTACAAGGAGGCGGCGCAGTCGCTGGCGCAGGCCTTCGCGACCGACGAGCTGGCGCAGTACCTCCTCGACGCCGACGACATGGTCGGCTACGACGACGAGGCCAAGTGGCGCCTCCACGTCGACATCTTCAACTACATCGTCGCTGCCCATTGTTATCGGGGTGTCGTCACCACCATCGGCCCCGACTACGAGGGCGTCGCGCTTTGGTGAGTTTGTTTTACCCAGGCACCCCCCCGTTGTGTTCGTCTGACTTTAGTACCAAGGGAAAGAGGATGGGGATGGGGATGGGGCTACGGGGAAAAGAAAGGGGAAAGGGGGGGAGACTCTGTGGGGCTTTGCGTATTGTGCTGATATCAAGGTTAAATACGTGGACCTTGAGAGAACTTCGGTTATTCCACCCCCTTTTCTTTTTTTTATAAAGAATTTTTCCTTCTTCGTTTTTCCTGGGGCTTCTCCCTTGACGGGATGAATCTTTCTTTCTTTTTTTTTTTTTTCTTCTTTTCTTCACAACCCTTTTTTTAAAAATAACTTTTCTTCCTCCTATTTACACACTTGTTGTTACGCATTTGCTTGCATATATGGTTCCGTCCGGCTAACAGGCGGGGTTCTCCGTCCGCTCGAGATACAGGATGCCGCCGGGGCAAGAGATGGACGACTGGGTGACCATCGTCCGCAGCGGCATGTGGCGGCTCTACTACCAGCTCTCGGCCGAGGGGCGCAAGCGCTACTACCGCGAGCTCATGCCCGTGCTCCACCACACCAAGGCAGAGACCATGGGCGACCGCGACAGCGAGTGCTACTACCTCGTCTACCTCGGCACCAAGCCCAGCGGACAGCGCAGGGGCTACGCCAGGAAGCTGCTCGAGCATATGGCTGCTAAGGTACGTTTATATATCTACTCAATACAATACGAAGTATTTGAAGGGAAAAGGGGTTGATTGGGATGGGTCCGTCATGTCTTCATTCTGATTGGCCCCCCCCTTTCCCCTTTCCCCTTTCCTCCCAATACCATCCACCCCTCTCCTCTCCTCTCCTCTCCTCTCCATCTCCCGGTGTCCATGCTGAAGCGCTCCGCCCCGCGGGTGCGGAAACCCCACAGGCCGACGCAGAAGGGCGCCCCATGTACCTCGAGTCGAGCACGGAGCGCAACAACGCGTACTACAAGAAGTTCGGCTTCGAGGCCAAGAAGGACATCTACCTCGGCGCCGACAGCCGCTCCCCCGTCCGCCTCACCATCATGGTCCGCGAGCCCCAGAAGCTGCCCCCGTCTACCACCATCCCCATCAAGTTGGCGAGGCGTGGTGGGGTTTAGGTTATTGGGCTGGGGCTGGGGCTGGGGCTGGGGCTGGGGGGGATGAGGGTATATGATTGTAAGGACTTTGTTGTTTGTTTGTTTGTTTGTTGTTGTTGTTGTTGAACTGAAACGTGGATACCGTTATTGCTGATGATGAAGATGAAGGTGAAGGTGAAGAAGATGATGATAGGATGACAGGGTCAAGGATGATGGATGACTGATGATGGTGATGACGGAGACGACGGAAGCCTTTGCGTGCGTGCGTGCGTGATTCGAAAGTCAAATTGCCTCGTTTTGCTTCCTTTTTTTTGTTTTTTGGCTCTTTTCTCTTCTCTTCTTGACACTTTTGTGTTCTTGCGATTACCGACGTTGCTGCTACTACCGCTCCTGCTCCTACTATCCACCTCCCAGTCCACTGGAGGGAGGGCTACGATATCTAGGGAGCCAGCTTCTCGGGTTCTTTTCATTTCTTTACTTTTTATTTTCTTTTTTATTTCTTTGCACAATTACTTTCTTACGCTCTCTTTTGCTCTACAGTGTTTTTGTTAGGTTAGAGACTCACCCCCCTTCTTATTTTTCTCTTCCAACGAATTGCTGTGTGGTGTCCCGGAAAACACCACTCTCTGCTGTTTTCACAGCGGTAGGGACTCTTTCGGTTTGACATAACTACGCTTCGTCAGGGAGATAAAATGAAAGAGGGAGCGGATGGAGTCGCGATTCACTCATTGGAAATAACTTTGGGGGTGGTTGAGGTACTTATTGGTATGATTGGTTGTTCAGGTATCATTAGGTAGTCAGTCAGTCATTCATTACGTACCTATCTAGATAGATGGTTTACTTAAAGCCCCCCCTTTTATGAAGGCCATTCGTTTTAAACACATATTTGGTTTCCATTCTCGACCAAGTCTTCTTCTGTGATTCCTGGCCTGATTCATGCCTAATCAATCCCTTGATCAATGCCAATAGCGCCCAAGACGTAGTGTGATGATGACGTGCCAACCGTACCAGGGATCTAGGTGCTTTCTAGCCTTCCCTCGTAGTATTGCTATGCCTATTGTATTCCCATCCTTGTTTTTTATCAAGCCAAAAGTGGCAACATATGGATCTAGAATCCTTCTAGCAGAGCAAAGGTCTCATCATCAAGGGTCGTGTAGATCTTGCCGTGGCCCAGCAGCTCCGAAGCAGCCGCCATGACATCCTGGATCGACATGCCGGTGTCACGGGCGATGATGTGCATGTTGGTGCCCTCGTTGCTCTTGGACTGGTTGAGGTAGTTGTACATCTTCTTGGCCTTGACCGACGCGGTTCGCAGGAAGGCGGCGTCGTTGTGCTCCACGAACATGCTGTCGTCTTCGGCGGCGTTTCCATCGCCGCCTGCCGCAGCGCCGGCGGTCGGTGCTCCGCCCCGGGTGAGGAATAGGTGGACGTAGGTGGCTTCGAGTAGGTGGTAGTTGATCTCGTTGAAATCAGTCACGGGTCGCATGACGTGGGCACCGACGTGCTCCTTGTTGCCGAAGCTGCGGAGGCGGCCCCAGACGCGGACGTACTGCTCTTCTTGGAAGATGGGGCGGTTGGCGTCGTCCTGCTTGTCGGAGTCGAGCCAGTACTTGGCCTCAACGATGCCGGTGCCGTCGTCGATTCGATAGGTGATGTTGGTGGTCTGGGGGCTGATCTGTCGCACCATGCCGACGAAGGTCACCTGCGTTACGTCGACGCCATCAATGCGAAATTGCCCTTCCTTGGTGAACGTCTGCTCCGCGTCGATGATCTGCTTCGCTGTCACGGGACGCAGAGATTCTTCGTTTACTGGTCGCGCCGCTTGACTACCGCTTTGCGAGCCACCAAAGAAGCCTCCGCCATCGCCTCCACCGGTGGCGCCGTAGTTCGTTTGGGAGTATCCGCCGCCGTATGCTGCGAGTTGTATGTATGTTAGTAAAGGCGATGAATGTGTCAAATGGTTACAGTATGAGGATCTGGGAGGAAGGTATCGTACAATTCATGATTGCAATTGTAATGGAAGGCGGTTTATTATGTTTCGTGGAGAAGGTGAGAAAGAAATAAAGGTGTTCGGCACGATTAGGTAGATAAACTGGGAGTGGAAAATGTATAGGACGCGTCTAGGTGAACAATTGACGCGACTTGGTACCTAAGATCAGAACTTTTAATTGATTTTTGGGATACGCTAAATCGCGGGGTTGACGCCAGTGGCACACATGGCAGTGCTGTGGCTGGGGCGTTGCATGCCAGCACTGACGAAGCTCCTTGTAACCTGCAACCTGCAACCTGCAACCTAAAACTTGGAACCTTGAACGTCCCGACTTCCCAACTTCCTTGGAAACATTCAATATTGAAACATCCAGATGTCATTGATTGAATTGCAAACACATAAGTACCTAGTACATACCTCTGCATCTACTAGGTACATATGTACTACATATGTAGGTATATGAAGGTTCAATGTTCATGCCATGTGGTAAATTGGTAATAGATGCACATGTGTACCTTTCTGATGCGCTCGGGCGGTAAATACTGTTGTCTTGTGCGCTCTAAGAAAATGAGCTTTACCTAGGTAGGTAGATTTCAATGCAGAGTGATGAGGCTATCACAACAACTATCACTTTGATTCCGTCCAACCTTTTGCAGTGGAATGCTCGGCAGCGATGCCGGGTTGATGTATCCGGGGTGTTGGACAAATGCAGCTGCAAAGATGAAGTATGCGAGAAGTATGCGAGAAGTATGCACCTACCTAGGTACCACAAGTGCTACTTACATAATACAACATGAGCCTCGGTAACTCTTGTTATGGGACGCCGTGATCTTCCATGTTCATGCTTCTGGAAGGAACTTGCACACATGTGGACTTCTTGTGGACTCCCTGAGATTTAGGTACCAAGCTACTTATGTAAGTAAGCCGTACTGGAGCCTGAGCTCGGGCTACGTAGCCTACGGGGATGTTTTTGGTGCTTTAGTATGGATGGCATTGGATGCACTTGCCTTCCTAGGTACTAGTACAGCAGAGTGCATGCATTTGATTGGATCCATGTCATTGATCAATGCTTAATGCATGTGTGATGGGCAACTTCAATGTTCCTTGGACTTCAACTGTCACTGGTTCAAATGTTGTTTTTAGAGTTCAACGCTGTACAAGTACAACTTGGAAGCTCGGCACAGCTTGAGTACCAGGTACTAGTTATGTACCTAGGTAACCTTGCCTCTCCAACCACAACTTTGATCTATTGATATCAACAACTCATGCTTCTTCTTTTTCTCCCATCTTCTCCAATATACGCCTCGCTTCCATTAAATTTCCTATTCCTTCAACCACATTCTTCTCACCAAGGCGATCTATTATTCGTTACCCTTCAACACCTGCTGGTTTCACAACCTTTGCAGGATTTACCACTCCCGTCCTCGAGTTTCCCTTCGTACCCTCTCCCTTCCACCAATCGCGCGCAAACAAAGCCAAACAACCAACCTATAGGGGGGAAAACTCATCAACATGGCGCAACCAGTTGCGATGCCCGTGATGCCCGTGATTCCCCTGGGCAAGAACACCGTTTTGTTTCCAGGCTCTATCATCCGAATACCCGTTCCCGCCAGCCGCTCTGATATACCTGCTCTGCTATCCAATATTTACACGCGCGCCTCTAAGGCTTCGAGACGGGTTGACCAAATCCCCGTCATCTGTGTACCTCTGCTTTCGCCACTATTGAATCGCCGCGGCGAGCCACTCCCAGAGCAAAGTCCCAGCAAGTATGACCAACTTACAAGTGTAGATAAAAACAATATCAAAAAAGACCACTTATTTGCGTATGGAGTCTCTGGAAGAATCACTGCGATTCAAGGTCAAAATGGCGCCGAGTTTAATTTGCTAGTGCAGGGAGTGTCGCGCGTGACCATTGATCAAGTCACCCAAGAGCGCCCCTTCTTTGAGGCGAGGGTCACCCCCCATTCGGAGCAGGTTAGCCCCCAAGACCTCAAGAGTCCCTTATATCAAGAGCTCTTCAACACTCTGAAGCGTCTCTCCGGGGAACTAGTATCCTTTCTCCGCGTATCCGCGTTTCTGCTCTCCCACGGTAATCCAGGGCTGAACCCTCTCTTGTCGCGAAGACTGGAAAGGTTTATTGCCGGAAAAGGCCCGAGCGAGGGAGCTTCTTTGGCTGATTTCATGATGAATGTGATTGAGACCACTTACGAAGAGAAGCTCCAGGTGCTCGCTGCCGAGGACATAACAGAACGTATGAACAAGGTCATCGATCTACTCGACCGCCAAGTAGACGAGCTCAAAGGAAATCTCAAAGTCACCACTGTCACTGGCACGGCCGTACCTGTCCGCATCGACCCGGAGGACCTTGATAAGATTAGTCAGAAGAAACAAGTTATTATTAAACAACCACAATCAGGTCTCAAAATGAATCCACCTAGCATGTTTGGTGGTGGCTCACCATTCAATATGTTTGGCGGCGGACCAGGTGACCAGGACCAGGACGATTTACAGGATCTTGAGAAGAAGATTGAGGCTGCGAAGCTTCCACCTGAAGCCGCCAAGGTAGCCGAACGAGAATTTAAGCGGATTAAACAGATGAACCCCGCTCAAGCCGAGTATCAAGTTGTCAGGACGTACCTAGAAACGTTGGCTGAGGTACCATGGTCCGTGGTTACAGACGATCCTATCAGTGTTAGCACGTTAGAGAATGCGAGAAAGCAGCTTGATAACGATCATTACGGAATCGAGCAAGTGAAGAAGCGCCTACTTTCCTACCTCACCATTGTTAGATTGATGCAATCAGCGAACGAGGCTCTGGACCAGCAGATCAAACAAGCCAAACAAGAGGTGGCTGATCTGGAGTCCAGCAAGAATGCGGCAAAGGAGGGCGCAGTCGTTGACCCCGAGCTAGAGGCAAAGATGAAAGCCAACGATCTCAAGGTCCAGATGCTGGTGAACAAGCGACGGGTGGAGAAGGCCCCTATCCTGCTCTTGGTCGGGCCGCCCGGTGTGGGCAAGACTAGTATCGCTCGATCTATTGCTACAGCTCTTGGACGAAAGTTCCACCGCATCTCGCTTGGCGGCGTTAGAGACGAGGCGGAGATACGTGGACACCGTCGGACGTACGTTGCGGCGATGCCTGGTTTGATTGTGCAAGGCCTGAGGAAAGTAGGAGTGGCGAATCCCGTCTTCTTGTTGGACGAGATAGACAAACTGGGCATGTCTAACCATAACGGTGACCCCTCTGCTGCGATGCTTGAGGTGCTTGACCCCGAACAGAACAACTCATTCCACGATCATTACATCAATACCCCTATCGATCTAAGCAAGGTTCTCTTCATTGCCACAGCCAATACTCTCGACACAATACCCGGCCCGTTGCTGGATCGCATGGAAACCTTGGAGTTCTCCGGCTACACCACGCATGAGAAGCGACATATCGCATTGCAACACCTCGTGCCTAAGCAGATTAGGGTTAACGGGCTCTCGGAGGGTCAAGTACGATTCAGTGAGGAAGTGATTTCCAAGATCATCGAGTCATATACTCGTGAATCAGGAGTTCGTGGCCTGGAGCGCGAGATTGGTTCTGTCTGCCGCGCGAAGGCCGTGGAGTTTGTGGAAGCCAACGACCTTGGCCACCCAGAGACATACCGAGCAGACATCACCATGGAAGATCTGGAGTCTATCCTAGGTATTGAGAAGTTTGAAGATGAAATTGCCGAGAAAACTGTCCGGCCTGGGATAGTGACTGGTCTCGTTGCTTACAGCTCAGGGGGCTACGGAGGCATTCTCTTCATCGAAGTTCTCGACATGCCTGGCGATGGAAGTGTTGAGCTTACGGGCAATCTCGGAGATGTCCTCAAGGAAAGCGTGAAGGTGGCGAGGAGTTGGGTGCGACATTTTGCTTACGATCTAGGCTTAACCCAGGATGCTACGGAAAACGTGATGCAAAAACGCAGTCTCCACATACATTGCCCGTCTGGGGCCGTGCCCAAGGATGGCCCTTCTAGTGGAATGGCTCAAGCCATTGCTCTCATATCGCTCCTTTCCGGGCGGCCTGTGCCTCCAACCATGGCTATGACTGTAAGTCTATCTAGTAAAGCTTCCAAACATCTAACTACAGAATACTAAGAACTCATGCAGGGTGAATTTCAACTCTCCGGTCATGTGAAGAGAGTTGGGGGGATAAAAGAGAAGTTGATTGGAGCATACCGAGCTGGCGTCAAGACGGTCCTGCTCCCCGCCCAGAACGAGAAGGATACGAAAGATGTGCCGGCGGAAGTGAGAAATGGGCTGAACATCATCTACGTCAGGTATGAACTTGCTATTCCCGTCCTTTAATTTCGCCCTGTTGCTTTTTCTCGTTTAACTAACCAAGGTATTTCTATAGTCATATTTGGGAAGCCATCCACCATATCTGGCCTGACGTGCAGTGGCCGCACGACAGCAACTCCCCGCCAGTTCAATCTCGCTTATAGTCGTTTATCATTTTGTTTTAGGGGTTGTTTTTGATGTTGTTGATGTTGTTGTTGTTGTATAGATAGGTATACCTTTACAACAGTTGTAGTAGCATTCTAGCATGTGCGGCATGGGTAAAAGGCGTTCGTTTGGGGATCATAAATTTGTTTAATCCATGGAGTGGGGACTCAACTCATCTCATAGAAGCATTTGAATATTTTAGCTAGCCAGCCATGGCTACCTAATAGAAACATCGTCATCTGCAAAGTTGCAAATCTTACAGATACTTGATCTAAGTTCCACGACCTAAGCGCAAGTCCCCTTCATTACCCAAAGTACAGATAGATGGGTTCCTTGGTGCTGGTTTTTGACCCTACATATTTGTCGGTTTGGGATGATGGCGTGCCTATATGTAGATACATACCTAGGCAAGCACTTACTAGATACGTGGTTGATAAAATGCAATACATACTGTGTTGCGAGAGGTAGGTAGGTAGGTAGATAAGGACAACCTCGACCCCAACTATTCACCAGATCCCAGATCGCTGCCGTGCAACATGGCACGGCATAACCCCCTTTCGCCGGAAGAAGCGAGGCAGAATACACTGCGTAGGTACATACCTAACCTTAGGTAGGTAAGTACCTACAATGGATAGAAGGAAGGATGGATGGAAGGAAGGAGACAAGGGGGCGCCATGCGATGTAGGGAATAAAACAAACAAGCAAACTAAGCCATTTACATGTACATACTTCTCTTTACATACAGGGATAGGTACCTAAGGCACTTATATCCTCAGTTATCTACATACCTAGTATTTCTGCCGTATCTTGCCAGGTTTGGGGTTGAGATAGGTTGGCTTTTTTTTTGGGGGGGGGGGGGGGGGGGGATGGGGAGGAAGGGGAAGGGGAAGGGGACACAAGATTTACATATCTGTCCGTGTGAGACAAGATATTTCGTGTGCTGTCTTTTGTTTTTGTTTTTGTTTTTTGTTTTTTATCTTTCTTTATTACTTTTACTGCCTGCCTGCCTGTCTACCTAGATGGTCAGGTTTGGTGGTTGAGTTGGATGGTTTTGGAGATAACTATGGATGGTTCGTTAATTTTTCTGTTTGTTCGTTCCGGGGTGAGATGGTTGGTACCTAGTTAGGGGGAATGGATTTTCTACATACAGTACATGTTCGTAGTGCTTCTACATACATAGCGCCCACCACTGCTACGTGTTGTAGGAATACCTATAGTAGCTATATGGGAAGGTACCTACCTACCTACCTAAGGTACGTGTAAATAAGTAGAGGGATGCCTGTGTACGGTACCATGGCGATGGGATGGCGTAGGCCGGATAGCTACAGCCTAGGTGCCCGTAAGAAGGGACAGGGAGCGGGAAGGGTGGAAAGCATCAAGGAGAAAGGGATGCCTACCTCTAGGTACATGTAGATAGTTAGATGTGTTCGCTTCTCTTGTCGGAGGATAAACGCGGGGACGGACAGGCAGGTAGATGGAAGCAGAAGGGCGTCTCTCGGTAAGACTTGCATGTCTTGCCGTATGTTGCTTGCCTTCTTGAACTGTCTCGATCTATCTTAGGTGGGTAGTTATGTAGGTATCTATTTCTTTCCTTCCTTTTTGCTGGGTAGTAAGTAAGTAAGTAACACGCAGATACTCAGACACTTTGGTACATACCTAGTGAAATGGGATACCAGTAACTACATACCAAGACTGGCCTGCGCGACGTCGGCTCGAGTCGTGCGTGCCTGGTACTTGGGTGGTATTCCAGTATTGAGATCTATGTGCCTACCTAGGTTAGGTTGGTATGTAAATAGGGAAGCTAGTCAGTGTCATTGAATGGAACTTTGGAAGAGAAAAAGGGACCTGTGCTTGCCATAGCCACGGATTTGTCATGTCAAATCATGCCATGTCATCCATCATGTCAGGGTTTCTCGACCCGAGACAACTTCGCCTAATGAATTTTTCTCCTACTCGGCAAATCGCAGTTTTAGTTTTAGGGGGTGGTGGTGGTGGTGGTGGTGGTACGGGGGCCAAAAAAAAAGGGAAAAGGGAAGGGCAAGGGGGGAGAATAAAGGGGAGGAAATTCTCCGATATCCCCCAAGGTCAAGCGAGTTCCCGTCCGACTTGATTCCCTTGTTCCTTATTTTTATCTGATGCTGGGTACAAGGTAGGTAAGTTAGGTAGGGTGCATAGGTAGATAGGATAGGGTAGGTAGGCAGGTAAAACATCCCGGACGTAAGTAGTTGGTGGTATGTCTACACCAAACGGCCGTAAGGAGATTATTATTTCACGATGAGACGGCGGAGAGAGACGGGACTAGGGTACATAGGTATGTAAGTATGGTGTGGTATACATGGTAGGCTGGTAGGCTAGGTAGGTAGGTAGGTACCGACACGCTGGAATCCCGTGCGTCCAGAGGAGTTGGTGGTTGGCTTGTTACTTTCCAGGTTGCTTGTGATACCAACTCTAGAAGCGGGAGAAAATAGGTAATCATGGGTTAAGGGGAAACAGAGTAAAGGAGACATAGTTACCTAGGTAGCGGCCCAGGTCAGTAGGTGTTCGCCAAGATGTACCGAGAGTACGGTTCCAAGTTCCCAGGAAGGGGGGAGGGGAGGGAAGGGGAGGCGACGAACTCGGAGGACTTTCTTTCTCTTTGGGAAGCAACTAGGACTTCGCCGGGTTAGGTAGGTGTACAATGTCATACGCACATCATCGACCGCATGCGCGCGATCTCCTTGCTGTGCGCTCTGATTCTGTGTGCATCTAGATGTACGTATGTGTCGTGTCGCCTTCCTCTTTGTGGAGCGGCGCTTCGTTTCAAGTTGAGGTGACGAGGGACGGTGGATGAGGGAAACCTGAAGCTAGCTCGTCGTCGTCGTGATCATAGTTGGTCGTCTATACTTACCTACTCACTCTCGAGACTGGTTTAGTTGCTACCTACACAGACAACCTACCATGTTCTAGCTCTGGTTCTGGTTCTAGTTCTTGACTCTGATATTGGGTAACTCGAAACCCATCTAGGTATCCTACATATGTACGTTTCATCCTCGGACCCAGCGACTTGGAAGACATTACTTACCTACATCTATATCTACCTACATACATACATTGGAACGTATACTAGGCTAGCTACTTGCGTTGAAATCACACCTAGTACTAATGGCGATGCCGATAATCGCGATTACGTCCCGTTGTCTTTTGTTTTGCATTGTCTTGGTCTGTGTCCAGCTCGGTTACCCTCTGGTTAGGTAAGGGTACTAGGTAAGTAAAGAAGAAAAAATCTCCTATGCCCGTTTCCACATCCCGTCCGTTTGTTCCATCCGCTCGTTCGTTCATACACCCCATTCATTCATTCATTCATTCATTCTATCCGTCTATCCTTCCCCTTTTCCTGGATGGAAGCGTCTCAGCATGAGACAGCGAGAAGGTTTTCTTTAGGTATTCCACACTTCCACATTTGTCTCGTCTCTCGTTGACTCCGGGTGTTAGATTTGTCAACCTCGATTCTCCCGCCCGATCTTTCCTACTACCTGGGTAGGTAGTTAGGTATGTACGTAAAACGAACATCGTTTACCCAGAACGGTACTGTTGGGCGTACACCTATGGACCTACATGTAGGTAGGTTCTTCATACCCATATTGTTTAATGTTTTTGTTTATTTTTACTTTCCTCCTTCTCCTATATCGTTCGTTGTCTTTACTCCTTACAGACAGATAGGTAGTAGCTGTGTTGGGTCTTACGTACCTGCATCCAGGTCAATGTAACCCAGCTTCCTTAACCCCTTGATGGAACAGCACTCGGAAATCATTGGGTCGGCTTCGAGTAGGTAGATAGATCGGCTGGTAGGTAAGGTTGGTTGGTTGGTGTGTGGGTGGGTGGGCAAGGTACCAGTGTGTCGGGTTTACCGGCGAGCTGGGAGAGAAACGCAAACGCAGGCACGCGATCCTGTCTGATGCCTTTCTGTCTGTTTTGCTTGGTGCCATATACTCGGGTACTGAGATGCTTTGACTTATTCCCCTTTCATAGGTACCTTTTCTTTGGCTGGTGGTATACGAGTAACATAGGAGGTAGTATGTAGTCTAGGTATGCATATTCAACAGTTCATGTACATACACGCTACAATATCTCTACCTGGCCACTATACCACCTACTTGATAGCTCACTGTCAATAGTAATCATTACCACGACCGCTCGAAGCACTCATACGAAGACTCGCTAGCTACAGCCCTCGTCCTTGCCCCTATAGCCCGGGTACTAGTTTGGGATGACATGCCATCATGACTGCTATAGACCATTGACGTACTTGTCTCATACTAGCTTGCCATAGCTTTGGGTGTAGGTCTAACAACACCTAAATAAATTACCTAATTGGATAGACATTCTAATTAGCTACTATGTATATATCCCGAAGAAGGAATACGACGTAAGGCTAGAGGGTTTGATACTGGCCTATACCTGCCTAATAATACCAGCTACCCCTATACTGTATAGATATTACAATCTAGCTGAGCAAGTTTACATGGGGATGAGCTGGCTATGTAGATTATAGGAGATTATAGCTGATGTCTAATTTAGGTACATATCTAGTAACATGTAACTAAGCATGTAGGTAACAAGAATAGCGAAGAATGCTTTGTAGGTCACAAGACAAGATGCCCCGTTTCCTATCTTCCCAAAATAAAAATTCCCACAGTTTGCTCCCTCCTCCACAAGACCCCCCCCCGTGCGACGGAGCATGTGACGTCCCTCAGAAATGATAACGTGCCTGCGTTGCGTACCTTCTTTTTACCGTATGAGGATCATCGGGTCCAGGCCGGTGGGGATAGCATCATATCCCCAGAAAGTCTCTCTCTGTTTTTTTCTTTGGTCCGCCATCTACGTCGTATGTACATATCTACTTACCTACATCGTACCTAGCTTGATTACCAGACCACGCTAGCAATCCTGGAAATATCGCCTAGGTAGGTACATAAGTTCAACTGTTCAACCCAGCTCCATGGCTAGCTCCGAAAGCTGTTCAGTATGCCTGCCGGCCCACACCCAAGGATACACCCGTACCTCACCGCCGGGCCTCGGGTCCCCCTAGGCTAGACCTCTTTTTTTTTTTTGACAACAAAAATCTTGGAAATCTCCGGTAAGAGAGGGGAGGGGAGAGGAAATGGGTTTTAGTGTATGTGCTATTGTAAATCAATAGCTTCACTTATTGCCACAAGGGGAAAAAGAAAGCCCAAAAGGTGGAGGAGGAGGATGAGGAGGGGCGAGGGAACGGATCGATCACATGCCGGGGCCAAGTCCGGGCTAGGTAGATTGGGCCTATTCTTTACTCGGTATTTAGATCGTGGCCGTAATAACTAAATAACCTACGATACTCTTTTGC